TAGAGGTTACAGAGGTCATATGGGACACGTGAGGTCCCAGAAGTCAAGTTGGGGTCATCACAGAGCTCAAATGGAGGTCATCTGGGACATGCCAGGTCACAGAGGTCAGCTTAGAGTTATCAGAGCTAAACTGGAGGTCACGGAGGTCATCTGGGACACGTCAGGTCAAAAAGGTCAACTTGGGGTCATCGCAGAGCTCATTGGAGGTCATGGGGGTCATCTGGGACACGTTTTTGGAATCGGGTGAATTTTGGGGGATGACCCTTGCAACGTCCAACACCGCCTTTCTGGATTCGCCAGTAGTTGCTGGAATGGTGTTAGGCTACTTCCAATTCCTGAATGCCCCAATAAATGTGAAATAGCATATTATGGACCATTTTCAACACTCTTGCTGCCTCGCTGGCATGGATGGAGGCCTCATAGACGACCTGTCAGTTCAAGCTCTATAACTTGCATTAGCATCAACGGATTGCAACAAAATTTTCAGGATTTCAAGTTCAAACAATTTTACACGTACCACGTAAATTTCGAGGCAATGACCCGAATGACCTGTGACCTATTCGGTATACCCCAAGGCAAGGTCAACTTGCGACACTGACACTACTTACGACTGCTATTTCAATTTTGTAAGTTGTGTCGCAAATCAGGCAACATACAATACATTAAAATTACAATAACCCACACCAAAACACACTATACCTACCAAATCAAGTTCTTCAGCACCCCTAAGGCCAGTGCACTGGCACGGGGCACGCGGGACACGTCCAAGGTCAAATCGCGTTTCTCAGATTTTCGGTTTGTTATTTTCATCAAGGTTTTGATAGGTGCTCGCACGGTAGCCATGTTGGGATAGGTGAATTAAAGGTTAAATTATTTAAATATTTTAAAATAATTTAAGACCTGCCAAGCCTAACAATACGCAGAATAATAACCAGCATTAAAAATTGTATTGGGATAAAAATTTATATGTGAATCGAAAGGGTCCGCTAAAAATGACCTTGACCTTTGACTCGTCATTTCTCCGTAGTTTGACCTTGCCAAAACAAGAAAAACCAGCAGTAGCATCTCCAACATTGGTTGCATTATTGAGCAAAAAATTATTGAAATCTAAGGGGTCCTCCTTTCTCACCTGGCCACGTGGTCACTTCCACTTCCTGTATTACACATACGTGACCTTGATTCTGACCTTTGACCTACTATATATCAGTTCGTGCTGCTTGCCAAAGTAAGAAACTGATATTTTTGAAATCAGCTCTTCATGGACTATAGTTGTACCAATTTTTACGAGAATCCAAAGGGTCCGCCGAGAATGACCTTGAACTTTGACCTAAGATTCCTCAGTTCTTAGGGGGTGCCAAGCCTAGGTGATTTATTTTCGTAATAAGCATGTCCTGGTCTATCTATCCTGTTAATTTAAATTGATTCTGAGGGGTCCGTTTTTGTCATTTTTTCCACGAATGTGGTGCTGGAATCCGAATCCGAATTTGAAGCCAACTTTATGAACGTAGAATGGACCGCCATTGGAATGATTCTTTTTGAAACCGTGCACTGTTTTCGGCCGGAATTTAATAGTTACTACAAAATATTTTGTAATTACGTTTCCACCGAGAATGAATGCTATCAGGGCTAAATTTTTACTACTTTTGCATTTTGTCAAGAAGCATATAGTGCTGTTATATTGCAGTTTTTGCGCGTTTGTTACAAAATATGAAGCGAATAAGCGTCAGTGTTATTCATCAGTGCCAAAAGTTAAAGGGACCCTCCCACCTTCAAAAAAGTTAATGAATTGGCATGAAAGTGATGTCGCTCGGTTCAGAAAGAGCAAAAACGAATATCTACCAAATTTCATCGAAAAATATTCACCGGTTTTCAAGGTATTAGACTTTTACTTTTGTTTACTTTTTGGGATCTCCGCTGTTCCTAGCGACTTTATTTGAAAGTGCGGCATTTGTTGCGCGCAAAGCAGCATATACCACCGCGTGCTACAAAACGTTTTAGTCAAACATTTAAAACTCGTTAGATATCTGCGATGACGTCACACATTCAGAGGGGTATTCCTAAGCATTAGCCCCTCTGAATCAAGATGCTGCAATTTTGAAATTCAATATTTCCGATTTAAGGCATTTCTCGATGTTGTGAGTGCCGAAACCGGTAATTGTGAGCCAGGGACCCCATTTTGGCTATCTCAACTCAAATCTAATGTTAAGGTGGGAGGGTCCCTTTAACTTGATGGGAAGCTATGCTAATTGCTCTTGTCCATCCACTAGAAGTTATTAAATATTTTGCTTTGTGTATTCCAAAAGGAGTGGGAACTATTTTATTTGTGCCTTCATGTCAGAATTGAAGGTGGATCATTAAATTTTGATTTTCAAGGCAGTTTACAAACAAGCATTTGGTCTTTCTCGGATATACCTAAGCAGTGGCTAAGAAGAAAAGGTTGATCAATCCTGAAGTTCAGTCATCGTACCTCAACTTGGCAGCAAGATCCCCAAGGACAGAGGTTATATTGTATACCTGTCCTGTAAATCAAAGCATTTTTGTGCCTGCAAAGGCTTAAGCTATTTGTGGTGTGTTCGGAGCGAGGCCATATGGCCGTTTTTGTTGTATGTTTATGTGGAGATTGAATATAACTGTGACCCTTTGCTTGTTTGTATACTTACTATGGTCAAATAGGGAACAGCACATTCACATAACATACTCACCTAGCACCTAACTCATAGCTGTACCCTGCAGGATCTGTACTTGTTCATGTCTCGAGCAAAGCACTAAAGTAGCTTTGTAATCATTTCCCACATTTTCTGAGCATCTAACATGACATACAGCAGTGCAGAGCAGCTTCAGAGAAGAAACACTTTAAATGCACAGACTCACACCAGCCACCCAATGAGCCAGTTCCTCAGTTGACTGTTTCCCTGGATGCAGCTTGGCAAGGTGAGCTAACTATAGGCAACTTGAAGGTTAGCAGGTAAGACTGAGTTAGGGTGAGTACCTACCTATAATAACTGGGTGCTTCTGCTATGCAGGTCTTGGGTAAGGCTGCAAATATGTGTGATGATTGAGGTTAGGTCAGCTGTCAGGTTATTCAGGTATGCTCATTGCTCAGGTCACATTTTTATGGACACTTGGCAAATTAAAAAACTAGCATAACCTAATCTAAGCTAACCCGACTAAACCTACACAACTGCTGACTATAGGAACTAAGCACCTACCTACTTGTGCCTATATCTCATACCATGTCAAAACTCAAAGTAGAGTTCCTTGGTGGAACATTACCCTCAGTACTTTTTATCCCAGCCCTGTGAAGAAAACTAATACTTCTAAGCTCTGAGTCACTGCTGGCCATCCACAGGAAGAAACGCTGAGACTGAGAGCTTTGCCATTGTATATTGGACCAACAATCATGAATCACTATCATGAATGACTATGAACACATCATATGATCACATCGCTGCATGGATTGTCACATTGACAATTTTATAACAATCCTTTTTTCAAGAAATACAGTAATGATTAACATCAAAATCAACATTAAGTGGATTTGGTGATCCAAGCTTTCTCCTCCAGTTGCAGTAGCAATGGAATGATCGCATGTTTCATTTGCCAGACACTGAGTACCTGATGCACATTACAATCTGCACAGCATCTAAGCATAGTACAGCTGCCAAAGTCCATTCATTCTAGATTTTTAACTTGATAGTTAGCACTAATTTATCTTGCTGTTGTAAGTTATCATTCAATATTCATACCAATACATCAATATGCACTCATCAGTCAACATTTTCTGGCATGATCCTGCTCAGCGTGCTCTTCAGTATTGCTCCAGGATCTGCAATATTGTAGCTTGTTTTCGGCCAATAAGCTCTTTTAATTTTACTTTTTTTGCTGATATATGAGCCCGATCAACTAGTTGCGTTTATCAACCAAAATTTAATAACTTCAAGTTCAACTTGATATTGATATTGCTCAGGAGTCAGGACCTCTATCAGCCTCCTGGATACTTCGGATTGTTTTCAGTCACATGCTTCTTAAATATGATATAAGTCAATCTTAATGGATCCAAAACATCCAACAAAACGACGTAGGTACAAGAGTACGGAAACCACCAGATAAACTTAAAAAGCGCCTTGGAACAGAGCCAAGTGGTCCTCCATTTGCTTGTTTACAATGATTGTAGTGCTGATGTATTTTTAGGACTCTGAAGGTCGGCTTATAAAAAATGAAACGTTTTTACAAAAGTTGTAAGGCAAGTAATATTTATCGAAAAGAACTAAAATATTCAAAAGCCAAACACTATGAAATACATGAATCGGAACGAAAAAGTAACCCGAAAATCCAGCCTAATCACCGGCTCCTAAAACTGCAACAAAACCAGCACTTTTCCCCGCAACTCGTTGTCCAGACGTAAATATGCCCACATACATGCACAGCTTGATGATCAAGAAAATATCAGAAACTTTAGAATTATTAGGGGAAGAATCGTTAGGAAATCATAAGGAAAAATTAAATAAAAACCCAGCCCCTCACAATTTAAATTTGAATAGGTATGACCACACCCATGACCCAACTTGACCTTATGCAAAATATCCTAATTCCTAAGGACATAAAAATCAAATGTGATTTGGAATATAGATGATGAATGGCCACTACCTGTAATGACAATCTTCAGACAGAGTAGATCACGATGCCAGCTTTTTTTAGTGTCGATTTAGCTCCAATTTAACACAATGCAATAATTTTTTATCTCTAATTTTCTGTCCACATAAAGCATTATGTGAAGAAAACTGGCTGCGCCGAACCTGCCTTGATTAATTATTCACAAGCAGCTTTTCCATCCAGAGTTGCATAGCAACGCGAGCTCAGAACACTTTTAAAAAGCAGGTTGCCAGGCAACTACGGAAATTTTGTCACAAGCTGCTCACGAATTTCAGATTCCGAATAGACATTAGCCAGAGGTCACTCAATATACCCTGAGCCAGAGAGCCCGCGGGTTTTGTTGCTTTCACTGTCGATCGGGATGGGGGCACCAGGCGGTACCCCAACCAGCAGAGTCCCACAAGGCTCAGTGTTGGCCCCCATCCTGTTCATACTGTTCATCAACGACCTCCCAAGGCTCCCAACCCAAGAGTGCTTCACTGCGGAGGGAAGATATTCGAGGATGACAGCAAGCTGAACAATTCGGTCGACGCCCCTTGCAACCCTCTAGCCCTTCAGGGAGACCTGGATGCTGCATCAGGCTGGGCAGATGTATGGAAGCTTGAGTCTAATGCAGATAAATGCAAGGTCCTCCACATCGGTCACCAGAACTTCCAGCAAGTCTACCAGCTAAGGGTGCTTGAATGGAACAGGTGGCAGCAGAGAAGAATCTGGGAGTCTTTATTTTTTATATAAATTTAGCTCGAATTTTTGAATGGTCGGATTGACAGAGCCAGAGCCCACGCTAAGCAGAGCTTGTTGCGTAGACCCCGACTCCTACCGTGCGACCGCGCAATTCGGGGTATTGGGAGAATTTAGATGCCAAAGTTTAACGTACCCTTCAAAGCCGGACACGGCCTGTCCCACTCAACTGACTTCAACTGGCTGCGGCTGCTCCCACCAACCGCAGACCATCCCGGTCAGGAGTCTCAAATATTGAGCGCCGGAGCGTCTCGAACCCGGGCTCTCACTACCGGGAGTCCAATCTCTACCAACTGAGCTACAGGACATCAATAGACACAGAGTTTTAGTTTCGGCAACAAGCTGCCACTGTAGTCAGCAAAGCCTTGTGGATACTTTCCATGATTCAGAGATCATTCCAGCTGATTGATAAGTCAATGTTGCCCCTACTGTTCAAGACCCTAGTCCGACCCCACCTTGAATGCGGGAGCATTGTCTGGAGCCCTTTCAACCGGACAGACCAGAAATGAGTGGAGCGCGTCCAGCGGAGGGCAAACAAGAACGTCTCGGAGCTGCACCGCCTGCCCTACACTGAGAGATTGCAGGCGCTGAAACTACCATCCCTGTACTACTGACGAAGGTGCGGTGACAACTGACATGATAGCGGTACCTATATCAGATGCTACATGGAGGTATTGACCTGGACTCGCATGTCTTCTTCGACCGTTCAACCACTGCACCCGTGAAACCAGAGGTCACTCGTGGCGCCTCGTGAAGCCGTACAAGGTCTCCACTTTCCAGAGTCCGTCGCAACGCCTTCTCAATAAGGGTGATAAACGATTGGAACAGCCTGCCATCAGAAGTTGTCGACGCCAGTACACTCAACCACTTCGAGTCCCGCCTAGACACTCACTGGGCGGACTTCGTATATGCGATACCTTACACAGACCAGTCAAACCCACACTAAGCAGCTCGACTGGAACGGACGTAAAGGCCAAGTAGCTTATCAAAATTATGTACTTTTAAGTAAATCTAAGTAAGTAAGGTTTGTGTGGAATCGGAGAAAGTCACGTCCAATAATTTTCACATGACTTGACTTGACTGTGATTACTGAATGATATCGATGCTGCAGGTACTTTCCAGTGAAAAGATTACGTAGCTGAGCAGCAATGACGGACAACAAAGATCAAGCAGCTCAGACTCAGACTCAAGCTACCCAAGAGGTTAGTGCTTTGCTCTGGCAAGATGTCATGTTTTAGGTACTGTTACGTTACGTCACGGTACGGTACGGTAACGGTGCGGTACGTTACTGCTGTTACGGTACGCCATTATTAGTTTGAAAAGTTAGCCTTATGCGGGTGCTTCAGTTGCTGCTTCGGCAGCTTGCAGTGGTTTTTACAGCATCATCAGCTGAAGTTGTGCTTCAGTTATGCTTCTCCTTTGAACCGGCGGTCTGACGTACACTGTTGCACAGGTCGGCTCCGGGGATGGACAGCGGCAGTATGACATACATTATACACAGTATGACATACAGTCGTCCTCAAAATTATTCATACCCTTGTTAATTTACGACATATTTTGCTTTTTTGATGAAAAGAAAACATTTTGTCGAGCTTATTTATGATTTTTATATGACCAACAGGGGAATGAATAACAGCAACATACAACTGACAAAATATTCAGTTTCAGGTTTGTTTTATTCATAAATCTTTGAAAACACTCATGTTCAAAAATATTCATACCCTTGGTTTTCAGAGTTCAGTGTCTTTCTTCAGTAGTCGATAGCATATCCTTTGTTCCTTATTACTGCTTCTAGTCGGTTCCTGTAGGTGCTCACAAGCTTGCCACACGTTTCCTGTGGGATTTTGGACCATACTTCCCTGGCGAAAGCCTTCAGCTGGGTCAGGCTAGTCGGTTTCCTGGCCGTCACTCGGGTCTTCAAGTCCCGCCATAGATTCTCTATGGGATTCAGATCAGGACTCTGACTAGGCCACTCGAGGACGCTGATATCATTGTCCTCGAACCATTCCTTGACTACTTTAGCCGTGTGTTTGGGATCATTGTCTTGCTGGAACTTCCAGTTGTTGCCGGCCCGAGTTCCAGCTTCTCTGCAGATTCCTTCAGGTTTTCGTCCAGAATTTGGATATAGTCCTCCTTTCTCATGGTGCCCTGGATCCTCACGAGGTTTCCTGTGCCGCGGGAAGAGAAGCATCCCCACAACATGATGTTTCCGCCACCGTGCTTGACGGTTGGCACCGTGTCCTTGGAATTGTAGGCCTCTCCTTTACTCCTCCAAACATAAGCAGCATCCATGTGCCCAAACAACTCTAACTTCGTCTCATCAGACCACAGGATGTTTACCCAGAACTTGGAATCTTGCTGCATATTGCCTCTAGCAAGGCTCGCCTGGCCTTTGCTAGAGGCAATATGCAGCAAGATTCCAAGTTCTGGGTAAACATCCTGTGGTCTGATGAGACGAAGTTAGAGTTGTTTGGGCACATGGATGCTGCTTATGTTTGGAGGAGTAAAGGAGAGGCCTACAATTCCAAGGACACGGTGCCAACCGTCAAGCACGGTGGCGGAAACATCATGTTGTGGGGATGCTTCTCTTCCCGCGGCACAGGAAACCTCGTGAGGATCCAGGGCACCGTGAGAAAGGAGGACTGTATCCAAATTCTGGACGAAAACCTGAAGGAATCTGCAGAGAAGCTGGAACTCGGCAACAACTGGAAGTTCCAGCAAGACAATGATCCCAAACACACGGCTAAAGTAGTCAAGGAATGGTTCGAGGACAATGATATCAGCGTCCTCGAGTGGCCTAGTCAGAGTCCTGATCTGAATCCCATAGAGAATCTATGGCGGGACTTGAAGACCCGAGTGACGGCCAGGAAACCGACTAGCCTGACCCAGCTGGAGGCTTTCGCCAGGGAAGTATGGTCCAAAATCCCACAGGAAACGTGTGGCAAGCTTGTGAGCACCTACAGGAACCGACTAGAAGCAGTCATAAGGAACAAAGATATGCTATCGACTACTGAAGAAAGACACTGAACTCTGAAAACCAAGGGTATGAATATTTTCGAACATGAGTGTTTTCAAAGATTCATGAATAAAACAGACCTGAAACTGAATATTTTGTCAGTTGTATGTTGCTGTTATTCATTCCCCTGTTGGTCATATATAAATCATAAATAAGCTCGACAAAATGTTTTCTTTTCATCAAAAAAGCAAAATATGTCGTAAATTAACAAGGGTATGAATAATTTTGAGGACGACTGTACATATACACAGGTCGGCTCCGGGGATGGACAGCGCCACGATGAGGACCAGTATCTGGATCTGATCCGCCGCATCATGGAGACGGGTGTGCGCCGCCCGGACCGCACCGGCACTGGCACACTGGCGCTGTTCGGCGCCCAGATGCGCTTCTCGCTCCGTGACGGTGAGCGACGCTGGAAGGCGGGGGAGGAGAGAGGGAAGGTGGTTGTCGTTTGGTTTCGTGGCTGAGAACAGATAATCATTGTCAAGATTGTCTGATTGCTTTTTGGAGACGGTTGGGGACAGCTGACGGGAGTTAGACTCGAGCATTTCGCCATATTACGATTGACCATCTTGTGCTACCGCTGATCGCAATAGCACAGGGATGTGCATTGTGATTGTCTCACTCCGTTGTTTGTCGACAGGCCAGTTTCCGCTGCTGACCACCAAGCGGGTGTTCTGGCGCGGCGTGGCCGAGGAGCTGCTGTGGTTCATCCGCGGCAGCACCGACGCTCGCGAGCTACAGAAGCGGGGCATTCACATCTGGGACGGAAACAGCAGCCGAGAGTTCCTCGACAAGAGCGGCTTCACCGATAGGGAAGAGGGTGAGTCTCGAGCGGCTTCACCGACAGGGAGGAGGGTGAGTCTCGAGCGGCTTCACCGACAGGGAGGAGGGTGAGTCTCGAGCGGCTTCACCGACAGGGAGGAGGGTGAGTCTCGAGCGGCTTCACCGACAGGGAGGAGGGTGAGTCGCCGCCGCCGCGGGCGGCAGGTAGACGGTCGGTCAGGCACCGCATAGCACGCGCCCGACTTCAGGCTGCACCGCTGGCCACCGATAAATATCACCGGAACGTGTCAGATGTGTCCCTTTGGGAGGCTGATAAGCTTTCGTTCAGTCATAGTGGCGGTCACAGCAACTCAAGCGACCTGATAGAAAGGGGGCGATTTATATGCGGTCGTGCTACATTATGTACGTCCGTGATTAAATCGAGAACCCAGATCATAACGCATTGCTCGTATTGTTGCGTTCATAACGATGATCTCGCCATCCTAGGCAAGTCTTCTTCTGTGTGTAGAAATTTGTCCGTAATAGCCGCGATGTTCTGTTCTATTATATCAGCGCTGACCTGTTTTGACGCCTGTCCTCAACAGGGGGCCTGGGCACCGTGCACGGGTTCCAGAGGCGCTCACTCGTGTATCTGTCCTCGGCAGGTGACCTGGGCCCCGTGTACGAGTTCCAGAGGTGCTCACTCGTGTATCTGTCCCCGGCAGGTGACCTGGGCCCCGTGTACGGGTTCCAGAGGCGCTCACTCGTGTGTCTGTCCCCGGCAGGTGACCTGGGCCCCGTGTACGGCTTCCAGTGGCGCCACTGCGGCGCAGAGTACCGCGGCATGGACGCCGACTACACGGGCCAGGGCGTCGACCAGCTAGCCAACCTCATTCACGACATCAAGTAAGGCGACTGCCTGGGCCGCCGACCGTGATAAGACTGGGTGGGAGTGGCTGCTGTCTGGTTACCTTTTTATGACGTTATGTTTCACTGTTGAGTGTTGTACCGCTGTTATGGACTGTCGTCCTAATATCACCCCGCTTCTCAGGACGAACCCGACCAGCCGCCGGCTGCTGATGTGTCTGTGTACCACGGTGTACCTGTACCGCTCTCTACCACTGTGTCCCCCCACCCACCCAGGACGAACCCGACCAGCCGCCGGCTGCTGATGTGCGCCTGGAACGTGGTGGACGTGCCGAAGATGGCGCTGCCGCCGTGCCACTGCCTGGTGCAGTTTTTCGTGGCTGATGGCGAGCTGTCGTGCCAGCTGTACCAGCGCAGCTGCGACATGGGCCTCGGCGTGCCGTTCAACATCGCCAGCTACGCGTTGCTTACCTGCATGATAGCGCACGTCACCGGACTCAAGGTGGGTGACGGCGCCGGCCGCCGGAGGGGGAGGGGGGGGGGACGGCTGACCGTAGACTGGCTGCGGGCCACCAGGGAGTCGGCCCCGGGGACCAGCTTTGGCTACCAGGGATGGGTTGGTTCCTACGATGAAACTTGACCACCAAGCTTCCAACCCCTCTGATCTCAGGCTAGTGGTTGACGGGACCGTCGTGGACTATATGCAGGGCATGGCCGTGTACTGCGCAGCTCCGCCTCCGCCGTAGAGGGGGGGGGGGAGGGAGCGGGTAGTGCATGACGAATATCGTCCGTGTGTGTACCCAGCGAGGTTACCTGTAAGATGGCGTTCTGACTGCCGACCGTCACCTAGTCTACTTCTAGCCTGCTACATTCCCGCTTGATCAATACTAAACACCATCATTAGCTTTCAGTAAATCAGATATGAGGATAAAGACAGGTAAGTATCCCATGTGTTTTTAATGAGTACATTTGGCTGCCCTTTAATAGAACACGGCACGGGTAGGAAACGAACAAGTTTGTGCACTGCAATGCATAAATGCAGAAGCATTTCAGTTGACACGCTAAAACGCACTACGCTTCAGACGCCAAGCTAGGTCTGGGTCGGTCAGATTCCTTTCATCGATAACTTTTTTTGTTGTTGTTGTTGTTGCTGTCGTTGTTGTTGTGTGTGTTTTTTCCGTCTAATTTGCTCGCACTTTTAGCATAACTTGCGAAAGGGTAAGTTATGCTATTTTCATTGTTGAGTGCATGACTGCATGCTAAGCTGAATTTCACTTGATTGTTGTGTCTTCCTACTTTGTCTCACTGGTACCGATTTCTCCAACCACACCAAAAGGCAAAAATGTTCGCCATCATTATAATTAGCCATTCGCACTTGAGAATAAAGACCTCCGTGGCGATCAAAGGCGCCAAGATGACAGACGAATAGCACACATTTCTGCTATGCCGGTCTAAAAGACGTGTCGTTTGCGCCGTGCCGACAGCCGGGCGAGTTTGTACACTCGACGGGGGACACTCACGTGTACCTGAACCACGTGGAGCCGCTGAAGGAGCAGCTTCAGCGCCAGCCGCGCCCCTTCCCGCGGCTGCGCATCGCGCGAGCCGTACAGAACATCGAGGACTTCACCATGGACGACTTTGTGCTGGAGGGCTACGACCCGCACAAGAAGATTCATATGGACATGGCCGTCTGAGAAGGATGGCCTCTTACTGACCGTGTGGTCCAAGGGCCTGACGGTCTGCTTTGGACCAGCGGCTTCCTCTGGACCACTGGTCCGCTCTGGACTCTGCGGTCTGCTCTGAACCAGCGGTGCGGAGCTGTGGCCAAGTGGTCCTCTTTGAACCGTCGCTCTGCTGTCTGACCAGTGGTCTTCCATGGGTTTTGCTGTGGGCCGTACTGGCTCCATACGACACCCACTGTGTGGGATTTCACTAGCGTCGTGTCCGCTGTCTGGTGGCGGTCTGTGCCAAAAGTACTCTGATCTGTGCCTTTGAGTACCGCGGTCTGTGCCAAGATTCTCTGTCATGTGCCTTAAAGCGCTGTGAGCGGATGGAGCGGACTGGGTTTTTGGACGTGCCCCGGCTTCCTGTGAACCGTGTCGGCCGGCTGCGAGTCGGACCGTACCAATTGTGTTCTGAACACAAACCTGATGCAGTGGCAACCACTTCTCGCAGAGAAACGTGGGGCCAAGTGCGTAACATTACAACCAATCCATTGTTCGTGTGGAAACGTGGGACCAAGTAACTACGTCACCCATTGATCAAATCCATTATTCATGTAGAGACGCGGACCAAGTGAGTCACTCATCCAGAAACATGGGACCAAACAAGTCACTCGTGGCTCATACTCATTGTTCAGTTGGAAACGTGGGACCAAGTGGATCTCCCGTCGACCGAATCGTCACCTTTGTGTTTCGTGTAGTTTAGTCTCGGCCTGTGGCTGTCGTTTCAGTGCGTTGTGCCAGTATCCGGTGTGTTGGGTTTTGTCGCGACTCTGTGGGGATCTCCCGGTACCGATCCGGTACTACTTGAGGCAAAGGGTGCCATGTACACGGGCTTGTTGGACGAGTACCGTACCTAGTACCGGTACGGCCGACCGGAGGCACTCTGCGGGGTCAGACTGCGGCGGCGCGCGGTCAGGGTCGCTACTCCGGGTCATTGGCGCCAGGTGCCACCGATGCTTTCCAATTACCGTTTACACCGATCTCTGGATATTTTAACCAGGCTTGCGAGGACAATACACAGACGTTTGTATGTTCTTAGTCTTTGATCTTGAGGAAAGTGTTTGTGACGACAGATCACGCAAATGATCCTTCAACTTAACTCTTAGGTAAAGCGTTTATTTGCAATGCTACATAACATATAAGCAACGCACAACTTTAATCAACCAGATGCTACACATAATACATAATAGATCCATATCACGATGATTCCTGGAAAGACTTTAAGGCCAGCACATTGCACAACTTGAAAGACTAGCAGTAACTGCACAACTGTGAAACAGATACACTTGTAATTGCCCTCACGGTACAGCCAAGGGAAGAGGTTCAGCGGGTTAGGGTGAGATCTCGGCAGCCATGGTCGACACCTCGGTGTTGGAGCTCTGGTGAGACGGCAGGCCGGCGGCTCCCCGTCCCAGTGTTTGTCTGGGCCGGGAGGTAACCCTCCAGTGTAGGAGGCACTACCTCAGGGTCGAGCAGCTGCTGTCGCATCCTCTGGCGTTACCAGTCTGTCTCGGGGCGGGTGTTAGCCCTCCACTGTGGGCGGCACGGCCCCTGGGTCGGGCAGCTGGCGCATCCTCTGTCTATACCAGTCCGTCTGGGCCACCAGCAGGGCGGCCATACTGCGTGCCGCCGCCGCCCATCTGTCCAGAGGGTTGGTGCGTCAGTTCTGATCGGTTCAAACTTCCACTTCCATGGAACCACGGGATGACAGGGCAAGGGAAAGATCAGAAGAGGATGCTAAGAGGACCACTTGTGACGAATCGTAAATAAAATTCAAAGATTGCGATGACGGGTATGATGGACGTGTCATCTCAGTAATGTTCTACACTATGATTGAAGCTACGGTTACGCATTGGTAAGCACCACAAACTACAAAGTAATGGTTGAACTGTAGTGCACGCGTTTGTAGCGGCGCCTCAGCTCGGTTACCCACCTGTTGGCCTGCTGCCGCTGTCCTTGCAGGGAAAGCTGAACGGCCTGGTTCCAGGTCCGGGTCATCACATACAGAGTCTGAGGGAGGAGGGAGACCATATCCTCATTACAGGGACAGCTGAACGGCCTGGTTCCAGGTCCGGGTCATCACATACAGAGTCTGATGGCGAACCACACATCCTTGGTAAATAACGGGGTCCAACTTTCGGTGTTGCACGGTTTTAACCCTCACCAAATTTAGCCCCGATGGTTCAAAATTGGAATAATAGTTCCTTTCGGCGGTATCCGACCGACGGTCGCTAACGGTCGGTCCCTGAGTGAAATCTGATGGGCGCTCATAATACAATAATCATCCATAGATACGAGCCCAGTATGACATCACACCAGAGCGTTGTACCGCCAATACTAGGAAAATAATCTGACAGTCATATCTGGCTAGCGTCCCTCCGGGCGGAGGGACAGGCCGTCACCACTCGGTGCTGACCGTCATATTGGGGTAGCGTCCCTCTGATCGTCGAATGGAGTCGCGGACGGCCAGCACGGCGGCCAGAGCCCGGTCGGCCGGCAGCTCCGGCGCGTCCACGTGGTCCAGCATCAGACTGGTGTACCTGGCCGGGGCGTAGAGAGACGGCTGGTACATTAAACACGACTTACGTGGGCGGAAATGGAACTGGGACCGACGTGAGTACGGACAATGGTACTCATGCCCACCGATCGCGGAATGTCTGCTGACACACGTTCATTTATAACATACATTCGTAGCCCATCCCACGTCATCGTCAGCTAGCGGAGCTCTGTTACTCGCTCACCCGGTCTGTAGCGCGGCTGACCTGGTCTGTAGCGCGGCTGACCTGGTCTGTAGCGCGGCTGACCTGGTCTGTAGCGCGGCTGACCTGGTCTGTAGCGCGGCTGACCTGGTCTGTAGCGCGGCTCACCTGGTCTGTAGCGCGGCTCACCTGGTCTGTAGCGCGGCCACTCTGCCCCAGTCGACGTCCGGCGCCCGCAGCAGCAGGTCGGCGGCGGCTCTCAGTGCTCGGGCGGTCAGCTCGGGCCGGCAGCTGCCCAGGAGGGCGGCGGCGGCCTCCAGGGTGGCGGGCTCAGAGTCCGGCCGGTGGATCAGCGCCGAGACCAGACCGGGCAGCTCGGGCGCCCCCAGCCCGGCCTGTCCGCACCACAGAGACACACAGTCAGACACCGACACTATATCACAAGAGGCCGAGACCAGGCCGGGCAGCTCGGGCGCCCCCAGCCCGGCCTGTCCGCACCACAGAGACACACAGTCAGACACCGACACTATATCACAAGAGGCCGAGACCAGGCCGGGCAGCTCGGGCGCCCCCAGACCGGCCTGTCCGCACCACAGAGACACACAGTCAGACACCGACACTATATCACAGAGGCCGAGACCAGACCGGGCAGCTCGGGCGCCCCCAGACCGGCCTGTCCGCACCACAGAGACACACAGTCAGACACCGACACTATATCACAGAGGCCGAGACCAGACCGGGCAGCTCGGGCGCCCCCAGACCGGCCTGTCCGCACCACAGAGACACACAGTCAGACACCGACACTATACCAGAAGAACGAGCGAGCGAGATAGTGAGCCCTGCACGTGCGGAAGGGCGAAAGGTACTTCCAACGGGCTTGTGCAAAACACTCTTCTAACCGGTTGCTAGCGGTGTGCCAAATTTGAACGCAATTGGCCCAGCCGTTTCTGAGATGTGGAAGCGGCATTCTGCACGTGCGCACGTGCAAACGGGGTCCAAAGTGACTTTTGCACGGCACCCTACTAACTGGTCCCCAGCCGTGTGCCAAATTTGAGCGCAATCGGCCCAGCCGTTTTCGAGATCTGGAAACGCCCCCTGCACGTGCGCACGTGCAGTAGCACCCAAGCCGCAACACGTGGGAATGCATTGCCTGGTGGGTGCCTACCTGTATGCCAAGTTTCAGCGAAATCGCCCCAGTAATTACCGAGTTATTAAAATGGGAACAAATTTGACACCTCTTATTGTTGTATTTTGCACGTGCACTGGGGGTGACCCACATGCATCGAGAGTATCCTATTTTTGGTAGAAGGGATGCAGCTACCCTACAAAAAATTACCGCAAGACAATCGCCCAAGCGGCTGCTGAGATATGAGCCTCTCAAAATCACTACTTTTGCAAAACAGCTTGAACACCCTTGACTTTTCACGTGGCACGTGCCACGACGGTCACTGAGATGTATCAAAAGGTCAATTACGGGGTAGAAGGGATGGGGCTACCCAGCAAAAAAGACCGCAGGCCAATTGGTCCAGCGGTTGCTGAGATATAAGCCTCTCAAAAGCGTTACAGGCCGGCCCGGGCCGGGCCGGGCCGCTCATACTGAAATTTTTCCGTTATATTGAAAAGACTCACTTCGCTCGCTGCGCTCGCTCGCTCGTAATCACAGACAGAGGCCGAGACCAGGCCGGGCAGCTCGGGCGCCCCCAGCCCGGCCTGTCCACACCACAGAGACACACAGTCAGACACCGACACTATATCACAGAGGCCGAGACCAGACCGGGCAGCTCGGGCGCCCCCAGCCCGGCCTGTCCACACCACAGAGACACACAGTCAGACACCGACACTATATCACAGAGGCCGAGACCAGACCGGGCAGCTCGGGCGCCCCCAGCCCGGCCTGTCCACACCACAGAGACACACAGTCAGACACCGACACTATATCACAGAGGCCGAGACCAGACCGGGCAGCTCGGGCGTCCCCAGCCCGGCCTGTTCACACCACAGAGACACACAGTCAGACACCAGACAGCAGACACCAGACACACAGTCAGACACCGACGCTGAATATTGGACAGCTGCTACAGCCGCCGACACTGACAGATGACCGCAAAAACTGACACACCCGACACCGGAGCGGGCGTGATACAGCCCTGCCAACAAGCATATGCAAATTTCCAGCAACTGACAACGTTTTTAGTGCAACGCTTGGAGTTCAGCAGACTGATCAATATTACTTCACGGGCTGTGGTGCGGTTGTTGCGTCAATGAATGTTACTGTTGGTCGGTTTCTAATGTGTCGAAGCGATCGGGCTGGTTGGCCGGGGTACCTTGGCCTCCAGCTGGTAGAGCAGCACGTCCGAGCGGTCGGTCCAGCCGGCTGAGCTGCCGCCGAGCCGTGAGGTCAGCGCGCGGCACTCCTCCACACAGTCGAGCACCTCCCTGCCACAACGGGGAGACGCAGTGTGAGTGTGAGCGGCAAGGGACCGAACACGGCTCAACGCCGTCCAGGCGAACGAGCAGCAATATCATTGGGAGAGGAGGCCTTTGATCAGTGCCTGTGGCTTTAACATCGAAAGGCTTTAACATCTAACACCCAACTGTATCGACAAGACGACGTCTCTAAATCTCTAATATACTGGGTGATAATGACTGCCGAGGTGCCGGTCGGCGGCCCTGTGTTCCGTACCCGAGGTGAGCCCGTTTCTCCTGCAGTGTCAGAGCCGGATGACGAGACGCCTCCAGAGCGGCTGCCGCCGCCATCGTCGCCGCCGTGCGGCACAGCGCCAAACCGGCCGGATCCTGGGCGGATAGGGTCGCATAGCCGTCAACGACACGTAACGATAGTTAACGACATAACGACGCCCAACGGCACAACAGCACAGCGCCAGAGCGGCCGGGTCTTGAGAAACGGTGTGACACAACGACGATAAACAACACACGAAATTCAACAACACACAACACAATAACACCCGGTCCCGCCACTCATCCAGTAGAGTTCGCTATATCCACTACGTACCTGACAGGGTCCCGGACCGGCCTGCAGGAACAGCCGGCAGAGGTTGAAGAGTCGACCCCGGTCAGCCGGAGCCATATCCCGTCCGCCGTGTACGGCCACGTTCCACGATACGTCTGAGAGCCAGCGGGCGGCCGCGCTGCCGGCTGCCGCCGGGCCGCCGCTGACCTGTCGGGCGCGGAGCGCGAGTCAGCTCATAAACTAAGGAGTCAGCCCTCCTCTGTTAACCTACCGACACAGCTCGCCGATCATGGGGTTGGCCCTTCGCTCCTCCCTCAGATACACACACCGCCTTGCATCTCACCAGCTCTGACATCAATGCGTAGATGACGTGTATTTATGTATGTATGTATGTATTACCAACATGGACAATCCACACGGGGCGTGGCGATTACAGTCCATATGGTACGCATGACGAGAAAAGTACCCAGAGGTCGCGCAGTGCGACCTCAGCTGTCGACTGATATCCCGCAGTCGTGTGGCCCGGTGTCGGTTACCTGACCTAAGAGCGTCGGAGGGACTGATCACTGACCTGACAGCGCTGCAGGGTGACGAGCGCCATCTCCAGGGCAGCCAGCAGCGGTCCGACGTCCGGCGGCTCGGCGGCTCCCTCGTCCACCGGCTGAGTCTCCAGAGTCTCGATACGACACCTGGCGACCGGGAGAGTCACACACACTGGTCAGCGGTCGCCGGTTACAAGTTACAACAGGGTACAGAGCTGTAGGTCTGGCGACCACGGCAGTCGAGACAGCACATTGATCAGCGGTGCGCCGCGGTACAGACATCAACGGCACAACATGGCCACAACAGGTTAACCTTTCTCCGAATACGGTAGGGACTGGCAGGGCCGGCTGGATTGGTCACTTACGAACGGCCTTAACCCGTCCCTACAACCACCCCACTTTATTTCTCCCCAGTCGGCGGTGATACCGGCGACTCTCACCTGACCAGGCACTGTGCGAGCGGCAGGCAGTCCTCGGCCCGGTCCAGGTGACGCGCCGCCGCCTCTAGCAGCCGCTCGTACAGGCCGGCCATCTGGCGGCCCAGGGAGAAGGCGCACAGGTGGCGCCACAGTCGCGCCACGGCCGCCCGGTCCGGCGCCGCGTCTGAACGGCAGGGGAGTGGAACCACCGTCAGGACAGTCGGTCTCAAGGATCACTAACAATTAGCTGTGTGGGACACAATGACTGGGAGGAGTCGGTGGGTGTCGGAGCCCTCACCTATGGCGGGGGGAGGGGTGGCGGAGATCTCCGATCAGCCCCTCACCTATGGCGGGGAGCAGCTGGAGGGCGGGGCGGTCTCCCCCTCACCTATGGCGGGCAGCACCTGGAGGGCGTCCTGCTCCCGTTCGGCGGCCAGCAGCAGCTGCAGCAGCAGGTAGAGCGCCGCCGGACAGCCCGGCTGCAGCTGCAGCGAGCGGCGCAGCGCCGCCTCGGCGGCCTCCAGCTCGCCGGCGTCGCGCCGACAGCGGGCCACGTTCCGCAGCAGCCGCGCCGCGGTCTCCGGCTCTGGGCGAGGCGGCGACAATTAATAATTACAGTGCCGCAATGCTTCATGCTTGGGTAAACACGTGGGTAGGTAATTTTCTAAACGTGTCTTTTGTTGACGTCTTTTTTCCTGTCTGGAAATCAAGTCGAGTAACGGAAAATATCGAATACAAGCGCGGGGACGGGTTAAGGCTCTAGCTCAATTATTCATGCATCGATCCGTTTTTTATAGTATGCTTGTTCGGATACATGGCTTACCGACACCGGGCAGGTCGGCCAGCTTCTCGAGCAGCTGCACGGCCGACTCTCGCTCACCAGCCTCCATCAGGGCGTCGGCACGTTCCTCGAGGGCGGCTACCTGGCCCACCACCGTCTGACCGTCTGTTGGAGAGGGCGAGGGGGAAGATAGGTACAGGATTCAGACTTCAGACTTCAGATCGTACCACTAACATCCACCGCGACCAATGGCAACGCTTAATGGGTTGACCGAGTAACATTGAAATATCCACCTTCGTCGCAATCAGCAGTGCCAGTAATATAGTTCAAAGAACGTCGATTGTATCGATACTGATTCGCTCTTTCAGCAGTGCCCCGTTTCCCACCGAACCCACTGACCGTCCCTGGTTTCCAGCTGACCCCATGTTCAGCTCAGTACCGACTGACCGCCGTACCGGCGGCCGGCTGCGCACCTTTGGTGTGCTCGGGCTGGGCGCAGTACTCGGAGAGTGCCTTCAGCGCCTCCGCGGGCCGCTCCAGCCTCAGCAGCAGGTGGACGGCGCGCCGGCACGCGTCCCCACTCCAGCCGTCGGCGGCGGCACGGCGCAGCACGGGCACCGCCTGCGCACCGCACTGGTGCTGCACCAGCAGGTCGGCCAGCCGCACCAGCTCGGCCGGCCGGCGGCACCAGTCGGCCGCGTCGCGCACGCAGTGCTCCACGGTGCCGGCCGGCTGCTCGGGGTCGCCCGCCGCGCGCCGGCGCAGCTCGCAGCTCAGGATCAGCAGCCGCGCCGTCAGACTAGGCGTCTCTGAGAAACCGAGCTGCAGCAGCTGGGTGGCGCGCCGCAGGTCGGCCGCCGAGCCCGCCTGCAGGTGCGTGCGCGCCAGCAGGTCCAGGGTGCGCGCGCGCAGCTCGGACGGCCCGTGGCTGCGCGCCAGGCCCTGGCCCACCTCCATGCTGCTGTTGAGCCAGCGCGCCGCCTGCGTCCAGTCGCGCTGCCGGTACCGGCTCAGGCCGAAGTTGAACATGAGGCGCTGCATGTAGCGCAGCTGGTCGCCGCTGGCGTCCCGCGCGCCGCCCGCCTCGCGCACCGTCTCGTCCACCGCCTGCCACTCCTCGCGGAGAAAGAGCGCCTCGGCGCGCACCATCAGGCAGCCGAAGCGCGCCTGCTCGATGGCCGCCAGCTGGCGCAGCGTGTCGGCGCGGCGCGCGAACGTGGCCAGCTGGCTCTCGGCGGCAGCGCGGCGCAGCAGCAGGTCGCGCAGAGCCAGCTCCGACAGCGACAGCGCGCGCGACAGCTCGCCGTCGGCCAGGCACTGGCGCGCGGCCGTCAGCAGCACCTGCGTGGCGTTGGCCACCGGCAGCGGAGCGGATCCGGCCAGCAGGAGCAGCAGCTCGGCGGCCAGCCGCCGGCTGAGGCGCGTCGTGAGCTGACCCAGCGACTCGCGCAGCGGCAGGTTCCACAGCCGGCACACCAGCAGCTGGCCCAGCTCGGCGGCGTCGGAGCGCGGCGGGATGCCCAGCGCCGGGCAGAGGTGCTCCTGCAGTCGCTCCAGCACGGCCGACGGCTCGGCGCCGCCCACCACCGCCAGCTCGTCCACACAGCGCTGTAGAGCCGGCAGCACCAGCGACTCGGCGTCTTCCTCCATGCCAGGTGGGACTGGACTTTCGCAACCGTCCATTTCTGTAAAGCACGGCGAATAATGCAAAACTTCAATGTTGTTAATGACCCATTCTTCCGTAATTCTTATGTTTCTTAGGAACACTGCGGGCTGCGGCGAACCTACTCCAATACCCTATTACGGCGAACCACTGAACTCTATCGGCGAACAAACACCCGCATCCTGCGTTCACCCTGAGGGCTGTTCGGCTGCGCAGCAAAAATGAAATATGCTGCAGCACGCATGCGCAGTGAGGACTTCGTCGCCTGTTAGTCCCGCCCACACGCGTATTTACAAATTGCAACCGAGCTCCGCCGTGGGGTAAGGTGGGTAGGGGTTTTCGCACTACGGCTGCGGTTGAACTACCGTCTGTGGTAGAAACTTCAGGATGATGGCGCGTTTCATACGAAATCTGGCGCAATGTTTGTTTGCTTCTGTATTTTGTATTGTTATTGCTGTGAACTCTTGAAGTGGGAGTGTTTCAATAACAATTTGTGGATTATTTGAGTTTCTTGATATAAAAATCGAATAATATTATGAAACATTGTGTGGAAACTGCAAATACTGAAATAATCAATTGCTTAGTTTTGAAATTGATACACATTTTGTAGAGGTTTGTCTGGCAAATGGTGTAGGTAACTAATTTCAAGCCTATCATGATCTGAAGCTGTTGTAACAAATCAAAATTGCTTTGATGTTCCATAGTACCTTGTTGGAAAGACTGGAGCATGGTTCAAGATGATCTGTAAAATTCAAGATGTGTGCAAAAGCTTATGACTGAAGAGCGAAAACAGTTCTAGGTATATGATCAATGATGGCTCAATGAAACGTGGAAATGGGCGACAAAAGTAGAGTTTCAACATTCCAGCATGTGAGAATAACTTCAGAACTTCATAGTTCTTGTATTGCATTCTTCTTATGTACAGTTCTAGGTTTTGTTAGGGTATTTTAATTTCAATGTGTCAGTTGAGATATAGGTGGATGTCGGATAAAATTTAGAATCATTGCATGGTAGATAGGTGCTTGTTCGATAAAAAGTTATGTGATGAATGCCACGAGAAGGTTTTTTATGACTTATATATGGTCATTGTTGTAAATACCTACTAAAATGCAAGCTTGCTAGCACCTAGTTTTTGAATCAAATCGAAAGTATTTGCTATGAATGTAAATATATACCTGCAAAGTATGTCAATAAACTTGTGTGATGTTGACCAGAGAGCTGTTGCTGTATCATCTGGGCATTTACCTATGTTGCTTCTTACATTAGGTGTTGAGCATAGTAGTTATGGATGAACTTTTAGCCAATATCTTCAATGCACATTGCACAGTGTATGTAGCATGTCTACAACCCTCACTGATCCTGCTATAGCTATAGGCATTTGGCACCAGCAAGACCAAAGGCATGAACTTCACAGTTGTGCAACCCTTTGTTTGTCATGTACCACCAGTCACTTTTTTTTCCTTAAGGTGCACATAGCAGTGTACACAATAATGCGCAGAGGGCCTACACAAAAACAACATGATTAGTGTGCACTATGATGCACAGCATTGTACCCTGATTATTTGAATATTCTGATCACTCAACAGTCAGGAGACCATTTTTTAATGTCTCATTTATTAAACATCACTTGTCAGTTGTCAAACAAGAGCATGATGACACACACTTTGACAAGCAATCATGGTAATATTCCAATAAGTTGGACACCTCCCTGGGCGTCATTTTTTCAGGAAGGTACCTCTGCAGGTGTTGTGGTAGGTTAGGTTGAATTGGGTTAAGTTAGGTGAAGTAAGGCAGTTAGGACCAGGTCAGACCGTAAGGCCTGGTCAGGCTGACTTTAATCTTCCATTCTAATTTGACATAGATACCTATTACCTATGTTTTTGCTCCAGACTGAACTTCATTAGGTAGTGAGTTCATTTTGTTTTGTTTTTGTTCCTTATGTTTTGCCCCATAGGCAAGGGTGGAGCTTTTCTAGGGAAGGCGGTGGGCAAAAAGCCGTCAAACCTGCAATGCTCGATTGTTAAGTTAGATTATGTGCAACACTGAATCAATTCTTTTAATTACCGAACTAACATTTTGAATTACACAGGCATTTCAAAGCTCCTCAATTCGAACAACATAGTGGTTTGCTAAGCAACGAAGTTATACAAATAAGCAAAAGTTGGAGGGCCAGAACGCTATTTTTTTTCTCTGACAGTTTCGTAACATGTTACGAAGGCACCAAAACTACTTCAGTACAGGGTGTAACGAAATTATCTAGACATATATCTTTTAGCCATATCTGTATGCACAGTTTCCTAATCCTTTCTGATGTTAGAAGTGGGAATATTGGATGAATACGTGCCTCTGCTATCGGTTTTCAACTCAGCAGTGACCTGACCTTGTCATGTGACTGTTGCTCTGAGTAGGAGTCGATTCACAGACGGGTTCACATGGTAGTTTTCGTCCTTAGTCACCAAGTCATTCTTACCAAGTCAGATAATAAGAGATCCCATATCATGGTTTACCGCAACCCGCCCTTTAACCCTATTAGTGGCAGGCTCCTGGCTACCCCTATTAGTGGCAGGGGGGGGGGGCTGTTTACGACCCCCCCTTGATATCTCGAGATCTAACGGGCCGATTTTCAAAATTCAAACGGCATTCGATTTCGCTCAACGTGATCTACATTTCTAAAAAATAAAAATTAAAAAATGTCAATAGGGGGGGTAGAGGGGGGTAAAAACGGGCAAATTGCAGATACATTTTAGACTGTTTCTCACGGCCAGGTTTCTGAACCAATCTTAACGCAACTTTTGCCGATCGATAGAGAATGAACCAGGAATTCACATGGATTCTAAAAATATGCATTTTCAAAAATCATAGGCTGATACAGATCATTGAGATTGGGGGTACACAAAAAGTATAGTAAATAAGGTTTTTGTTGGTACTGTTTCTAAAAAGGGTGGTAATGGTCTTGTTATGTTACAATTTTCTTATGAGATAACGACTACAATTGTATTGGTCATGCATAGGCGGTGTCAGGGCACCTATGTTGGGAGGTAAAACATAACCCCCCTTTTTGGACGCCTGGATCCGCCTATTATAGCAAAAACGTGTCAAAAGAGGATGCACAATAACTGTATATGTTATCACATGATACCTTTCATTCACTGTTCGTAAAACTGGTGCAGCGTCGTGATCTTCGCCCAAATGACTCGCTTCACGAATAGGACCCCCCAATTCTCAGTGCTCTGGAGCCGCCCCTGGTAAAGTTATGAACTTGAAATTTTCAGGGAATGTGCCCAATTTAGTTTTAGGAAAAGTCAGAAAATTTCAGCATCGTAGCTTCAGCGGTTTCGGAGATATTCTCGAAAAACCTGAGGGGTGGATAAAAACAACCCCCCCCCCCCTGCCACTAATAGGGTTAACTTAATTCTAGTGCCCTTCAAACTGAAAAAGACAACGAAACTGACGGGAAAACAACCAGTTCACCACCTTTCGCCTCACGCCAGATCGGTCCACTGGTTGAAGGAAGATAAGGGTGAGGTGGTCTGGTTGGATGGGTAGCCGTTCGAGCTGTGTTATCCTTTGAACCGTCAAATGGCCATGTATGGGCGGCCAGCCGCTCGAACTTGCTGGCCTTCGCCGCCGTCAAACATCCGGACAATATCCAGAACTGGAGCATGTTCAGCTGCCTAGCGATGCTCCAATATCACATAGTGTCATATAATACCGCCATCAACGTCAAGTATTACCGGAGCAACATACTGGCCAATGAATGGTTGGAGGCTTTCAACCAGACGGTATAGGAGGGCTCGGTTTCTGAACGCGCACTGATGCCTGATTCAAGCCACGCTGTCTTCATGTGGGGCGGCGCGCTAAGTCCCTAAAAGAACGGGAAGTGATGCCGATAGAACCTTCAATCATTCTGGGCTAACGCTTATGACTTGGAAAAAGAAAGTCGCGATCCCAATTCAATCGAAAACCTGTGGGCTCTTGTTCAGCAGGTGACTGAAGAGACGCCCGCCACAAGCACCGCCCAGCCGTAGGCACAGGTTTGTTTAGACGGCGTTGGTCCGCATGCCAGTGTGCTGGAGAATCCAGCGGCTGAAATGCTCCAGAACATTCGCCACTGTGTTTTTATGAAAGGTGGCTACATGCTCAGTTAAAAGAAAAAGTACCAGAATGTTTTGCTTTTTGATTACAGTGGGAAGAAAGGTGTCCGGGGATAATTTCTTTACAACCCCTGTAATGTTCAAATGGTTGCTAAATTCGAAATCAGCTCCAAAAACTAGCCTAGAAACATGCAAAACTTGAAAAAGTGAACTGAGGTCATCAAAGGTCATTGAGCTGACCTGACCTTCAGGTGACCTTGACACCCACCCTAATGCATAGGACCAGCATCATATCACATGTTTCAACGCTTGAAACCACGTAAAGACTGCAAACGCGCGACTAATGCGAGCCGACATACGCCGAATCGCGATTCGGGCCAAACATGGTCTCGAGAAATAGGTCACAGGTCAAAGGTCATTTGGGTCAGGGTCATGAAATTTTCGGGGTATGTGTAAAATTGATAAAATCGGGAGTATTGAAAGTTTCGTCGCGATCGGACGGTTTTTACGCGAGTTACTCACGAAAAACCGATGGGGTCCGTTCAATGCCTCCCCCTATACGGGCGAGGGAAAAGCGCAACCAAAAAGGCAAAAATACGCACATGCAATAACCTATACTGCGAAAAAAGGTGCATCATTTTCGAACGTCGCCGAGAAATTGTAATTACCCCAAGCTCAGGCAAATGTATGGTAGAAAATACCCCAAGTGAAATACACTACGGCGGAAATAAAATACCCTACGGCGGAGCTCGGTTGCAATTTGTAAATACGCCGCCCACACCACTGCGTCACCGCCTGTGTGACGTCACCTACTGAAGCATGCTTCGTTTTCCTGCAGCACGAAATTTGGTGCTGCAGGAGGCGAAAGTGGCGCGGATTAAAGTTTACCGTCCAATATTTCTTATTGTAAGTGGTTTGTATGCTGTTTTTTGGGTATCATTATCATTCTTTTCGGTGGCACATTGCTAATAACCACATTTGAACGCAAATTAATCGTTATTTGAGCGACAATCACCAGTCCACCCGCGCAACGGTTCGCCGCGTTTGAAATAGGCTGCGGCGACGCTCGGCCGCGGCCAAGGCTATATAAACCAGGTAGAACGCTCCCGAAGAAAAAGTGGTGACAAGCAATATTTAGTTGCCGCGACCCTCACTTGTTCAAGACTATATCCGCAAGCAGCATTTACAAGCTAGCGGAAATCGACCAATCGGCGTTCGGCAATACTCAACGCTGATTGGCCCGATGCTCGTGACGAAATTGCGGGGGACTGCAGCTACTCCCCTATGGCGTTTCATTGACTTATGACTTTTGAAGGGGATTTGTATCAGTTTTTGTTGGGTTTGAGGCCATTTTTGAGCTTGGATATTCTTTCCGTGACCTTTGACTATATAATAACGACATTTAATTATGACATTTCTATATACTACCGGTGTCACATCGGCCAAAAAGACCGTAAGTACATGGGATAGACGGACCACTGCTGATGGGGCCACACATGTCGGCGTGTGGTCATCGGAGGCCCATGAGGGCTCGACATGGGCCCTTTATGGGTCGGTATAGGCCCAGTGGGTCCAGTGCAGGCCTACCAGGGGCCGGTGGCATATAATGTAAGGCTGTCTCGGGACGAATTGAGGGCTCATGGGGGCCATATAGGACCATTAGGGACAACATAAGCCAATCAGGGGTCCATTTAGGCCAATAAAGGCGCTTCAGGGACTTGAAGAGGCCATTCAAGAGCCGTGGTGGGCCCATGAGGGGACGGCATTGGTCCATCAGGTGCAGTCAGGGGATGTTGTACGGGTTTCTCAGTGACCCATTTGGGCATATCAGTGACCAATTTAGACCCAGCAGGGGGCTTTGTAGACCTATCAGGGGCTGGTGATGGTTTATCGGAGGCCAGCGTTAGTCCATCGGGGCACGGCATGCCCATTAGAGGTAATTGCGGGCCCACACTGAACAATGATGGCCCTTCAACGGCCCCTAATGGATCTAGATTGACCCATGTTCCATGATGTGTCATGTATGCCCCTATGGCAGGCCTACTCAGACCCCTGATGGACGTTCCCGGCCTCTGATGACCCTATACTGAATCCTGGTGGGGCTCTAAGAGTCTCCAATAACCCTTCTTCAGCCCATTATTACCATACGCTGGCACTAAAGGCCCCACATCAGCCGCAGGGCAGTCCGTGCCAAGACAGCATGTCTTTTCGGCCGATATTACATCGGTAATATTAATTAAAATCATGATTTTATGGTGCCATTATATAGCTAACAGTCATAAGAAATATATTTCAACTCGAAAACAGCTCGAAACAGCATATAATCTTAAAGAAACCCCTCTGAAATCCAAAAGCCTATTCGGGTCCATAGAGAATAACTGCGGTCCCCCGCAATTTCGTCACGAGCGTCGGGCCAATCAGCGTCGAGCACTGCCGAGCGCTGATTGGTGGATTTTCCGCTAGCGCGTGAGTGCTGCTCGCGGAACAAGAGTTCGTCGACAATCCTCCACAAACGTCTGTCACCACTTTTCGTAATGCTAAACAGCCGGAGCGTACCCCCCTGGCCGCGGCGTGCCGGCGGAGAGTGGGCGGAGCCAGGCGGTTGACGTCACCCAAGTATGACGCACGCAGCACAGATCTATGCTGCAGGGACCCGAACAGCCCTCTGAATTGAGGGGTATTCATCTACTGCTTCTCTACATCGTTGCTAGGGCATTTGACCAATCAGAATTGACTGGGGGGAGGATGGTGAGTTGAGAGGGTACTCATATGACGTCATAAATAGCCCTTACGGGAAGTTCATTGGTGTATCTTAGCTAGAAAGACGTCATGCTATTTGACCTTGATTTCGGTGACAGGAAAAACGCTTCTCATCGAACAGTTTAGAGCTGTTCACTACAAAAACGGCGCGCACGTGACATTTGTACATTTATTAGCAAAAGTCGACTAGTGACAAAAAAGTTGTTTTCTTAGAATTTTCGGCCTGCGAAATTGGGATTTTGTGTCGTTTTAGTTTGTAACTTATGTTTTGATTTATATTCTGCTATAGCATAATTTCAAGCATCAATAATGCTTTTTGTTACAATAAAGCAGGGGTCGGCAAATGGTGGGGCATGCCCCCTTTGGGGGTAATGGCGCCCTTCAGCGGGGGGTAATGAGGGCCTCTGAGAAAGCCTCATCTTTTTTTGGAATTAATGGCTCCCTTGATGGGAAAAACATCGCAACTGTTGTGCCCCTGGATTCAAAGATTAGTCGAGGTCAAACGCACAAAGCATGAACTGATTAGCTGGCGCATGCCAATTTTCATGTAGCTGCTCACCATTCCGTACACTCGTGGAAAGTAACTGTCATGTACTAGCCGGCGCTCGTCTATTGGCGTTTTCACAGTCACTAACGCAAGGGAGAGGAGTCGTCCATTGCACCCTGACCTGAGCATCTCGGTCTCTGAGCTGGAGCTTTGCAGAAAAATTGAGCGTGTTGCCCGTGAAGATAAGCAGCCGCTGCTACCCAATTTAAAGGTCGTTGGTCATTGGGTGACCTTCCATAGGTCAATAACAAACTGCCGAGTTAATCGGGTCCTGCTGTAACTTCTTGAAGTGAGATTTTGTGGCCTGCCATGATCTCAAAGATCTGACAAATCAACGGTTATTCGGGTTAAGGTCATGCCATTTTCAGGACAGATAAAGATGATCGGCTCGATGGTACAGGTTTTTTTCGTGATCCGACCTTTTTTAACGTGATCTACTCTCGAAACATACCCGCTACCGCTATACGTATGGGGATTAACCCGCGCCCCGCTGGGGCTCCTGGATTTCCACGCCCTGCTGGAAATGGAGGTTGAACACCCCCTATTAACTTGGCTCCTGGGTCACTAGCGAAACGCCGTAGTCGGCGATCGAAAGAGCGTAAGAAATGATGAAGAAAAAACTATGGTCACCTTTTAGGTCAAATCAAAGGTCAGGTCACCAGAGGTCATCGAACGTAAAATTTCGCCAATTTCCAGGTCAACCTTTGACAATTTTCGACAAACTGGCCTATAGCTCAGGAAAGGATAGAGCTACAGCGCTGCGGAAAAACGCATTCGATAGCTCTCTTAACGTTTTTTTTCTGATGCCTGCCCTCAGATTCAACCGAAGATAGTTTAGCCTGCAGGAGACAAAAACTGCCAAAATGTACGTTGCTTGCTCGATAGTTTTTCTTGAATAACTTTTCACTCAAAACTTGCAAGAGCTCACTTTTATCAGCATCGTGATCCTCCCGTCGAAAAGCATCGAAGGTTTTGTTGCACATCAGTCGATCCGTATCGTCGAGCTGAACACATCTAAGGCATTTTCATCGCTCTGGGATGCCTTTATCAAAAGTTATTAGCGAATAGCTGTTAGATACCATTCATGACTTGAAATGACCTCAGGGACATACAGTGGGGTAACGGGTGCAATTTTCCGGTTCAGCGGTCATGTTTACTTGTAAATAAGAGTGTCACAGTGTTAGGAATGACACTGGTCCAAAAGAGGCGCCTTTCAATTTTCTACCATTGACTTTGCGCCCTCCATTGATAATGGGAGAGGGCGTGAAATTGACCTGAACTTTGGTCACCGACATCAAATCTCCGAGATACAAATTTTGTACATGTTGTTGCCTTTATCAATTCCTGAAAGTTTGAAAGAGGTCTGTCACTCAATGCAGCTTAAGCAGGCGTTGCAGTCTTTACTGAGGTGAGGTCACTTGACGTGATCTGGTGACCTGACCTTGAGTGACTCTGGTCTGAAATATTCACAACATGTGCAGAAACGATGTATGATAAAATGTTCCAAAATGGTGGCGCTCCGTGCCAACGTTTTTGAGATATTTGCGAGAAACCCCAGGGGAGGGGGCCTGCGGTTTCTCGCAGATATGGTACCCAAAGAGTCACGGAAAAGTATGGAATTTCAGTAACCTTGGTTGTATCACCAATGGGGTCTGGTAGGTGGGGGTAATGGCCCTGCCTGGCGCCAAAAAAGGGGGCACGACCCCGGAGGACCTGCCGACCACTGCAATAAAGCTTTGATTTGAAAGCTAAAATTATGAATGTTTTTGTTATACCTAATTCATTTTCAATAATTATTATCCACCATTCACCAATTATCAAAACAAGTGATTTTATTTCATCTGTTCAACACCTCTCAACCTCCCTGAATTTTTGCAGGTTTTTTTATCCAGTCTCCACTGATTAGTGTCTGCAAGTATGTCTTCTCTGAGGTTTGAGACCCTTGAAGATGAGGTGCGATCTGTGCTGGAGTCGCGGGTGCCTCCTACACCACAGCAGGCTGCCACAGTTGCCAGTCTTCTGGCAGATATGGAGACTGAGTTACAGGTAGGTGTACTAATCTCATCTAATTAATAGCTAAGTTCAGCATAAAATAATCAATTGCAAAAGCAAAACAAATAGGATTATCACGTAAGTATCAGCTCAAACTAAAACATTTTTCTGTTAATTTAAGTTCTTAGATTTTGAGCTAACAAAATATATACAAAGTAAAGTAAATAAAGCAAATTTGTAACACCAGCCACCACCATCTCGGCACTCCGATCTCCGCAGTGTCATTGCTGTGACCACAAAGTCTTGAAAGAGTATACTGGCCCTCTGTTGCACAGTGCTGTATGTATTAGGACTGCCAATGGTTACAAGCTGATGATTATTTGTGGTGAGCAGTAATGCATGGCAGGTTTTGTGAGGTCCAAAGTGGCTATATGGACTTGGGTTCTCTAGGCTGTTCTTTGATTTCTAGGTCCTTCTAACTCTGTGTCCATTTATTTTTTGGTATTGGGTTAATCCTTTTAGCAACTCAATCCTTTTCAGCATGACCTCTGAACTCTGGGTGCCATAGTGATAAATGATCATCATCATCATTTGTTGACCAATTTCTTTTTTCCATGCCATGTGAGTCTGTCCTGCATCACAGTCTTACTTACAAAAAAAAAAAACTGACAGTAACATAACACTGTCTGACTCTCCCTGTCTATCTGCCCATAATATGGCGCCCCCCAGCTAACCGACTGTGACATCTTAACATAACACCGTCTACCCGCACAGATGGCGCCGCCCAGCTACCGTCTGCAGATGGTGGAGCGGGTGCGGGAGTACCGCCGACGTCTGCGCACCGCCGCCGCCGCCTCCCCCGCCGGTGACGAGACGCGGCGGACCGTGGAGCGGGGTCTGCAGACGCTGCAGCGCACCTCCGACAGCATCGCTCGGTGAGGCCGCGACCGGGCGGGGACGGGGCGACGTTTGGGGATGGCTAGAAATAGTATATAACATTTGCATTTATCGGGATTGCAGAATAGATGACAGCAGCACTCATTGAGTAGAATCCTAGAAATGGCAAATTTGTTTATTTTTAGGCTCTTTTCAGCGATGCTTTGCCTTTTGTGACCTCAACCCATGAGTGTCGTTATGAAAAATATTCATCTGTCAAAGCCCACGATGACGATGTTCTGTGTGTGACGGCGTCCCCCGGTCGGCCGCAGGTCTCAGCAGGTGTCTGCGGAGACGGACGCGGTCGGCGCCGAGGTGATCTCGGAGCTGGGCACGCAGCGCGAGTCGCTGCAGCGCACCCGCGACCGGCTGGAGGACACGGACGCCGAGCTGAGCCGCTCGCAGCGGCTGCTGCGCACCATGTACGTGCGCGTGCTCACCAACCGGGTGCTGCTGGCGGCCATCATCGCCGTCGAGCTCGCCCTGCTCGGTGCCGCCGTCTACCTCAAGTTCTTCAAAAAGTGAGCCGCCGCTGGAGCTGTGAGGTACGGCATGGGGCAGCAGAGGATGGGCACTGATCCGCTCAACACATTATTTCTGATAGTCGGAAAGCTCATTACACTTTGAAACTCATCAGTGGTTAGGAAAAACCGAAGTCATCTGAGCAATTATAAAGTATTTTAGATAATTGGAAGTTTCAAACTGTGTACTTGTACTGCGAATGAGCCCTTGGCCCGTGCGTTTCCTACGAGGGGCTGGAAAAATCGGTCATGATTGCATGTAAACCTTGTCTTAGTATATCCAGAGTCTTATGCTGGTCATTTGTAACTATTTAGTACATTTATTAAGTGGTGTTTACAAATATTCAGCCTCGATGTGGGCCCTTTTACATAACTGCTAGTGCTACCTACATATATTATGAAAGGACGCAGCTGTTTGGTGCCGATTATGCCTAGAAACAACAGCAGGCTGGGAGCATGCTGATAAAAAAGACTGCGACCGAATAGCTTCCAGAAAAGGAACATCGGATCGGTGCTTCCTCCATCAGTTGGTTGGCGCACATTCAGCTTTTAATTTCTATGTAGAGTATGTTTGTGTTATCATCTTATCGCATCGGGTAACAAACTGTTCTAATGTTCTAGCCGCCGTTGTTTGTTTTTATGTAAGGGAATGTGTGAACGATATACATATTTGCGTGTGGAGATAATATATTGAGTGTATTTTTGCTAGTTGTTGACCTTTATCATGTTATTTTTTACTGCAATTTCCCGAGTAACAATGTATTTCCGCATAACCAAAAGACCAAAACACCTGGCTTGTAAACTGAAATAAGTTTTTTATGCATGAATGTAATTATTTAAAGTATACACAGTTAATGCATGGTATAATGGGTGGGAGTGGTGCGACTAACTATATTTTTATTCTTAGAACGATTGCATCCCCCAGAAAAGTTACAAGGTTATCAGAGCACTCGGTCTAGCCCAGTCGCAGGTCGACCTCCACGGGCTCCAGGGCCCCTCCGCCAGTTCACACAGAGCGGCCGTCTCAGCCGAGCCAGTAGTGACGGCGCTCGTCGCTGTCCTCGTCCGAGTTGTCCCGCGCCGCCCACCGGCCGCCGGGCCGCCGGTCCTCCTCGCTCTGACCGTCGTCATAGTTACCCCGCCTGCCGAAGTAGCGGGCGCCCGGCGGGTAGTCCCGCGGCGCGTCCCACCGCCGGTCCTGGCGAGCCGACACAAGGCGATCGCTCCACCAGGGCGCCTGTCTGGCGCGGAGGTCGTCCCGCGTGGCGGCCGTACCGCGGCGCTCCGGGCCGAGCTGACCGCCTCCGTACCGGGTCTGTCCGCCGTACCGTCCACCGTATGGTCCGCGGTCGGTAGAGGTGTGCTGCTCCACGCTGGCGCTGTTTTGACCTACGCCGTCAGCGCCAGCTTCTTCTCTGCTGTCCTGCGTTCTATCCTGGTTCCGAGTGTCTTCCCTGCTGTCCCGCGTTCTATCCTGGTTCCGAGTATCTTCCTTGCTGTCCTGCGATATATTCTGATTCTGAGTGTCCTCCCTGCCGTCCTGCGATCTATCTTGGTTCTGAGGGTCCTCCCTGCTCTCCTGCGATCGGTTCCGAGGGTCTTCCCTGCTGTCTTGTGTTCTACCCTGGCTCCAGATGCTTTCTCTATCGTACTGTGCCCTACCTCGGGTCCTGGTGTCTTCTGTGCTGTCCTGCATTCTGTCCGGGGTCCTGGTGTCTTCACCGCTGTTTTCGGCTCTACCATGCTTCCAACTGTAATATCTGGTGTCCTGCTTTCGACCCTGGCTCCATCTGTCCTCTCCGCTGTCCTGCGTTCTACCCTGGTTCCGAGTGTCCTCCCTGCTATCCTGCGTTCTACCCTGGTTCCAGGTGTGTTCTCTGCTGTCCTGGCTTTCACGCTGATTCCATCTATCGTCTCCCCTGTCCTGCGTCCTGACTAGTGTCCGGGTGTCCTCTCTGCTGTCGTCCCTCTGCCGCTGCCGTCCGTGTGTGGCATACCATCCCTCGAGCCCGCGCTCGCCGCTCTGCCGTCCCTGTGAGTCGTACCGCGGACTGTGGGTGTCTGCCAGGCGCCGGGAGGAGAGGTACCCTCCGAGGGCAGCCGCCTGGCCGTGGGTCAGGTGGCGGTGCCGGGTCTGTCCTCCGCGCGGCTCGTGGTCAGGCCGCCAGAGACGCTCCGTCTCGGAGGAGCGGTCGGATGTGGGCAGTCTGTCTCCTTCCCAGTAGGGTCCGGGTCGCTGGGCGGCCGTCCACCAGTACTGCTGGTAGTACCCGGCCGGTACGGACGCCGCCACGGCCGTCACCAGAGCCAGACTGAGGCACACCTAAAGGAAGATGGGACGGCGTCACCAAGGGCTCTCCGCTGTTGGATGAGGCTCGCCTCCAGCCAGCTTTAGCATCATGGAATTGTTGAGGAGGGTCGAAAGAGTAAGCATCGTCTCCCATAACTAGGATTTTTGCATTTATCATATCTACTTAGCTATTTACTGAACTGAACTGAAAGATAAACAATTCATGGGACAGAAAACAGACTCCAATCGTTCACGAAGGAGAGCGGTGGAAGTTTGTATACTGCTCCCAATGAGCATCAACCCAACACATGACGTGAAACTTGCATTCTGGTCGGATGGCCTCGACCTGACCAGAGCCCCAGGGTGACCAGACCCTGACACGAGGTTATGCTTCCCTCCCTCCCTTTTTTCTACCTCCTAGCCAATTAGTCCACCCTGCAATTTTTATTAATGGTTCAGATGAGATAGACGTCTATTGCTCTTTCTTTTACAGCTACAACATGTTGCATTACTCGGGGCGACTGACTCACCTCCGCTCTCATGGTATCCGCTGTGTTCTGTGCTGTCCGGAGACGGCGGCTCTCAGCGCGGCAGTCACCCCGCTACTGGGTACGGTGGCGGAGCGCCCGTGGCCCCCTGATCATCACTGCATGTTGATGGCCAACTTATAAACAGCGTGCATTAGTGCCGGTCATGTTTTCCAGGAATCACATGTTGTTAGCATGCACAGTCTGGTGTTTATAGGTATTTTGGACTGTCCATCGAACGTACTCGGGGAAGTGACGTCTTCGGTGGGTTGTATTTACGTCGCTGCTCGGAACTAAGGGCCAGTATTCGTGAAAAAGCGACTGATGTGTAAAGGCCACGTGGCGTTTTAGATCACCTGCGTCATCGCTGCCCCCCCCCCCCCCCCCCAACTCCCGACCCCTTCTTGTCATGCCTGCCTGGGTGGTTGGTTGTTCACGAGCGTCTGTATCGGAAAAGTTCCAACTCCTGTTCAATTTTATCACAGATCCTGGGCACAACCTCTCAGTTCTCTGCAGTTAACCGGTGACATCTCCCATCATTCCGGGACACAGCACACTAACGGCTGCGTCTCTCGGTTGTCTGTGTTTTACAGGGAATATCTCACATTATTCAGACATACAATACAACACAACACACGAATGGCTGCAGTCAGTCGAAGCTGTGGACTGACTCCTGGCTCCTGATCACTGTGATCAGTCAGCCCCGCAGCGTCGGTCTACTCTCACTGAAGTCGGCTTATTTCACTTCTCTCTCGGTCGTCGGCTCACTGAATCAATGTCAATCTCTCTGGCTCTCACTCGGGGGGGGGGGGGGGGGGGGCGCTCACTCCGGCGGCGGCGCGCTCGGCTCCGTCCGTCTCTCGTCGCTCAGGTCCACGGCCTGGCTGAAGCCGGCGGCAGCCACCTCACTGTAGGAGGGCGGCGGTACGCTGCCGGCCGCCAGCGCCGCCTTGTAGTCGGGCGGCGGCCCGTCCTCCGGAGGAGCCGCGCGGGGCCGCGGCGCAGGGCGGACCGAGCGCGCCGCCCGGCCCGCCCGGCGCTCCGCCGGCGCCGCCTCCTCCCTGAACCTGGTGAGCGTGATGTCGTAGGGCTGCGGCGGACGTGTGCGGAGCGCGGCGCGCGGCGGTCCGCCGGGGCACGGGCTGCGCCACCGGCAGCCGGACACCACGGCCAGCGCCAGGTAGACGACCAGCAGCGCGCCCAGCAGCGCGCCCGTGGCGATCTTGGCCGCGGCGGACGCCTGGTAGACGAGCATCAACACGAACACCACCGAGCACAGGAACACCATACTGCCGACGGCGCTCTGCACCAGGTCCAGCTTGGTGCGCGGCTCCATCCCGCTCGGACACTGGCGGTGCCTTACAACTGCTCACTAGCTTCACGCGTTCCGCTCATCGCTTTTTAGGCAACTGCGAGACCAGGAGCTGAAGAGACGCTGACCCCTCTAGATTTCCAGTCACTTTGGTTGAGTGTCAACTGTTTCCGATCTCAATCTTCCGGGCGTTAGCCGCTCTTTCTGCTGCGCAGAGATAGCGGCAGTTCCGTGGCAGCTTCGTCCTGATCAATGTCAGCTGTCGCTTTCTTGTGGCCGGTATAATGTGACATCTGACGCTGTTCATTGGTCGCCGTCGTCTTTTCTGAATGATGTTATGTAACCACAGTCAGCTGGTAATAGCCAGCGGTCACCGCTGTCACATGCATGTAGCCCGTAATCGCTGACGCATGACCAGAATTTCCACTGTCACATCACATGTGATCTGTTACCCGTGACCGCTGTTACTGCAACTGCTGTCAATTCTGAACCGACCGACTGCTGTCAGCTCTGACCGCTCGCCATGCCCCTCCGTTCGGCACTATCTGTGCGCGGTCTCGTTAGGACGGCCGTCGGACCGATCGCAGCGGTCACCGCCCTGACGCAGTCACCTCCCGGCCGCCGCAGGCACACTGACGAGTCACGTGACCCCGATACTGGTCAGCGCCCGCCGGTGACACTATCGGACGACAGGTCACGTGGTAAGTCGGATAAGATACGACAGTTTCCGAGATTAGGTGGAAGCGATTCGTCCTTTTATCAGACCTCGACCTGTCATGCAGGAGCCGGAACATTGAGCTAAATAGGATCTCTTGAAGGACATTTGCCGTTGATAGGTTCAATTGTTTTCAGCTGAGCTGAACTATAAGAGCATGCATTAGCGAAACAAGGAGCAGTGTTGCCACCTTAACTTGGCTCCTCATTCCTGATTTCGATTTGCCTCTCACAATTGTGAAGCTCATCACCATGTATTCGATTTTTGACATTTCTAACAGCGCTTATCATAAAGAAAATGACTAATGAGATGGTGTGCTCACAGGGACATATAAAACCGTCGCCGATTCCATCCCGTACCGAGTCTCGCATCGCAGAGAGCCGGCTGGCTCCGCCCCCGGCCGGTTCAGTTCGATTCAGGGAGTCCAGCCACAGCCAGTTACTGATAGCAAGACAAATCCCTCAGTTCCATCCCCCCCCCCCCCCCCCACGGTATCACCCGAGACCGGCCCTAGGCACATGGGCCGGATCCTTCACAGCTGTCCTCCGGCACTATGGGCTGGTCCCTGCAACCGCAGTTTGGCTCTGGTCACCTTTGGTCGGCCTCACAGCCTCAGTTTGGCTTTGAGCACCTTGGGCACGTGTCTGATGGTGAGCGATACTCTCGTCTGCCGCTGCAGCCGGGAGCCGGCGGCCTGCTCTGCTCCGTTCAGCACGGCGTCTGTAACGGTGTCCTCTGTGCGCGCGGCGATGCCGTGTAGGAGGTGGTGGTAGGCGTCATCACGGACCACGAGCAGACTGCGGCGCGCCAGCAGCAGCGAGCCCACCGCCTCCGGCTCGGCCGGCGACGCCTCCTGCCACGGGAAACGCCGGCCGGTTACGTGTTACACAGCAGACAGACATCGTCACAGCGGATATACCGTCACCGACCGACACCGACAGTGGCACTGGACATACCGTCCACCGAACGTACCGTACCGTCCACCGAACGTACCGTACCGTTACCGAACGTACTGTTACATATTATATCCGACACCGAACAGACTGTCACATATCACAACCGACGAAGAGGTGGCCCGTAGGTAAGTACGGGTATGGGGATTATTAGAGTGGTACGATACGGCATGGGTACTCCGTAACATAGGATCGGTCCCTACGGCACGTTACGGGCGGTCCATGGGGTAAATGTACGGACTATTAGCACTGTGTACGGACGTGCGGTACGGGCAGTTTACATCCCCAGTCCCCACCTGCGAGTCGTCCTGTCTGGGCCGGTAGAGGTCGAGCAGCGCGTGCGAGCCCAGTGTGACGGTGGTGATGACTGGCGCGAAGAGCGGCCCGTCCGTGTGCGGCATGATCCCCTGGCCGGGCAGGTACTCATTCACCAGCACGTGGTTGGGCCGCAGCTCGCCGAAACAGCCCAGCGCGGCGATCCGCTCCATCGGCGCCTGCAGCCACTGGCGGGGCGATCGACACGTTGCGGTCATTGGTAATGACACGGTACTGACACTGCCCGCCACGACACGACACGGCTCTGACCGGGGCGTTCACTTACAGTGGGTATCTGTTCTGGCAGCATGCCGCGCGGGTGTGGCAGGCCGCCCCAGTTCTGCAGTCGCCGGTGTGCCAGCTGCGTCCAGCGCGGCCGCGGGGCGGCGTACACCAGCTCCAGCAGTCGCTGCTCCTCGGCCTCGGTCACGAACTCGGGCACATAGTGGACCGTGGCCGGCGCCTATGGACGGGGGGGGGGGGAGTAGCGTCACCGAGCGACCCATAGTGGGCCGTGGCCAGCGCCTGGGGGTGGGGGAGGGAGTAGTGTCACTGAGCGACCCATAGTGGGCCGTGGCCGGCGCCTATCGGCGAGGGGGAGGGGGGGGGGGCAGAGTCACCGCCGTCACCGAGCGACCCATAGAAATAAAGCGACGGTAGTGGACCGTGGCCGGCGTCTATTGGCGGCGAGAGAAGCAAACCATATTAAACAACCATTTTGCATGAATTAGGTATGGCTTAATAGACTAGATTGCAATACATACTTGACAGGTTTGAGGTTACTCATTACAGCTTAGAGTCGTGAACTCTGGTTGTGTCGTGTGGACGGCCTTCGTGTGAACCAAGATGAACCATGCGTGACGTCACTAGTACAACTTATGGTCGGGTCAAAAACACGTGATATGAATAAACAAAACCTTAATTCCCAATTCCCATGCTGCTGCTGCCGGAAATATCTAAAAGACGCGCGAAGAATGCATGTCATTTGCCTGCCGTAACACTTGATTCAGAATACGAACCAAATCATATAAATATTTTGAGGATAATTGAAAGCCGTCTCATGATCGTACTGTAGTTCGCACTTACTCGGGTAACCTTGTACTTTTCAAGGGTGCTCATCCCGAGGGCTGTTCACGGACCCTGTGTGCGGTCGGACCGCACACAGCCTCCAAGCTCCGCCCACTGCGTCCCTACGTCAGCCTTCCGTCACCGCACACAGCGACCGCTGTGGCCGGTCGGGACTGGCCACAGCGGACCGTCCACCGCACGCAGCCGTGACGTCAGAGCCGCCTACCCATCCCCTACCCCCACGCCTGCTGGACGTACCGCACACACCGCACGCAGCAGTGTGCGGTGCCCGTGAACACCCCTCCGGATCTGGAGGAAGTTAGCAACGTAAGTTTTGCATGTAGTTAGATAGTAAGTCACGTTAGAAAATGAATGATATAACTGATTCAAAATACGGACTTCAGTTCATTCACCATTTCGAGATCAAGCTGGCTTCGAAAGTCACTTTCAAGGTCACTGGTCACGCAATCAGCGAAGATTTGCGCCGATTTTGCCACGCGATTTCAGTCAAACGATGACGTCACTGGGTGAAGCCTAATGCTGAACAAATATTTTGGTCGACTGTCGAGTTCATCTTTTTTATATTAGGAAAGTGATTCTGTAGTATGCTGCATCTATCTTAAAACAAAAAAGTCTCATCATATCTTCTAACAGTCATGCGCTTCAAAACTTCATTTCCCTTATTCATTTTTGTTACTTCATAGTTCCTGGGTACTTACTACTTAGTGAAGTCTTATAAATATAAATTCAATTCTAGGGTGTCCAAATGCTATAACTTTTATCAAGTCTCAGTGAGTGCCTAGAATGTGCTGAGAGTTTTATTTGTTGATATATGCAGATTTAGGTTCTCAGGATTTTGATTTTAATTTTACAATATCAATATCCAACGTCAAACCTGTACCCAATGATGTCATAAAGTTTGAGGTGATAGCTGCTTAGCTAGCAAGGTCGAATATTATCGAACCTTGAACATTATCAGTCATTGAGTCATGTGATGCAATAAGGTGATGTGGATTATTGTAGAGCGCGGGCACTGGTTAGTGTAGCCTGTTGTCACACACTAAGATTATTTCCAAAGCTTGTGTGTCATGGTGATTGATGTAGTGTTTTGGAAGAATGTTATATTAGCCAAGTAAAAGTTATAGTATTCTGCCAGCATTTGATTCACGGTTAGTTAGCTATTAGAATTGTTCGCAGCTTGCCAGAAATTGATTTTCTGCATGGTATTATGCATTTCAGCCACCACATTGTGGTGTAGCAAGTATATAAATGGCAATGTGCATTGTGCTGCACAGACTGGCTTTGAAATGTAAGATTTATATACATTTTGCTGATGTCAACAGCTGCTCCTGCTTTGTCCATAACAGTCATTGTATCAGTCTTTCTCAGTGGTCTGTGTCTGTCATTTCAGGAATCCACCATGGTGTTGGCAGAGTACCTTCAGTGCGGCATTTGTTTCGAGCCGTACACAGCCGACTCGCGGCTGCCCAAGTTTCTACAGTGCAGCGGTGGCATCCAGCACACATACTGTCTGCAATGTCTGCGCCGGCTGACGGTCGGAGGCATGATCCGCTGTCCGTGCTGCGGTGACCTGACCTCGCTCGGAGACCGGCCGGCAGACTCACTCAAGAATAACATCTACCTACTGCCGCAGATCGAGGCCGCCGCCGCCGCGCGGAAACAGAACGGGTAAGACTGCCGCCGCCACGTCGTTTAGGTGCTTTATTGGTTCATAAAAGGCTCCTGATCAGCTCACCTTTCAAGACAGTATTACCCAGCTCTTGTTATCCCAACGGTGACTTTTTCATGCATAATGTTTCAACCCATCATATGCACGGCACCCGCAGAGACGCGTGCCAGTGTGTCTCTGCGGACCGGATGACGGTGGTGAAGTATCCACTGCCCGTGTCCGTGACCTGACCAGGGCGGGTCCGTTCCAGGCTGGAGATGTTTTGCCGCACGTGCTCGGCGGTGGCGGCCGACCAGTGCGGCGAGCACGACCTGCTGAAGATGTCCGAGCTGCGCGAGGCGCTGCGTCAGCTGGCCGAGCGCGGCGCCGCCGACATGGAGACGGTCCGCCAGCGGCGCGCCGACGCCGTGACCCTGTTCAAGGAGGCGCACACGGTGCTCGTCTCGGTGGCCGAGTCGGTCCGATTCACCATCGAGGATTACGAGATGAACGCGCAGCTGGACGACAACATCGTGGGCGAGCTGGAGCGGCGCCGCGAGGCGGCCGACGCGCTGCCTTCCGACCAGCTGGTGGACAGCTACCGGTTCACCGAGCAGCACGTGGCCGACGCGCACGCGGCGCTGCGCGAGACGGCGCCGCTGGCCGAGCAGAGCGCCGCCCTGCTGGCGGCCAGCGTGGCGCTCTCGGCGCCCGGCCTCAGCCAGACGTTCGCCGTGGGCGAGTGGCTGCACAGCGGCGACCTGATGAAGGCGCTGCTGGCCGCCAGCGTGGTGGTGTACGCCCTGGACCACGTCACCGCCGGGGAGCAGGAGGCGGGCGCCGCCGCCGAACAGTGCCACAAAGTCGGCGACACCAAACCGGCCGCCGAGACCAAGTCGTTCACCTATACAAACGGACTAGTTGCCAATTCTAACAGTAAACCCTCGGGTAAATCTCTCCCTTCCGCTAACGGTAAATCTGCAGACAAATCGTCTAAGCCCAATGAAATTCCCGTAACGAAGGCGCCACTAACCGCGCCCGCTGTCAGAATCTCGAGCAGCTCGTCGACCGCTAATGGAACCGCCACCGCTAAGGCGAGCGACTCGGCAAAACTGGCTAAAGCCGCCTCGACCAACGATAAAACGGCCGGAGCGGCGGCGGCCCCCGCAACGAAAACAGTTACCCCGAGCAACGGAATGGTTGGCGGCGCGAAACTGTCAGCGGCCGCCATCAAGGCTGCGACATCCTCTACTGCCGCTGCCTCCAAACCTGCTACCGCCTCTGTCACCGCCGCCAAGCCCAAGCCGGCGCCCTCCTTTTCCTCGATGGTGAAGAGCACGAGCCCGGCCGCGCCGGCGCCGGCGGCGGACGCGTCCCGGACGTCGGTTCAGCGCCCACTGCGTGGCACCAACCCGCGGTACAGCCTGCGCGTGACCGACGGCGCGGCCATCACGGACGTGATCGTGGAGCTGCGGCCCGACATGGCGCCTATCATGTGCAAAAACTTTGTCACACTCTGTGAACGAGGGCTCCTGGATAATTCAAGTAAGTGCATGATAGAAACATAAGAGCTGTTAAGACTTAAGAGTAAATTGTACCCGAGTATTCCTCAATGAAGAATTCATTTTTGGTAAAGCTATGTTGCTGAAGTCTGATTTGAGACCAATATCAGGGGTCACGGTGGCCCTGGGCCACCGTGTACTCCCTATGGAAGGCATGACCTGCTTCCAGTTCTGACTGTGTGCCGTCGGTCCCATCCCCACCACGTCTGACCTGCCCGCGCGCCTGGTCCGTCCGTCCGCAGGGTTCCATTTCGCGGTCCACTCTGATTACCTGCTCGGCGGTCGGGTGGACGACGACGAGGGCTTCTCTCCGCTGGCCAAGGAGCCCGAGAAGTTCGTCATGGCCGACCAGTGCCCGCTGCAAGACGAGAGCGGCGCCATACGCATGAAGGGCATGGGTGAGTGGCAGTGCCGGGGGTGGAGGGGGAGATGGATGGAGGCCCCGGACAGGGGTGTGCCAGATGTTGGGTGGTGGGCCCTGGGGATGGGTGCGCCAGGCTTTGTGACTGTCTGTCCACGGCCAGGGACAACACTGAATGTGTTGGATGGGGGCACTGTCAGGGAGACGACTACCGTTCAAAAGGTGAGGACGTGAGGGCGCAGTCACCTCACCCACAGGCGTCATTGACGCGTCATGTAGCGAATTTCAGAGAACTCGTCCCCAGTTACTGCGCGTTCCGTTTTCGGGATAGGGTTTCGTTTAAATGTTAGGGTTTCGTTTAGATAGTTCAAGATTCTCTGACCTGACCGACCGGTCCCTTCCCCAGGCACCGTGGCCGGCCCTCCCCTTGACCTGACCGCCTGGTCCCTCTGACCTGACCGACCGGTCCCCTCCTGCAGGCACTGTGACCGGCCCCAACGGCGAGAAGCGCGGCCTGATCGGCTCCCAGTTTATGATGTGGGTCTCGGAGACCCGCGACTACAGACAGTACCAGTACACGCTCGTGTTCGGCTTCATCCGCCAGGGCCTGGAGTTTGTGCGCGCCATCACCTGTATGGAGCGCGCCGCCATTTGGCGCCACGCGCGCCTCCTCTCCACCAAACCGTACCGGCAGTAGAGCGCTCGGCCCGTTCCCCCAGTCGGAGGAGCGCTGGCGGCGGCCCTAACGCGCGCGCCACCTAACTGCCGCCGGGTGGGAGAGGGGAACGGGCCGGAGTCGGAGCGGTGTGCCGCGCGGCCGTGACGGGCGCTGGGCGCGCACCTCTATTCAGGAGAACCAGAGGGAAGGGCGACCGGGACCGGAGTAACAACCCGGAGCTCTGCAGTAATTGGCATCCCAGGAGGAGAGATCCCCTGGGACACCGAACTAAGGAGCAATTCGGTGGAATACGGAGCTAATAAGTAATGGGAAGGTATGCTTGGCTAAGAAGTTTATCTTTTGAATGAAGAGCTATCTGGGGTAATTACGTGGAATGTCCAATGTCAAGTGAAATACGGGGCTATTGAAGGCCCCGTTGAACAGGGTAATTGTAAGGTGATTCCGTGGTTTGGGGAGGCTATTCCGTGACATTTGTGGTTGTTGGCTATCCCTGACTGACGCCTTTTAGATGAGCGGGCTAACCCGGCATACCGATGTATCCTTGCAGTACAGCTCACACATCATTCTACTGTGGCAGCTAGTTAGAGGCCTTTTGTTTTGTATTCTGTGTTGGGAGGTAGGTAGTTTCTTCGACAGGCCTTTGTTTTGTATTCGGTGGTCGGAGGTAGTAAGATTAGTTAAGTTAACATTTAGGTGGCTTACCTTGCCATGTGACGGGTGGAGCTTTGTTGGAAACACGCCAGATAAGTTCCTGAATTTTTCAGTTCGTTTCATCTCGTCTACCGCACACAACCCTTGTAATATTAATTCTTTTTTTTCTTTCGAACATGTCTTTCGTTTACGAACATCCATTACGAGTCATTGTATATGACAAGGGATCTTGGCTGTGCCCTGGACCAATCAGGGACTTTAAGTTGGCGTGAAAACGCTCCAGTTAAATGTTTCGGATACCTACGGCTGGGTGAGACTCGTATTGTGCTGCCCGAATAATTATAAATTGTCTTCCAAAAGTCCCAACTAACAAGCAGCCCAGGTAGAATTTTTTAGTAACGTGGTGTTCTTCTTTCGTGTGCTTTTTCGCGGTAGTGGCGGTATGTTTAGCAGGGGCATCGATAGGATAATAGTTACGCCCGGCTCATCGCTGTGAAGGTACACGCGAGGCGGTGTGTAGTTGAAATGTAGCACCGGCCACCAACAGCTGCTGAGTTCGTGACGAATATGTCAAGTGAAGTGAATTGCTTTGAAGAACTCATTACACTGTGACGCTACGAATCCAGCCTTTCAGTTTTCGTACAGTTTGTGCGTGTTGTGTCGATGTATCTGTGTTCTGTTTTTGACTCAATTATTTGCCTGGCTCGTCCAGATAGTGTCATGGCTTTGGATGTGTCACAGCGGGCAGACCGATATCCGCGTTACTGTCGCGTAAAATAAGGATTCTGATACTGTTTGTCAGCCCGTGTACCGTAGTGAGCGTTCCTTTTTATTCTAGATGTAAATATATTCAATATATTCATCCCTTGCTACAAAGCACTAGCATTTGTCAGAGTTCTTTGTTATGAATTTCGTGCAACGTAGGTACATAGAGTCGTGGGGAAAGCATAGTCACCGTGGGGAAAGCCTTCGGGCCAAGGCCACCTACAGGAAAGCCTTCGTGACCTCCGCTGTACCGACCGACACGGGCTGTGCCAAAACTTGCACTCCATACGAGTGTATATAGGCGTAAACGGAGTACGCCTCATTCTTTTTTCTTTTGCTCGGTCGGCCTAGTGACATTCCCGAGCAGGGGGCAGTTACTCCGGTAATTTTCGCCGGGCAGCAAGTGTTACGTTAAACCGGTTTGTGTGAACCTGGTAGCAAAAACAACGTGGGAGCCTATCTTTAATGTGGAGTCAAAGACCTTCAAACCCTTCAAACAAGGCCATCCTTCAAAGCTGCATTTTGGGTGCTCGGGGTGCGTATATTCGGATGCAGTATGAGCAGAGCATGGGTCCCGAAAAATTCCTCAGAAACTAGAGAAATTCTCGGACACACACGACGGGTACCATATGAATGCGGGTGAGACTAAATGCTTACTTCGAAATTTAAGCTGCGTTGCGGCATTGGCGGTTATGTGCGGCGTGTATGCCGCATGATTAGTAAGCGGCGACCACTAAATTAAAAACTCAATAGCTTTGACCTGTTTTCAATGGATAACACTGCATACCAAAAATGTCCATCGCTCTCGTCATAGGATATTTAGATTTAAATAACTAACTTATCTACATCATCGTTTTGAACCAAATTAATACTTTCAACTTGACCCTTGCCCGTATAGGTGTTTTTTTTTTCCAGCCGCGAACGTATAAGGTATAACCCCTTGCCGTTTCGCTCCTGATCAAGCTAGAGCTTCGCGGAAAAAACCAGCGTGTTGCCCGTGACGAGAGGAAGCCGATGATACCCAATTTTAAGGTCCTAGGTCATCGGTTGACCTTCCAGGTCAGGTGAATGACCCAAAAGGCAGGAAAATTGGGACCTGTTAGAACGTTGGACGTGGTGAACGTGGGACCTGAAAAAGTTGCACCTCTATGTAATATGTGGGTTCGATATACTGTGTGACGTTCCAAGAACTATTTGGGAAAAGTTGCACCTCCGGAGAGACGGACGGACGGACGGAGAGACGGATGGACGGACGAAGAGACTGATGACGGACGGACGGAGAGAGTGACTGATGGACGGACGGATGGATGGAGAAACGGACGGACGGATGGACGGACTGAGAGACGGAAGGGCGGACGGACGGACGGACGGACTGAGAGACGGAAGGGCGGGCGAACGGACGGAGAGACGGACAAAGAGATGGACAGACGGACGAGAGAGAGAGAGAGAGAGAGAGAGAGAGAGAGAGAGAGAGAGAGAGAGAGAGAGAGAGAGAGAGAGAGAGAGAGAGAGAGAGAGAGAGAGAGAGAGAGAGAGAGAGAGAAGGGTGGTGAGAGAAAGGAGGATCAGATGAAGGAAAAGACTTAGAGATATGGATATTACTTGTCAGAGACTCGGGGAGGACGGGAAGGAGACTGATACCTAAAGAGAGGAAAGATGATCGTGAGCAAGGGGTTTGGGAGATAGGTAAGGAGACAGGGGAAAATGAGATTTTATTGCTCCGGTCCCAATAACACTTCCCAAAATAAAATATAATCGGTCGTAATTATCGAATAAGAATCGGAAATTGTCAATTGAACGTCTGATTTGCTTACATCGATCCGCCCTATACCCTGTTTGACATGTTTGCACCAAAGCCAACTTGCAGGCTATACATCGAGCCAGTGGTATATACTATACAATAAATACATCTCTCCCGGTGGTATACCTGCATAGAGCCGAGACCTCCGGCTGTATTTTCCCACGATCAGCCGGATTGCAAAGCCGTGTATTTTTCGTCCGTTGCAGGCGGCCGGCGCAATCTCCGTGAAAGAAGCGCTCCAGTGACAAAAGCACGAGCAGATCGCCTAAATGCCGGTGGCCGCGAGAATTTTTCTAGTTTCTGAAGAATTTTTCGGGACCCATGCTCTACTCATACTGCATCCGAATATACGCGCTCGGGGTGCTTTTTTTTTTTTTTTTTTTAGTGGCCCTAACTTACGTTACCGGCCTCGCGAGGAGGGCGGCGACCTAACTACGCCGCGCAAAAGAAACCGGCCGTCCTAACTAAGACCGGTGGCCACTTTTACTGCAAGACAACATGGGAAAACCCATATCCATGTACTATGCCATGAATATGGGGAAAAACCCATGAATTTACGTTAAGACACATAAATGACAGTGAGACTTACCGTTAAATTGATGTTTGTGGGGGGAGGGAAGGAGGAAGTTTGTGAATGGTAGGGTTACGATGTTACGATAAAGTTGGATGATAGGAATGGTTTGAAGAGTGGGGGATATGTCGCTGCCGCTGTTGAAGGCCGATTGCTGTACCCGGGCCTGTGGTCGCCCAAACCCGGCCGCTGCCGCTGTTCAGCGGCCGGGTCCGTGACTGTAGAATCCTTGGCCGCTGCTCGTCGTTGTGCAGTGGGTGAAGGGACAGTCCCAGAGTATGTGGACAGTCCCTTGCGATGATAGCGAGAAGGAGGTCAAGTAATGGTGCATACTTTACAGTTTGTCGGAATAAGGTGAGTTTAAGACAAAATCAAGTACTAGATCAGTTAGTGCTGGATCATCTCCGAGAAGAGTCGGAAGGTCGTTTCTGAGGCGATATTTTGTAAGGTGGTTGTTGATATGTTTTCGTTCGTTGCGGAGGGCTGTGCATCCGATTAGAATGTGTTCAACCGTAATGCGTGTGTTGCATGTTTGGCGAAAAGTTATTGGCGTTACTGTGCGCGATTTGGCGCAGATGTTACGAAATGCGGCTGATCAAAAAGTAAACAAAAGTATTTGAAACGGTAGATCACTTTGCAGGCTGCTCAGCGAATCCTTAGGATAATTTTATATTTATAGGGATATTTTTCCAAAACTTTGTTTCCCTTCCCTTTCCCTTCACTAAGCATAATATAAAAACAAAATATAAATCAGTTTTGGCTTCACTCTTTTTTTATGATTGATGCCCCGAAAGCATGGAAATGAAGTTCGGAAGCCAAGAAAGGAGAGTCATTGGGTTTGTTCCCGTCGCTCCTCTAACCTCCTCCAAGCTCCTCTAACCTCCTCTCGTTTCAAAAAATCGTTCCCGTCGCTCCTCCAAGCTCCTCCAAGCTCATCTTGATTTCACATCTCACCACCACTATTTGCCTCCTCCCTCATCCCAAACGAAAGTTGGTTTTTTGGAGGAGGCTCTTGCGTAGACATATTTGGCGCACGTAATACAAATGTGAATTGTTTATAAATGAGATTTGAGGGAAGTGGAAATGATTTTAGTGATTGATGACGATTGGATATCTTTAAATAGTAATGTTTGATATTAATCGAAGGTTATTTTATTACTAAAACGATTATTATCTCTTGATTTATGTTTGCGCGCCATAAATCGCCGACCGTTACAGCCCGCAAACAGCTGATTTCCTTGCGAAAATGTTCCCGTGGCTCCTCTGAAACGGCTCTCCTCCAAGCTCATCCAGCATGTTTTTTAATCCCACCCAGAAATGACAAACAAGCCCCCTGATTGGCCAGTTGCCGGCCAGTTGGACTTGAGCGGTCGCCATGGTGATATAGGGCCTTGATGGTGGTATCGGGGACTCGGCCGGCCTCGTTAGGTGTGGAATAATCTGTTTCATTGTGCTAGATGTTGCCAATTTGCTTTGATATTTGATAAATAACATTGCCTTTTTCTTTGGTGACCTTGCATACTTATACGACGATATTTCGGAGCCGATTATTATGCATTAAATATCTTGAGACAAATGTGGCGATTTCCACGCCCTTTTGCAGTGCCTCCCTCCCCTTGTGTAGGCTTGTAAGAACCAAGTGAACCATTTTTTAGTCAAGTGTTCATGATCGACCCTACATCTAATGGATAATAGTCTTGCGCAAAATTATTAGGTACTAGAGGAAGCAGAATAAATACGATTTTGGAGTACGCAAACTTGATACAAAAAAAATATCAGGTATTTTGGCTATATAAAGTGAGAAGAAAAGTTCATCTCATCATTTTTATATTACAATTGCAATAATGATAATATCATGATAATTACACTGTCAGGTATTGATCATGTCATGCCACTAACCACACAGACACAACACATTTTCATCTTTATGTATCTAGGCATAAGGTATTACAGACATGTTTTTGCACACCTGTGATGTGCGAGTGGGTATGACCTTCCCAGTTAAATTTTGCCTGGTTGTGCTCAAATTTTGTAAGTACCTGCATGTAAAGGGATGCAGACACAGTTAGTCAGGCACTCTTCTTAGTTCTTAATTCAGTTTTGTGCACCACTTCATGCTTTCACCATGCTGTGCCCACTCTGCTTTATAGTGTACAGGTGCTTCTGTGACACGCATCAATCTTGCGTTCATTGAAACACTTAGTTTGAGTGTTTTGACTCAGTTTTGTTGTAATGTTACCTTTGTTTATGTTCTCAATAACTTGTTTTGGGCTTCTCATATTTATATTTGTTTCTTGGCTTAACAGGTTTAGTGTAAAACAAGTTAAAGCTGAAATATTTACATGTTTAGATTACATGAGTGCATACATTTATAAAAGCTATTTCAAAGTACTGTAGCCATGTGTAACATGCATATGTCTTAGTCAATGACTACTCAGCATGCTGCTTGGTGTTCAATGGTAACAGTTTGATTTGTTTTTGACATCAAATAAGATTTGATTTGTGTTTCTGAGATTCCAATGTTATTAATGGCAAATATTTTCCAAAATCCTCCATCTAAAGCTTCAACTGAATCATAAAATGCCTGCATTTTCTACCAGAAACATTATCATTGATTCCTCCTACAATATTTCATTTTGTCACTAGGTACCTGGACTGGTGAAAAGTGAAAACTGAAATTCATTCATGTCATCATTATCTTAAGACCTACCCCTAAATGGAATTGATCTTGTTTCACAAATGAGTTGAGTTGTACAATGTCTATCAGCTGATGTCTATTGTCTATCTCTTTTTCAGCACAGAAGATCCTCAGTCATAGTTAACAAAATGGTAAAATTAGCTGTGTTTTTAAGATTCCAGTTGTGGCCATCAACTGCTCAGGAAAGCAGCCCAGAATCACTTCACAACAGGTATGTTGATGCATGTACATTGACATCAATGTCTGAATGCTGAAGAATTGTTGAACACATTTACCTAGCCTTTAAGAACCACAAATCCTACATTACTTGCATCAACATTTTTCTATAGAACTTATGTTATCTACTTTCATCTGGCTGAGGCTTTTTTACATTATATTCCCTCTGTTAAACATGAAAATATGATGAGTTATAGTGTAACAAGCTGGTAATTATATCTGCCTTGTCAGCTTGGCCAACATCTGCATCATGTCTATTACAAAATATGACTGCTTTCCTGACATTTGCATTTGTTCCACTCACCAATTGACCACTTCTACCATCTGCTCGTTCTATGCACAGACATTGTCATAGGGTCTGTTCCAGTCGCACTTCCTAACACCTCTTAACTCCTCCAAGATTGCAAGATTGCCATGTTATTAACCCGCGCCCGGGTGACCCTCAGCCAACTTTGTGGGGGGGGGGGGGGAGGGGAGGCGTATTCGGTCACACCAGGTTATCTTGGAATGTAACAAAGCTGGAAAGACGCAGTAAAATCAATATGTATATAGCTCGCTATTTTCCTTCAGAATCATACAGGTCATTTTCGATCAGTTCATCGCTGAGGTCACTGGAGGTCACCAAAAGTAAAATGATGACGAATTTTGGCTCCCGATTTTGACAACTTCACAAATTGGTTCATAACTCGGGAACCAAAGAAGCTACAGCGCCGCGGAAAAGCGAATTCGATAGCTCTTTCGAAAATCTTTCAGGTTCTCAGATTTGAGCTGAGGTCAACTAGGGTTAAGCCTCCAAAGCGCAAAAACTGAGCAATCGGCGTGCTTCGGAAATCGTCTTTTCTTTTAAAACTTTTGATACCAACCTTTTATTACGTTGATTTTACCGGCACTGCGTTTCTCTCGTCTTGTTGACCTAACAAGGTCAACTTAATAAATTTGACCTCAGGTCAAAGTCGCAGAAAATGTCATATTGCATGTCAGTCGATTCGTTACATTGAGATTGAGATTAACATCAGTAGCGGCGGAACACCTTCAATTAAGGGGGCATTGCCGACTTTTGGTCCCATTCTTTCCATGCAACGCCCATACTAGGGCTAATCTTAAAAGCCAAAATCGAAGGGGTACGGTGCCCCGGTGCCCTCCCCGTTCCGCCGCCTATGATTATGATGTTTTTAGCGCTCTGGCCACGTTCCATCTAAAATCAATGTACAAAAATAAACTGTTGGAGACGTTACATGACCTGAGATGACCTCAGGAGCATACGATAAGATCGCGATGTTTTAGTGCTTTTGTTTCAAAAGCAGAGCCTTTCGAGTTCCTCATAGTTACTGACTGAAACTGGAGACGTCTCAAAGTTGACCTGACCCTAGGTCACCGATATCAAAATTAAAGATATTCAAGATGTTTGTACTGATTCTCTCATGCAACAGCTCGAGTTTCAAACTTCTACGTCATGGTGACCTGACCTGACCTTAGGTGACATGGGGTTACATTTTTTCACAAATGATGCGAATCGATGCATTATACATAAGCTATATTAAGTTTCGTGTCGTTTTATTTATGCAAGCACAAAATTGTCAGGTGTGACCAGAAACGCCCCCACCCGCCTGGGGGAACGTTAAAGCAGTGATGTAGTACATATTATTCGGTGTATTCCACGATGCATCGATCGGTGACGGTGTACTTGATAATGCATTATTTATTGCTGCGTGTCTACGATTTTGCTCTGCTCAGTGTGATCTGTGATAGGAAAACTACCGATATATCTCCACGCGCATGACTGAAAGAGCTGGCATGATTCACAATATTCCGTGTCTGTTTTTGTTTGGCATTTTATAAATACTGAGTCAGCTGTGATCGTTTGATGAGACACTGGGACAGCCGGCCTGTATGATCAGTGAACGGCAGGCGGCGGGGCGGTGGTCTGGTGGCTGCCCTGCATGGGACTGACACCAGCAGATTCAGAGCTGCGATATGCGGACGTTATGTTTACAATACCTTTGCAAAATAATATCTAATAGATATCATGTCCTCGAAAGTGTTCTTCAATCAATATGATGTTAGGCCTGCTGGCTTGTTCCATGGAGGCCAAAACTGATCGTTTTATGCATGCCTTTTCTGGGCCTCGTTCTCCTCGAAATGCGTGTAGGTAGCAATTTTATTCAAGGGACGATTGAAAGTGGCTCCGATTGGTTTTCAGCGTAGGTGGGATGAATCTTGGGTGGGATATGTCCGTTGAATGTGAGGCAGTCGATAAGAAACGTCGAGGGAACGGTCATTGGGTAGGTATGTGAAAAAGGCAGCAGTAGAAAACAGGAAAGGGAGGCGTTTGGTGTGAGGTTTCAAATGCTCTATGCGTAAGAAAAGTTCATTTGTTTATATGACACCGTCCTTTTTATCGCGATACGTGTGAGCAACGCACGAGACGCTCACTGTTCAGACTTGTAGCGTTGGAGAATGGGCCGACAGGCTGAGAAGGGCAGTTCCGCGAAAGGATACTCTGGGATTTGAATTGAAAGGCATTTAGTTTTGAAAGCATCCGTACTTCCTAACACGATACTGACTCACTTAAAATTTCAATTTTTCCCCATTGCGATAGCCGATAACATAGAAACCGAGACTGCGGTGTCCCCGCCTGGAGACGTCGGGCGGATTTTAGTCAAGATCACTTTACTACTCGATTTTAGTGGCTAAAAGCTTTTGTTCTTAATTTAATAGAGAATAATCATTTCTTTTAATACTTTGTAATACCTAATTTACTAGAAATAAACTGTACGGGCTTCCAAAAAATGTTATATTTAACTTGTAAGATCCATTAGAATATTTTAGCTGCCCTAACTTGCAAATGTAACGTATGCGTCATTGTTGAAAAAGTGCTAAAGCATAGTATTCTATGGCTAACAAATATTCTGCGTCTGTCAGCAAAAACTGGCCAATCAGAGAGCTTGTTTGTCATTTCTGGGTGGGATTAATAAACATGCGCTCATCCAACCTCATCCGAGATTTTTTGCCTATATATCATGGGCGATGAAAAACATTTTTTTGTCATTTGACGTTGAGCTGAAAATTGTTACGGCATTGAATCAAGTAAAACTTAGGTATCAGGCTTAGCATGAGTCGTCTGCCACAGTTTGCCTTACTACTAAGGCCTGACGCTTTCTCAGCCACTTTTGAACTTTTACTTTTTCTCTAGATTTCTTCTATCTGTCGCTAGATTTGTTCGTAAGCGTGTGCTGTCGAAAATGCAACAAATCTCCGTCCTCGCGTTTCTCGCTCAGTTTTCGCTCAGTTCTAAAACGACTGTGGTTGGAGACGTCACGGTCGAGGTGTGCCCAGGGTATATTGGGTGTGCCCCTGAAGCTTGTGGGATTTTCTCATTTACCGCACGTGGATTTAGAAGGCGATTACAATTTACCAATAACAAATACCGTAACAGGTAGGTAGCCTTAAGATCATTTGAGATGAGGCAGCTAGGCTGTATAAACCAAGCCCTCGAGCCTTGAGGCCTGAGAGACGTTGTTATGAAACTTATCAATGATATATTGATACAAAATCACTTTTGATAAAGCCTAGAGATGGATCCTTACTCAATTTAGTTTGTTAGTTCCCCATCACGTCACAGCATCAGGCATCTAGGTATTTATATGGGCGAGGATGGATGACATGATTATTATTAATATAACGAGGCTTGAAATGATCTCACGCATGTCAAAGTGTTTTTATTTTAGGCAATTTAAAAATTTATTTTGCCTAAATTATAAAAATTATAAAATAAAAACACTTTGACATGCGTTAGATCATTTCAAGCCTCGTTATCTAGGTATTTATTTTGATCTTGCGAAAATGGCATTGACAGATAGGTAAAGACTGTGAGTGCTGGCGCCGCTTGTATGAGGTACTTTTTGTGCATGTTGCTTAAATGTGTAAGATCTTCTAACACATTCAATTTTACAGCGAACTGGGATGGCTGATTATTTGATCAGCGGCGGTGCTGGTTACGTCCCGGATGACGGGCTCACAGGAGCTCAGCTATTTGGAAATGGAGATGGGCTGACATACAAGTAAGCAATGCATACTTTTATTTATCACTTATATTGAGCTGCAAGGTTTCATTCATTGCTCCTTTTTTGACACTTCTGTATTAATTCAGTTTGCAGCTAGGTGTGTTTTTCGTTGTCTGCACATTGCACAGTTGCAGTGCACATGCTTCAAGAACAAAGTATCACTGAAAATTGATGTACTGAAGTGCATATGATCATGAAAATATAGTTTCTCATTTTTATTGTTAGCTTGGCTATGGACCAGATTTCAGCTAGTGACCTTTGAGGCCTGAGCTCCCCCCATTCATTTATCAGCAGGCTGCGAGCATGCTGCTACTTCTTAGCTCCTCATCGGTCACATTCAACTGGTCTATTCGTTAGACCAATGAGTGGCCAAGAAGCGCCAGCAATAACTTCCTTATATGGGAAAAACCGACAGCACGCTGATATACAAACAGCTGCTGAACCGGGCCCCAGGTCTATACTATTGAAAAGTTGAATTCAAGAATCAGTTTTTTGGTAAATAACACTGGCTTAACTGGTCAAATAGCAGTGTCCTTGGAACTATTTATATCTGTTCCCACTTTCCAGGTCAAGGTCAGGTCGAAAATGGTCAGATCAGAACATTGGTCAATAGGTGGTTGTGTATTATTCATATGATACCACACAAAAGAAGAATGACAAATAAATCGTATTGTTTGACTTCATTTCATGTCGATCGATAGTGACATCAGCTCACACTTTTTTCCTGTGTTTCAGCGACTTCATCTTGCTTCCTGGCTTCATTGACTTCCAGGCCGATCAAGTGGTAAGTACCACTAACGAGAGACTTCTTGTGTACCGAACTGAGCTGATATTTCACAGCAACTACGGGCACCCGCCGCATATCTATTCATTCCACCCGTATGCGGGCATCATTAGGAGATACCAGCTCATTGTCATGGAAGAATATCTGGTATAGCCCGGCCCGCGTGGCGATATGGGAAGAATCTCTGGTGTAGCCGGCGGTGTGGTCTGTCCGGGCCCGATCCGGGGGTAGCGTGGCCCAGGGTACATTGGCGTGGCCGGTCTCCGGCGTGACTCGCACGCCGCCGGTTGTAGGGCGGCTCTGGGCCGGGGCCAGCCTGTCCCCTGGTGGCGTGGCCGGTCTCCGGCGTGGCTCGCACGCCGCCGCTGGCGCCGCTCCAGCTGGCTCCGGCGGCTGTCTGAGCAGCCCGGTCGGACGGGGGCGGCCCACTGCTCACACCGCGCGACGGGACAGGGGAGCGGCGCCGAGACATCCCATGTATCCACTGGAGGAGGGGGGGGGGGGTCTGAATCAGCTGGTCAGCCGGGCCGGCACATGCGTGTCTCCAACAAAGAGAGTCTCTGTGTACCATGCTGTCGGGAATGGTTTGTTCCTCTCGCCGGTATAAAGACGGGTTTGTTGTTTAGGACTGTTCGGTTTTGCTGCTTGATCTATTTTCACATCGTTCCTCTCGCTCTGGCACGTCTTCACTGAAAGTTGATCAATGAGATAAGCCATTTCATATGTTCACTAAGACTGCTGTATTGCACCTTTTAGAGTTATTATAAATGTTTCAAAGGCGCACAAAAGAAGGAACAGATCAGTCATAGTCGAACGTTAATGACCGTAATGTCTGTTTCTGACGAATCACTCAGCTGCAGTCTTTTTGAGAAACGCCGTCAGTTACGAAGAAAAAAGCTTACAGCCTCTTATGCTCAGAATTATCTACGAAGTATTTCACTGTACGCCCGCTCGTAATCAATTTAGAGAAATTAAAAAAGCTTGAAAAGACTATTATGCCTTTGAAAATATGAGGTATGATGTTGAACTGCATCGATTAGATTAGGGTGTTCACGTAGAAAATTTGGATGAAATGCGTTGACGCTACCAAGGCTATATAAACCGGCGCTACCGGGAGAATAGTCGTAAAGGAATCTTACCGGGAATAGCCTGTGTCGTCTCATTTTCGCTGAAGCCTCCACACTGTCAGGCGCCTGTGTCATGTCATCGGCATGATGCGGGGGAGGGAGGGAGGGGATGGGAGGGGAGACTGAAGGCGGGATGGTCGTCGCCCCGGTGCCAACTGGGCCGGTGGGTCGCCGCGGGCCGCCGGTCTGCGCCCCGACCTGTATTGACCGCATACCGCGGGTTCTGCCACTCACCCTCGACCCCGCCTGCTACGCCCGGTCGTGCCGGCGGTGGTGGCGAAAGGCTGGTCTTTGTAAGAGCTGTGGCTCAGCAGTCCCGCGGTCATATCCATGTGTTTTAAATGGTGTGATGGTTGTTGGCTAAGTGTCAACCCTACTGACCGAGTGCCCTAGTAACCCGACTTGGTACACAAGTTCGATATGGCAAAAAATGCATCCGATCGCGGCGTAACTTTTTGTGTCTCTCTGACATGCCATTTATATCACATCCGCTGCTTAAACTTGTCCCGGATGACTAAAGACAAATCAAGCAGCAATGCCGTTTTAGCAGGAGCCTGTGTTTCGCGTGTATTCGGCCGTGGGCGCGACTGTCTGACGGACCGGTGTTCTGACTTTCGGTGGTCTGTCTGACGGACCGGTGTTCTGACTTTCGGTGGTCTGTCTGACGGACCGGTGTTCTGACTTTCGGTGGTCTGTCTGACGGACCGGTGTTCTGACTTTCGGTGGTCTGTCTGACGGACCGGTGTTCTGACTTTCGGTGGTCTGTCTGACGGACCGGTGTTCTGACTTTCGGTGGTCTGTCTGACGGACCGATGTTCTGACTTTCGGTGGTCTGTCTGACGGACTGGTGTTCTGACTTTCGGTGGTCTGTCTGACGGACCGGTGTTCTGACTTTCGGTGGTCTGTCTGACGGACCGGTGTTCTGACTTTCTGTGGTCGCCTGCCGCAGGACCTGACGTCTGCGCTGACCAGGAAGATCACGCTCAAGTCGCCTCTGGTCTCGTCGCCGATGGACACGGTCACGGAGTCGGAGATGGCCATCTCCATCGCGGTGAGTCCCCAAACGACATGACCCGACCTGACTCTGACCCGACCCGACCTGACATGGCCTGATTCGGTGCGACCCGACCAGCCCCGGCCCGACCGGACTCCACCCGTCCCACCCTTTAGGCTACCAGGACAGGCCCAGCACGACTCGGGTCGTCCATCCCATACCACCCCGTCCCTCCGATGTCATGGCCGCACACCATTATATGGGTTCCCATTTCAATAGAGAGTCTGGGTGCACTGCTGGCTCCCATTTATAGTCAATAGATATTTGGTAATTGATTGATACGATGTCATTTTCAAATGGTCCGCCACGGAGTATTTGCAGCCGATCAGATGTTGATAAACATTTATCTGTTCTGTGTATGTTATCCGGTCTCCGGTCCCAACCGTCTGCGGCCTTGGCGGCGGCTATTCCCGTCTGACTAAACACAGTGCGAGCCCGGTTCGGCCGCCGAACTGCGGCTGCAGTGGGCGGTACCGGCCCGCGCGCCACCCCTCCCACCGTACGGCATTTACCGACCGTCTCCGATCTCACCCGACCAGTCGAGCCGAACTAACGGGCTTCAACCTCAGCGGTCAGAACAAACAAGCTATTGGTCCTAATAGATTCCTAGAGATCCCCGTGGATGTCTGCATGGAGTGGAAAATAACACAAGAAGTATCTGTTCTATGTCTGTTATGTAATGTGTGTCCGTTTCCGTACATTTCCAGTCAGTGTTTAGATCTGGATCCCGTTGTCCATATCGCCGGGCTCAGGGTCGCCAAGTGACGGCCGATGTCGCTCGATGTGGGGTCTCCGGCCCGTCTCTCACCGTCCCGCCCCTGTGTTCCAGCTCTGTGGCGGGATCGGCATCATCCACAACAACTGCTCGCCCGAGTACCAGGCCAATGAGGCCCTCAAAGTCAAAAAGTACAAGCACGGCTTCATCCGAGACCCGTTCGTGCTGTCTCCGAATCACAAGGTGAGTCCTGGCGACGCGCAGGTGCCGCAGGCTGTCACTGCCTTCACTGCGTCTTCGTCCCAGCTTCACGGCGCAGAACGGGTGCGCCGCGAAATGATGCACTTGGCTCGCAGGGGGTGGCCTGGAGCTCCAAAATAGCTGCAGCGTAGCTCCCTGTTTGTTTTGCAACGTCGTTTCTTTGTCGCTTCGGCCAGAGGTTTCGAAATACCGCTGAGGGCCGGGAGCTGCTGGTTTTACGGCGGCCGGCGCGGCGTGGTCGGACGGACGCGGCCACTGACCTCGCGTGGAGACGCGGCCCACGCCTCCAGGGCTGTGTCTGGGCGACTCCCGGCCGCCGGGCGGCCTTGGCCGCGGGCCCGGTGGGGTAGGCCGACCGCGGATACCGGGAACGACCCGCGCCGGGGATATATCCCCGAACGACCGACAGACAGACAGATAGATAGATGGACGGCCGGGTGGGGTGGCGGCCTGTCGCTAGGCGGGCGGCCCGCCGCTGTTCTGCCAGGTGCTCTCTGTCTGGAGCGTTTAGGGATTGTGTCTTGTGGCTACACAGAAATGAATTTACCGCTGTACTGCTCTGCTCAGATATATGTGGTAGATACTCTGCGCTCTGCCGATAGTATGACCATTTACCATAAAGAACGTTTTTTTTTTTGCGAATATCTCTGGTCTGACGTTACGACCACTTATTGATGCAAGTAATTATCATGGGCCTGCCTGAGCTATGAATTTGTGGCTGGTGCCGTGGCGAGTCGTGCTCTAAGCCGGATGAAGCCGTTCCAGTGTTTGGGATTCGCAACTTGGGATTCCACACAACGACGGGCTGGGAAGTTCCCTGATGTGGAGCCGTCTCCCCCAAACACTTAGATCGGCCAAGGATAGCGATGTATTTGAAACAGCATGAGCAAGCTATGTAGTGAACACAACGATGAAACCATAGTTCGTTTTGGCAAAGTTAAGGACAGTACAAAGCAGTGAGAAAACGTATATCAGAGCGAGAGATACTTTCTAGAAGAGTGCGTGAATGCCCACACGACGATGAACATTATGATACATACACACGAGCATACATTTCTAAAACATTAATAAATCGGACATAGAAAATGAACAAGTGGAGCAGAGACATCTGGCGGATATCGCTGAACCTGCGCCTCGCGTCAGCTGCGACAGCAGCGCCACGTTGAGGTCGACGGTGGCGCCGCCCCGCGTCGGAGCGCTTGCCAGTCGCCAGCGGCGGTAGTGCCGCGCCGCGTCGGAGAACGTGCGGCGGTGCACTACATCACCCTCCCCCTAGAGACGGCACTGCGAACGTGACGTTAAGAAAACGCGTTGGTGGCCGTACAGCACGGCCGGAGCGGGTCGTCCGTAGGCACGGCGGTGGGGGCGCGGGCGGAGGCGGCGGCTGTAGCGGCAGGTCGCCACGCGGTGGCGGAAGCGGCGGCCTCGGTGCGCGAGGCACTGGCAGGAGGAGCTCTGGGCCGGAGGCCGGTGTTGCCGAGTCGGCGGAACGCGCCGTGTCTTGGACCGCAGACGGCGATGCTGTCGGAGTTGGAGCAGGTGGGGGCCGTTCCAAGTGCGCCGGTTTGACTCGGTCGATGGAGATAACGTCGGAACGACCGCCTCGGTCCACAGTGACCGTCTTCGCCGATCTGTGTAGCACCTTGTATGGTCCGTCATAACGCGGGGCAAGCGGCGGCTTCACTGCGTCGTGGCGCACGAACACGTGCGAGGCGTGGTCCAGCGCGCGCGGCACGTACGACGGCGCGCTTGGTGCTGGTCGTGGTGCCGTCGGGCGCAGTGCCGCCATGGTGCGCTGAAGCTCGGCGGCGAATGATTCCGGCGTAGGAGGCGCGGTGGCGGACGGGGTGATGAGTTCACCAGGTAGGCGGAGCGGCGCTCCGTACACCAGCTCGGCAGTGCTGCAGCCCAGGTCTTGTTTGAGCGCCGAGCGGATTCCGAGCAGCGCCAAAGGAAGAGCCTCCGTCCAGCGGGCGGGCGCGGCGGCGCGCAGCGCGGCCTTAAGCTGCCGGTGCAGGCGCTCCACCATCCCGTTGGCCTGGGGGTGGTACGCGGTGGTCCGGCGCCGCGCACAGCCCAGGAGAGTGGACAGCTCAGCCCAGAGCGCCGACTCGAATTGGCTGCCCCGGTCGGTGATGATCTCGTCCGGGACGCCGAACCGAGAGATCCAGCCGGAGATCAGCGCCCGGGCGACCTCTCGCGCCGTGATGCCACGCAGCGGGATCGCCTCCGGCCAGCGACTGTACCGGTCCACCACCGTCAGAAGATACGAGTAGCCCTCAGACGGCGGCAGCGGGCCGACCAGGTCGGCGTGCACTTGTCGAAACCTGTCGGCAGGTGGCGGGAACGAGGCGGGCGGCGCTGTCGTGTGCCGGTGGACTTTGGTGCGCTGGCACGGGACGCAGGTGCGCGCCCAGAGTGCGGCGTCCTTCTTCACCGACGGCCACACGAAACGCCGCGTGACCAGGTCGACGGTGGCGCGCACTCCCGGGTGGGCCAGATCGTGCACGTGCCGGAAGTAGGCGCGCCGGAGCGGTGCCGGGATCCACGGCCGCGGTACACCCTGGGACTCGTCGATGACCAGCGTGCGGCCGCTGGGGAGCCGGGCGTCTCTGAGTTTGAGCCCGTGCTCTGTCGAGCGGAAGCGCGCCAGCTCTTCGTCCTCTTGCTGGCAGGCTGCGAGCTCGTCGAAGTCGTCGACTGGCGGGCACGGTGCTGAGAGCATCGCCACTGTTCGACTCAGAGCGTCCGCAGCTGCGTTTTCTTTCCCAGGCACGTGCCTGATGTCGGTGGTGAACTGGGAGATGAAGTCCAGGTGCCGGATCTCCCTCGGCGAGTAGCTGGCTGACCCGGACGAGACTGCCGACACGAGGGCCTTGTGGTCGGTGAAGATGGCGAACTGGCGGCCTTCCAGAGTGTGCCGGAAGTGCTTGACCGCCAGATACGCCCCGAGCAGTTCGCGGCCGAAGGTGCTGTAGCGTGTCTCTGCTGGTTGGAGTGACTTCGAGAAGAAAGCCAGCGGCGTCCAGGTCCCGTGCGAGTGTTGCTGCAGGACAGCGCCGACGCCGGTGTCAGAGGCATCGACCTGCAGACTCAGCGCTGCGCCGGGAGTGGGGTGCGCGAGCTGCGTGGCCTGAGCCAGGGCAGCCTTCACGCGTTGGAAGGCGTCCTCAGCGGTTGGCGTCCACTCCACCGGCGCCGCGCGTTTGCGTTTCTGGTCCAGCAGGTGGTGAAGCGGTCGGAGGAGGCCGGCAGCACCAGGCAGGAACCGGTGATAGTAGGTCACCAGGCCGATGAACCTGCGCAGTTGGCGTTGCGTGGTCGGCTGCGGAAACTCCTGGACTGCGGCGACCTTCTCCGGCAGCGGGGCGATGCCGTCCGGGGACACATCGTGACCGAGGAAGCTGATACGGTTGACGCCCAGCACGCACTTCTTTGGGTTGATCGTGACGCCGAACTTGTCGAGACGTTCCAGTACCTGACGGAGGTGACGGCGGTGCTGCTCGACGGACGTGCTGGCGATGAGGATGTCGTCGATGTACACGTAGCAGCACGTCAGCCCGCGCATCACCTCGTCCATGAAGCGCTGGAATGTCTGACTGGCGTTGCGAAGACCGAAGCTCATCCGCTGCATCTCGAATAGCCCGAACGGTGTGACGATGGCCGTCTTCGGGATGTCAGCGGGTTCGACCGGGATCTGATGGTACGCGCGGACGAGGTCGATCTTCGAGAAGATGGTACAGCCGTGCAGGTTCGCGGAGAAGTCCTGCAGGAACGGTATGGGATACCGGTCCGGGACGGTGGCGGCGTTCAGGGCGCGGTAGTCGCCGCACGGGCGCCACTGTCCGGGCTCCTTCTTGGGCTCCATGTGGAGGGGCGACGCCCAGCTGCTCTTGGATGGGCGGGCGACCCCGAGTCTGATCAGCTTGTCGAACTCCTGACGGGCGATGCGGAGTCGGTCGGGTGGCAAACGCCGAGGGTGCCCCACACGAGGAGGTCCACGTGTCACGATGTGGTGAGTGACGTTATGGCGCACGGGCAGGAGTTGCGCAGATGTGGCCGTCACTCGAGGGAACTCTCTAAACAAGTCTGCGAGAGTGGGCGCCGCGCACATGCGCACACCGACGGAGCCGATGTCGGCTCGGGTTCCCACGGCGCACGTCGTGCCGTGTTCAGCCTGGAGGAGCTGACGGCGCATGTCCACCAGCAGACGATGATGGGCGAGAAAGTCCGCTCCCAAGATCGGCATCGATACGTCAGCGACCATGAAAGTCCACGGGTAGTCCACTGTTCCGAAACGCACCGAAGTCGAAATAACGCCATGGAGCTTGATCTCTGTGCCGTTGGCTGCTTCCAGTCGAGGCGCGTCGGGCTGCTGCACGGTGGTGCCGTCGGCCACGACTCGTGGTGGGACGACACTCACCTGTGCGCCGGTGTCGACGAGGAACCGCCAGTTCCGGGCAAGGTCGGTGACATAGAAGAGGGGCGCCAGTGTTGGCCGGCCCGTCTCCGCTGGCGCTAGCGCGGACAGGCGGGCTAGTTTCCCGACCAGGAGCACGGCGGTCTGCAGCGGTGGGCCTCCGCGCCGTACTTCTGGTGGTACCAGCAGTACCCTTCATCAGGTGTCACCGATGCCGGTTGAGAACTGCCAGACGAGGCAGGTGCGGGTCGGCGCGGACGGGAGCGGGAGCGGCCACGCCGAGGAGCGTCGGCACCGCCCCGCTGGAACACGGCCTCGATGCGTGCTACCGCAGCGGTGAGGGCGGTGACGGCAGCGGCCATGCCGGAGTTACCGCACCCGCAGGCGGCGGGCGGTCCGGTGGCGGCCACCGCGCTGGCCGGCGGGGCGAGCGTGACCCCAGGGCCGGCCGGCGGGCCACAGGCGGCAGCGACGCCGGCCGTCGGCGTGCAAACAGCAGTCACGGCGGCACCGCCAGAGGCCTCCTGGAATCGGTCGGCCGCGCTGGCCAGGTCGTCAATACCAGTGTCCTCCGGCAGCAGCGCGAGGGCGGCGCGGGTCGTCGGCGGCAGGCGCTGCAGGAACAGCGTCCTGAGAAGGCCGAGGTCGTGGCCCGCGCTGCCCAGCATGTGCTGCATGCTGCGCAACAGCTGCGTGGGTCTCCTGTCGCCCAGCTGGTGGTCGCGGAGGAGTGCCTCGAGGCGTGAGGCGCGCGACTGGGCCAGGCGCGTGCTCAGGGCCCCTTTTAGTTCCGAGAACGAGCCGGTCTCGGCTGTTATCACGTCTCGAACTTGTGAAGCGACATGCACAGGCAGGTTGGCCACCAGCAGCCGGAACTTGTCGTGGTCATCCGTGATGCCGGCGACGGCGAAGGCACACTCGACCTGCACCAGCCAGAGCTCGGCTTCTTCAGGTGCGTAGGCCGGCAGCCGGAACGACGCGAATGGCCGCGTCGGCGCGTCCTGGGCGGCACTCTCCGGCTCGATGGGTGACGGCATAGTCACTATATACAGCAAACACTAACACTAGAGGCACACTGAAAGACTGTCGGTAATCACTAGGCGCTCGCCGCGCTCACTGTGCTGGCGCTCGCTGCGCTGCACTACGTTGGCGCTCGCTGCGCTGCACTGCGTTGGCGCTCGCTGCGCTGCACTGCGTTGGCGCTCGTTGCGCTGAGGCTAGGCCACGTCACCAGCGCACTATTCACTGTTCGCGGCAGCGGAAGCCGGGTGAAGATTACCCATTCTTGCCGAGGCGATGGGGAGGCCAGGTCAAAGATGACCTCTTCTTGCCGAGGCGGAGACGATGACTTCTTGAGCTACCGATCACGTCGGGGTCACCATTTGTGGCTGGTGCCGTGGCGAGTCGTGCTCTAAGCCGGATGAAGCCGTTCCAGTGTTTGGGATTCGCAACTTGGGATTCCACACAACGACGGGCTGGGAAGTTCCCTGATGTGGAGCCGTCTCCCCCAAACACTTAGATCGGCCAAGGATAGCGATGTATTTGAAACAGCATGAGCAAGCTATGTAGTGAACACAACGATGAAACCATAGTTCGTTTTGGCAAAGTTAAGGACAGTACAAAGCAGTGAGAAAACGTATATCAGAGCGAGAGATACTTTCTAGAAGAGTGCGTGAATGCCCACACGACGATGAACATTATGATACATACACACGAGCATACATTTCTAAAACATTAATAAATCGGACATAGAAAATGAACAAGTGGAGCAGAGACATCTGGCGGATATCGCTGAACCTGCGCCTCGCGTCAGCTGCGACAGCAGCGCCACGTTGAGGTCGACGGTGGCGCCGCCCCGCGTCGGAGCGCTTGCCAGTCGCCAGCGGCGGTAGTGCCGCGCCGCGTCGGAGAACGTGCGGCGGTGCACTACAAATTAGAATTGTTTGGCCTCATCGTTGCGTATAAGCCCTTATGAATTTTGCTTTAATTACTTGATATGATCTGTCATTGGCTTCCCAGCCCGCTGATGACCTCATAAATCAGCGTCGCCAAACGAAAACTAATAGGTCGCCGCCGTTACGGGAGACTAATGTCCGTCGCGGCGGTTTGAAGCTCGTCGGGTGGTTGCGTGTCGTGGCCGGGTAATTGGTTCGGACTCGGCGGTACGGCCGGGGATCACGGAACACGGAGCTCGGACCCAATCAGCCGTCACGCTGGGGGTTTGGCCGGCCGACCGATGGGGGCGAGCCGGCCGGTAATCCTACCCGCCGCCGTCCGTCAGCTCGGAGCTCCGTGAGCCGGCAGCGGAAGTCGGTCTCCGCTAAACAGACTGTGGCGGTGTCGTCTGTCCGATCACTGGCCGAGGCCGTGCCCCGCGCCCCGCGCCGCGCCCGCCAGTGCAGTGGACGGCCTGGGGCAGACGGGTGGTGGGACCTGTCGGGGGTCAGCGACCTCGTCACTGCCAATATCGGACAGTATAATCTGACCGGATCGGGGCTACCGGCCGTCCCGTCACCGCCCGTCAGGCCTCCGAGTAGGTCCTCTCGGTCATCGTCTTGACCTGAGGAAAACTATTTATGCTTCCTCCTAAGTCTAAGGTCAAGGTTTTTACCAAGAGCTGATGTAGTCTCGAGATAGAGTAACACATTTTCGGTTTTTCACCTGTTTGATCAACACTCAACAATATGTTGGGGCACAATGCCGCAATGCAAGATGTTCTATGTGAAGAGTTAATAATGTGCATTTATGAAATAGAATAACCCCTTTGAAGGCCTGTTTGACGCGTCACACCAGCTTACACAGCCCGCCCCGCTCACTGACCTCATCTGGCCGTGTAAACTGACACCGGGCCTCACCGTAGGTCACCCCTGTCGCGTGTAAACAGCGAGGCGCCGTATTGAACTGCGCTCTTATCACGTATCGGATGGGCAATTTACCGCGCGAGAGGGCGTTGACCGCTGAGGTCGGACTGTTGGCCGGGCCGTATGTGATGTGACAGTGCTCAGAGAACGCACTGGAAACTATCGATCGTTCTTTTGTGCTGTCCCTATTCTTCAAGCTGACGAACAATGCTTGCATTCAGAATTTGGTAAAAGTAGACTTTTCTATGTCTTACGCAACCTTCTGATCCTACGCATAACTATGTATACAGATATTGGTAATGGTAGATTTTTGAATGTCTTATCTTGTAACCTTATATGTATATGCATGCAGAGATTGGTAATAAAGTCTTATCCATGTCTTGTCCTACGTAACCTTATGATCTTCCGTCTACCCAAACATACTATGTTTCGCTCCATGTTGTGCGTTAGGTTTCTTTTGCCGGTCTTATTACCCCAACAGCACGGCATTTTTACAATTATTTTTTACTATGTTTTCAGCCTGGTCTTTTGCGTCTAGATCGCTTGTATTTTGTGTGTTGCTATTTCCTTGTCGATCCCGCAGTCTGAGTCTGACATATGAGTCTAACATGTGTCCCATCTCTGTTCGTTTTCTCAGGTGAAGGATGTGTTTGAGATAAAGCGCACGCGCGGCTTCGGCGGCTTCCCGGTGACGGAGAATGGTCGGCTCGGCGGCCGGCTGCTGGGTATCGTCACCTCGCGCGACATCGACTTTCTGGACCACGCCTCGGAGACCACCATCTCGCAGGTACGGGACACGGGACGGAGCTCGCGGGCTCGTGGCAGTTAGATGACCTGAGCGTCGCGACTGGCAGAGGACAGATAGGTATCTGACTGCCGTGCCGAGGGAGTATGAATGGATGGATAACTTACCGTGGCAGTGAGCGAAGGAAGGGCGCATATGGACTAACCTGCCAAGTGAGGGGCGGTACAGATTTCGACGGGCTCACCATGATATGTAGGGAGGGGTGGCTGGGGATCACGGACATCTGACAAGCTGTCGTCTAGCTGCGTTGTCTCGGATCTCGTCCCGCCTGAGCGGCCGGTTTTTGTCGGGCCGTGGACCCCGTCTGACCGTCTGTCTCTCGCTCCCTCTCCGGCAGATTATGACCACCGGAGACGCCCTGGTCACGGCGCCCGCCTCGGTCAGCCTCCAGGACGCCAACGACATTCTGGAAAAGTCCAAAAAGGGCAAGCTGCCCATTGTCAACGAGAACCAGGAGCTGGTGAGTCCGAGCACTATCCAAGCGGCCGGTCGGATCGATCGATCATTCAGCTAATAATGCTCCATATTGGCTCTGCAGACTCATCCGATTAGAAAATGCATTAGTCTGCCGTGGTCGTGCTATATTCCACTTTTAATGAAGATTTTATGTTCTATAGCTTCTATAGAACACGAAGCAAATGAATGTAATTTTTCGTTTGATGGATTCAGTGATAGCCATATCCCGTGTCACGACTGGATGTTACGTAAACACCGTGTTGTTACGTAAACACCAGCAAGCACGCGAGCCCAGCGTGGTCCCTCGCGGGAACACAATCATCTGCTGGCTATCGGCCGTAGTCGGTACCTCTAGTGCCTTCATCTGCCAACAGGTGGCACTGATAGCGCGCACCGATCTGAAGAAGTCTCGCACGTTCCCGATGAGCAGCAAGGACGAGAACAAGCAGCTGCTGGTGGGCGCGGCGGTCGGCACCCGCGAGGAGGACAAGAAGCGTCTGGAGCTGCTGTACCAGGCCGGCGTCGACGTCATCGTGCTCGACTCCAGCCAGGGCAACAGCGTCTTCCAGATCAAGATGATTCGCTACATCAAGGACAACTACCCCGAAATGCAGGTGAGTGGTCGTTCAGGTCTTGCTGCAGAGGTCTGTGCCTGTTGGGATACTCGCAGCACTCTGTCTACCTGATTTGACTTGACCTCAGATGGTCTTGACTCTGGTCTGGCTGCAGGTCGTGCGGTGTTACGTAAATTGTTCACTCTTGAAGGAACGGCTGACTGGCCCGCAGCTCTGGCCTACTGACCTGACCTGCTGACCTCACCCGCCAAATTACCTCACTGACCTGATCCCTGACCTCTGACCTCTTGTCGGCAGGTGATTGGCGGTAACGTGGTGACTGCGGCGCAGGCCAAGAACCTGATTGACGCCGGCGTGGACGGACTGCGGGTCGGCATGGGCAGCGGCTCCATCTGCATCACACAGGTGGGACTGGGTCCGCGGCGGTCTGTCAGTGGTCTTCTGACCTCCCGGTCCGCACCAGAGTGGATCGGACCGCCCTGCCGTAAATTAGCTCTGTTCCCCGACCGCCCTGTACCAGCGCCTGTCATATTGCCACGCTAGACTATTGTAGCCGAGCGTCGTTTGAATAAGATTGGGAAAACGGCTGACCATTGTTGTATATTTTGTTTGTGTGGTAGTTGCTCCGGTCCGCCTGCTGGACGGGCCTCCTCTGTGTCTCGTGCTGACCCGCCGGCCGGCTCTGTGTCTCGCGCTGACCCTGTCTGTGTGTCTCCCTCTCTGTAGGAGGTAATGGCCGTGGGCCGGCCGCAGGGCACGGCCGTCTACAAGGTGGCCGAGTACGCCCGCCGGTTCGGCGTGCCCGTGATCGCAGACGGCGGCGTGCAGAACGTCGGGCACATCACCAAGGCGCTGGCGCTGGGCGCATCCACAGGTACGGACGCGTCGGGTCCGAGATGCGTAAAAAAGATCGTCCCGTGTTCCTAGCCGTCCGTGCTGTCCGTTGTAGCCGTCCGTGCCGCCCGTCGATCTGCTGTGATCCCGTCCTCGTCTTCTGTCGGCCCTTTCGCCCATGTTTTATGTGTCAGTATCCGCTGTGGCATTCCTCATGCCTGTGTCGTCGGCTCGTTGTGACCACTGACCAGGTCTATGCGACGAAGCCGTCCGTCTCTGACCATCGCACTGATGATGTGACTCTCGTCTATTTCAGTGATGATGGGCAGTCTGCTGGCGGGCACCACCGAGGCGCCGGGCGAGTACTTTTTCTCGGACGGCGTGCGACTGAAAAAGTATCGCGGCATGGGATCACTGGAGGCCATGGAGAAGAAACAGGGCACTCAGGGAGACCGCTACTTCCACAAGTAAGGCTGACTGGGCGCTGACGGGGCGAACACAACCTACACCAGATCCTCGCCCCTATGTACAAGCACAATCTTGGCACAGGCTCGGCAGTGCGGGTTTCATCTATGGCTTAGACCAAACTGTCCCGGTCTGTTACCTTCTAAAACAGTAGAACAACATGCTTTTGGTTGTGCTTTGCTGGCATATTACAAAATATAAGCGTCGCTGCTGGGTCTCGGTAAAGTTCTCTTGACTCGAGTAACGTTTTTGCTTTTAAAAGGCCCTCGCAAAATCACCGCGTTCTAAAGCTGTTTCCGCCGCGCCTGACGCTGCCGTTGTCTGGTGGCCCCCTGTATTCTGACGCCTCCCTCTGCGGTCTGTCAGGGAGGGTGAGAAGATGAAGGTGGCGCAGGGCGTGTCCGGCAGCATCGTCGACAAGGGCTCGATCCTGCAGTTTGTGCCGTACCTGCAGGCGGGCATCCGGCACGGCTGTCAGGACCTGGGCGCCAAGAGCCTCTCCATCTGCCGGTCAGTAGACGCCCGGACGTCAGCGGCTCTCATTCGGGCATTTCGCTTCTTTCTGGTCTTGTCTTAGAATCTTCACTAATCAGACATTATCAGTTATGACTAGATGAGGTGGAAAATCGATTCTCATCCTTGATCATCCATTGTAATGATTGACTTGAACGGACTTGAATTTGATCTTGAAGGCACCTACCATGTGACTCAACTGCCCGTTTAGCCGCTGCTATCTGTATCCATTGCCTGCTCGAGTTTCTGTCACCTGATCATCTCCCGAACTCCGCTGACGGACTCTTCCTCGCGACTGGTCTCCCCGTCCGCTTAGCCACTAATTATGATATGCGATCTGCTCTCTTTTGCTCTATTCTGTACTGTTCAGCTCTGACCTTCCCTTTGCGCCCCTGCAGCGCGATGATGTACAGCGGCGAGCTCAAGTTTGAGCGGCGCACGGGCTCGGCGCAGGCCGAGGGCGCCGTCCACGGCCTCCACTCGTACGAGAAGCGGCTCTTCTAGCGCCGCCCGGAGCCGCCGTCCGAACCCACTGTGCCATCCCGACCGCCGCGCAGGCCAGTCCGCGTACCTTGTCACCGGCTTCCGAACACGCCGCGCCGTTGGAGCGTGTGTATTTGTATCTGACGTTGAGGGGAACAGTGACAAAGTTCTCCGTGTGACCGAGCTCTGTGCGCCATCGACTATAACTGATCTGAGCGCCGACATGAGCGGATCTGAGCGCTGACATGAGCGGATCTGAGCGCTGATCTGAGTGTAGGGTGTGTGGGATGTTGTCTTGGATGCCGTTTGGGACGCCGCGTTGGGAGTCCCCGGGCCAGTGGGAGTGTGCTGGGTGAACGGGTTGTTTGTCGGTGACTGTCACGGTGGAAGCAGTCGTTGTGTTTACGTGTAATCGTCTATGGTACACGTGGATCATGTTGGTGTACCGTTGTACGCGGGATTAGTGGGGCGCCTCTGTAGGGCGCCGCCGCAGTATGTGACCACGTTGGGCCGGAGGTCGGAGGGCGTTTGGCCGCGGGGCAGGGTGCCGGCTGTCCGTCCTGGGGTCAGGTTCGACCCGAGTCGGGCCGGGTGGTCCCCGCCCGCCGTCCGCCGCCCACTGACGCCATTATCGGTCCGTGTTAGCGGCCGTCCGCGGCTCCATAAGTGTTCACTGCGTGACTGACCACAATGGATGACGATATTTCTGTCCGACAAACCGGGAACCAAGACATAGTGTTCGCCGGAGGACATGCTGGGGACTTCCAGGGCATTTTTGTTTACTTTTGTACGACTGTTTATGTTTTCTATCGGTCTATAGGGCTATTTAACTACCCGTGTACGCATCATTGCAGGTTATCTGACGATTAAAAAACATTTTCATTGAGAATATATGCTGCACTGTGCAAGCCTTGTGTTGATTGAAACTGACAGTGCCGTGTTATTTATTTTTATTCGCCGTTCCTCGGCGGGCCATTGTGGTCCCTTTACAGGAGGACTCCTCGCCCAACCCTGCAGGGGACAGGTCATTACAAAAAGGATCGAATGCTCTTAGAATATCGGACGGCGTCTTTATGTCGAAATGTTTGCATCAGGACGGCACATGAGACTTGACTGCATATATGACGCGCGATGGTAATGACATACTTGAAGAGCAGTGACAGTGCAAGCTGTTTGTCTCCCGTTCTTGAAGCCACAATGAGGACACTACAGCACAACGATCCCCGTGCCTTGCCCAAGAGTTCAGCTCCTCAGTCCTCAGTCATACACCTCTTCAGTGACTAGAGTCGAACTAATTTTCAGTGAATGCCGAAACTGTGGTCTGGCACAAGATTCCTATAGATTGCTATAGGTCTGGCTGGCCATTCCAACGATGATCGGTTCCGACAGGCAAACCGTCGCGTCGCTAAACATCACGCAGAAAAGGAACTTCCAGCAGCGCATCGTCGTCCTCGGCAGGGCACCGGTGAACTCAGCAGTGGATGGCGCGGCGTGTGCCAGCGGGGCCGGTGGCTCTCTGTCGGCGGGACAGGCCGGTCGGCCGTTCTGTCCCTCCCGGTCAGGCGGGCCGGCCGCCATGTCCCGTTGGTTCAGGCTGGCCGGCCGGTCTGTCTCGCTGGCTCAGGCTGGCCGACTGCTCTGTGCGCCGTCGTCGCTGGTCTGTCGGTTTACGAACACCTTGTGGATGGTGGGGCGGAACTGCGGGTACAGCCAGAGGAAGCAGGCCAGGTCGGAGGCGGGGTGCAGCAGCGGCAGGGTGACCAGCAGCGGCACCACGGCGCCCTCCAGCCAGCCGCTGTCGGCGCCGCCCGGCTGCGGTACAAACAGCAGCGCCAGTGCGCCGGCCTGCAGCGCCAAGTGGGCCGCGGCCAGCACCGCAGTCAGCGGCAGCATGTGCGGCCGGCGCAGCGGGCGGCGCTGCCGCCAGCCGACCACGGCCGCCCCGGCCGGTACCAGTAGCGCCGTGGGCACCAGCACGGCGCACACGAACCAGGCGTGGTGCCAGACCGGCAGCGAGTCCGAGTGGGAGTAGCAGACGCGCCGGCCGGCCTGGCCGACCACCTTTGCGTCCAGCAGCGCCACCAGTCCGGTGCCGAGCGGGCACAGCCAGGCGGCGAACACGACTCCGTCCCAGGCGGGCTGCGACCAGCCGTGGCCCACCAGGTGCCACAGCAGCAGCAGCAGGATGAAGGTGACCCGCAGCGCCTGCGCCGACTCGAACAGGTAGCTGGTCACCTGGCACACCATGCTGCCGAACGTCCAGTCGTCCCAGGCCGCTGCCGCCGCGCGCACAAACATCGGCAGGCAGAAGAGCGCGTCCGAGCGCACCAGACTGGTGAGCAGCTGCGAGAGCGGGCCGTGGTGCACGCCGCGCATCAGCACCAGCGAGCACAGCGCGCAGCTCAGCAGGCCCAGCGTGGCCGCTAGGCCGCACAGCGCGAAAAACGTCTCGTGCTGCCAGCTGGGAGGGAATAGCGCCACCGGCAGGTCGCCGAGCTCGACCGTCGGCGGCCACAGCACACTGGAGTTGGTGCGGGGTCCAGCCGCCATGGCGGTCCCCACTGCCGCCGCCGCGGGAGCCGCTCACCGTCTGCGGCCGTCACACCGTCACACCGTCACACCGACCCGGACACGGTGCGCCGTGCCACAGGTGTGCCGTCCGAGCGGCGAAAAGACGGCACCGGGCTGCGGTGTGCCGCGCCACAGCTGTGGCCGCCAACCGATCAACAGACGTCGGCAGAAAATAGGCATAGGGGTGCAAATTGGGTGGAGACGGTGTGGATGGTGAACGAAAATGAATAGAAACGAACGAAGGGGCCGGTCAGCTCAGTTCCTAGTTCCTACATCAGCATGTCACCGCGACACCCTAAAGGTGTAGGTGCCGGCTTGTGAGCATGTCTTGAGCTGGCCTATAAGTCACCTATTGAGCTGACCCATTACATTTGTAGACTCTCCTATGACTTGAATGCTGTTTCTACTCTGGTGCCTTCATTACAATGAAAACATGCTGGAGGCGCAGGAGCCTTCATTTCGCGTTTATGGACTTTTCAGCTTCCGATATATCCTGGCGTTATGTTTGCATAGTGCAGGGTGCTTACATCAAATACTACTTATATGATTTTGTGCCCAATCTTTCATGATGCTTCGTTGATGAAGCTGAAAATCAAGACTATTTGCCTAAAATACTATATAAATCCCTCATAGCCATAATTCAGCGCCGTTGACCTAAAACTGACGCATGCGCAGTATAGAACCTATGTGTGGTGTTCAATGACGCATCAAAGGCATTTGCTGAGAATGAGCTAGGGCAGTTTTGGAGCTTGTTGCTACGCAACCTGCTGCAAAGGGCCTGTTCCAGCGCCTCCAGAAACCTCCAGAAAGCTCCAGAAAGCTCTAGAATCCTCCAGAGAGCGTTCCAGCGCCTCCAGAAAGCTCCAGAAAGCTCTCGCCAAAGCTCCAGAAACCTCCAGTAGCCTCCAGAGAGTTGGGAGGTCCAAATTTCTCTGGAGCCTCTGGTCTACAATTATGGCGCACATGTGACAATCACGAATGTAAACAAAGGACTTTTGACTGATTATTTTATAACTTGAATGTAAAGAAAATCACACTGCCATTATTTTGTTAATCTTTCTTAATAAAATTGAAAACAAATTTTGCGTTTCAAGAGAGAATAATCGTCATTCTTTTGGTATCTGTGATGCCAATCTCCAGAAATCTCCAGATTGCGTTCCAGCGCCTCCAGTGAAACCTCTGGTAGAGCCTCCAGTCAAGAATTTCTACTGGAGGCGCTGGAACAGGCCCAAAGTAAGGATAAATGAAAGATATATCGCAGCTATTCGTGGTTTTGTGTTGTCGATGGCTAGAGCTAAACACAATGTAACTAGAATTCTCTTCACATTGGGCACATATACATATAGAAGACGATTGATCGTAAACTGAAACTTTAATTCAAGTTTAATTGTTGTAATGAAAGTGCGCATTTATTTTATAAAGACATCATTGTCTGAAGAAAGGACCAACACCATCTGTTAAATAGTAAAGGATCGATCAACAAGGGTAAGCGTCGGTGTCGGACGTTTTTGCGGCTGGAAGACCTGACAAACTAGATCCGCATTGAGTTGGAGTGGGCTGCAATTCTCTCCCACGGTTCCTTGATCCAGGTCACTGTCATTGCATGATAAGCTCGCGTTTATTTTGTTGACACAGATAAATGCCTAAAAAATGGATAAAACTATTCTTCATTTAATTGGAAGGTACAGTCAGAAAGATATTCCTTCTTTCTGAATTTCCTCAGTGTTAGTCCAGTGCTGGTCATCATCATATCAATTTCCCCTTGAATTCAACAGCAGAGCTGTTTCCGTAATAGTTGTTAACACATATTTTGATATTGACAGTACCTGCAGACTACAGAGCAAGAACATCTTAAGTGTCAAATTGATCGAAATTCATATTTTATACCAATTGACTCAGCTCAACGAGCTCAGTTGAATTTAAAAAAAAATCAATTTGGAAAAATTGGACACTTAAGATGATCTTGCTCTGAATTGTTGATATAGTTCATTTGATTTCCACATGTTTTTTGTAAGCCATTAGCCAAACCTCTTCATTAGTTCCATTTGGCAATACCTAACATGTTCCATAGTCCATACCTACCTATATTTTAGTACCTAAATGCTAGTGTGAGTTGGAATTTTGAATCTGAGTGTCTAGCATATTTAACTGAATAGCTGCTACCTTTTACATTTCAGCAATCATGGATTCAAATGGAAATGCCAATGGAGGGAAGAGAGGATTGGACAAACTTAGAGAAATAATGCTTCGGAACAAAGAAGAATCAGAGGTGAGGAAGCTGTAGCATGTCATATGGAGAAAGGCTCTATTCTTGATATTAACATTAGATGGATACTTCAGCATTTATATTTCATAGGCTTATTCATTCTCTTAGTATTTATTCACTGTCATGAGCATTTCATGTCAAATGTCTATTTGCAATGTTTGGTTACAAAGCTAGGCTTGTTCCATCTGCTCATGAAAATAATGATGGATACAGGATAATTAAGCCTGCAGAATATAGCTAATTGATGAACTTCTCATTACTTTTACCAGCTGTGGTCCATTGAATATTGATTATAATGTGTGTACCTTGTTGCAGTGTGGCGATGACTTCCCAGAGCTGGAGTTTGAATATGCAGATACTGAGTCCCACATGAATGAAATAGCTGAACTCTACAGCTACACAGAAGTTCCAGAGTTCCAGGTCAATCTCAGGGTAAGACACAAATCAACCAGACTCATCCTGTAAACAATGCATGGAGTGTGGTTTGTGAGTGACCTAACTGTGTAAAAGCGTCATTTCTCATCTGGAGGGCTGAGCGGATTTTCAGCGCTCGGCCACAGCATGTGCAACCCAAGTCCCAAAAGGGTATGACATTGTGCCTCTGTACTACTGCATCGTCGACACACCTCTAAACCACAGCAGAGTGTTGCCGCTCTGGCCCCTGACCTGATCGACCTCATTAGTCCAGTGTGCTGCTGTTCTGGCCTCTGTCACTGTTACCCAGTACTGCTGCCTCTCGGACCGACCCCGTTGCCCGCAGTGTGCTGCTACTCTGACCGGCCCCATTTGTCCACAGTGTTTCGATGAGCTGATGTCGGAGCACGGCTTCGGCCGGTGCTGGCAGAGTATGCGCGATGAGCGGCGCCGCGCCGTCGTGCTCAAACTCATGGACCGGCTCGACCTCTCCAAACGGGACGCGCGCATGAAAGGTACGTAGACTGAGAGACGAATGGCTGACGGGAAGATTGAGTTGAGTAGACTGGTGAACGGGCATGGGCCGGCTCCTTAGTGCGGCGGACTTGGTGACGAGTGCATATGAATCAAGCAACGCGTGCTCTTTTTTTTTTACTAATGTCTAATCGCACAAGCGAGTGTTGTGCCGCTACCGTGGCCCCATGCACCGACTAACTGGTCCGTTTTGCCACTGCAGCGATGCGCGCGCTGCTGTACGTGGCGCAGGGCTGCTGGGCGGAGGTGCAGTCGGACCAGGAGCAGGCCAGCTGGGCCCGAACCAACGTCATCCTGCTGTACCGCTGCGGTGTCTTCTCGGCCTTCCTCGAGCTGCTCTACCTCGAGATCGAGTGAGTCAGGGCGGCACAGAGTCTCTGGGTGCGGTAGAGTGAGTGCCGCGTTAGATCAAGTCTCAGTACCGAGTCGAGTCTGAGGCTGCAGGAGTGTTTGGACGATCACCGACGGTCTTAAACTTTCCGCCGTCAAACGCTTCGTTCGGTATCCTAACGGTTTGATTTGGGGAGTGTGCCCACGGGTAAACGTGTTGAAGGGAATTCATGGGCCGGTTTTGCTGTCGCATTTTCATGTCTTGCCCCCCCCCCCCCCCCCCCGCATAACGTCACGGCTCTCGCCTTTTCTCTCTATGGAAGCCACCTCACGTCTCTCCTCTGAGTGACGTAGCGTCTCCCCCCGCTCCCCCAGGAACGGCAGCACGGCGAGCGCTGCGCTGCGGAAGCTGGCCGTCTCACTGGCCGACTCCACGGAGCTGCGCGTGGTGCTCAGCCTGCTGTACACCATGGTGGAGGTGATGAGGGTGGACGACGAGTGCGACCCGGACGACGTGCGGCAGCTGCGGGAGCAGTTCCGCAGCGAGCTCAGTGAGTCGCGCCGACCCGGGAACAGTGAGGTCAAGGGCGTCTATTATTATGCCGTGCAGTGATTGTTTCTCGTATGTTCCTATATCATTATCTCATAGAAGTTAGAGTTCTTGAGCGTCTGTACGGAAGTACATCTCCGCTCTTCAGTTTCAGTTTCAGGATGCGTTTTGACGATATTGTGCCGCCTACCGCTGCAGCAGTGCAAGCGCCTTTCTAAAACCAACCTCGCCCTCATCTAACGTTGGTTGTGTCCGTCTCTGCGTGCCGCAGTGTGTCCACAGGATAACGGGGAGCTGGTGGCCGTCACCCTGCTGGGCATGGTGGCGCGCTTCTGCAGCGGCGCCGCGCCCCACTTCCCCATGAAGAAGGTGCTGCTGCTAGTGTGGAAGGTGCTGCTGGTGACGCTGGGCGGCTCGGCAGAGCTGCGCCGGCTCAAGGCCGAGGGCCGCGCGCGCGCCGGTCTGCCTCCGGAGCCGGAGGACACAGCCGAGCGGACGCGGCACATGCGCTGCAGCAGCCCGCCACTGGGCTCCGTGGACGCCAACGATGGACAGCCGCGCGGACAGGCCATGCGACTCATGAGAAGGGTGAGGTGGGACAGGGACAGCCGGCCGTAGGGTCTGGTGTCGGAACAGTGAGGGTATAACTAGCGTACTACAGAGAGATGTTCAGGTGTCGACAGGGTGCAGATTGTTTGCTATTGTTTTGTTCCCGACGCATAACCTCTTTTCAGACCCTAATTGAGTGCGCCCTAGTCGACGTGGTTGTGACGCGTTTAATCGCGCCGTGCGTCTGTCCGCAGGGCCTGATGAAGCACCTGTCCCCGGTCTGTATCAATGTCTGACTGCGCCGTGCGTCTGTCTGCAGGGTCTGATGAAGCAGCCCTCGCTGGACGAGGACGCTGAGCAGGAGCTGGAGACGGGGAACGGCGCCGGAAAGGCCGAGGGCGAGCGGGCTGACTCGCCGCGACCCGACTCGCCGCGCGCCGAGACGCCCGCGCCGCCGCCCAACAAAGGTACTTCCAGCTACCGACTGAGGGCACTCACAGTGACAACTGAAGGCACTTCTCCCCAGCTGCTAAAATAAAGCTGATCCCCTCTCCACCTGCAGCTTCTTGTTGTCTACTCATGAGTATGACATGTCCTCTCCGCTCCCGACAGGACTGCCGTGGACGCCCAAGGTGCGCTCCCGTGACGTGCTGGCCTTCCTGGACACCTCGCGCCGCAAGTTTGTCGGCTACGATCTGGAGAACGACCTGACCTCCACGGCCGGCCTGCCATCGCCCATCAAAGAGGGCGCCCGCGTGCTGGAACGGGTGAGTCGGGTAGTGCGACCGGCGGACTGCTGTTCTACCACCCGTGTAATATGGAATGCTGTTCTAGTTTGATGTACCGGCGTAGCTCAGCGTCGTCTGCTTCCTCCGTGTCGTAGACTATATATTCCGTGCCGAGACGAAAGAATGTAAGGCGAATGACTCACTCCTATCTATGCCATGTTGCAGCACGTGTACAAGTCGCTGTCGGAGGTTCAGATCGAGCGGGAGGAGGAGATTGAGCGCAGTCCGTTCAGCCGGCCGGAGGTCGACGTGGAACAGACGCCCGTCGAGATGCTCTACGCCGTGAGTGGGATGAACGGACGGACGGCGGCTTGAGGGGGCTGGGGTCAGTCCGCCGAGGAAGAGTTATGTTGCAGGGAGCGGCTGATGGGGATCTGTGCAGGGCCGGCTGGATAGGGCTGGGTCGGCAAAGGTATACACAGGTAAGGCGGCTCGGACTGTATAAATAAGAGTGGAATCTGTATGTACCGACCATCCCAATCCGCCTTGCTATTCTGACCGGCCCTCTGTGTCTCTGACCACGTCCCTCTCTGTCCCGCCGCCGCAGGGCATGCTGCCGAACCTGCCGCAGTACATGATCGCCCTGCTGAAGGTACTGCTGGCCGCCGCGCCCACCTCCAAGACCAAGACGGACTCCATCAACATCCTGGCCGACGCGCTGCCAGAGGAGATGCCGTGAGCCGGGGGTCGGGGCAGCGGATACTGTGTGTGGGTCGACATTTCCATGGACCTTCCTTCAACTCGCGACTTGAATGTTGTCTTTGTGGAGTGACTCAGAGTTATAGGTCGTCACTGGCCGCTGCTGGAAGGTGGTTGTGATATTGAAGTAGTTCACGGGCGTGATGCAGCAGTCGGCCGCCCAGCCGACTGCGATCGTGTTCTACCGCACCCGCCTTATTCCGAAAACCCTCTGTGACGCCGCATCTCCCTGCCGTCCCCAGGATGACTGTGCTGAAGTCGATGCGACTCGGCATCGACCTGAACCGTCAGAAGGAGATCATCGGCAAGGCGGTGTCGGCCGTGCTGCTGCTGCTGCTGAAGCACCTGAAGGTGAACCACGTCTACCAGTTCGAGTTCGTCAGCCAGCACCTGGTGTTCGCTAACTGCATACCGCTGGTGCTGAAATTCTTCAACCAGGACATCATGGCCTACATCACGTCCAAAAACACGTAAGAGAGGGTTGAAGCACAGAAGGGATTGCGGTGGATACTTAGTGGGTGTTTTCGGTTTCTTTTCCTTGCACTGTAACGATCCTTGACGATGCGGTCGCCTCAGATGCGAGCAACAACTCCCATATATTTTTTGTTTTGCTGACGCTGCCCTGTAGGCGGAGTGATGGGTCGTCGATGTCAGCATCGGTTGGCCGGCGCAGCTGCTGCTCTGACGGCTCCATGTCCCTCCGCCGGCAGTATCGCGGTGATCGACTTTCCGTCGTGCGTGATTGGCGACCAGTCGGAGGTGACGGGCGACACGCTGGAGATCGGCGACCAGCCCTTCTGCTGGAGGAACGTGTTCGCCTCCATCAACCTGCTGCGCATGCTCAACAAACTCTGCAAGTGGAAACACTCGCGCATCATGGTGAGTCGGCGTGGACCAGTCATGCAGTAACGGTAGAGGTAAACCATGGCATTGCTTGTTGTCTCTTGGCATACTCGCATAGAAAACGGCATACTCACATGGGAATCGCGTTCAGATAACATTCGGTCGAAGTCTGACTGGCTCCCGTTTGAGCCAGTCTCGTGTGTCTCAGAACGACTGTCGTTCACCGCAGACACCGCTTGTGAATTGACGTCCCCGTTCCCCCCCCCCCCCCGGCCCCCCCCCTATCGTCAGATGCTGGTGGTGTTCAAGTCGGCGCCGATCCTGAAGCGGGCGCTGAAGGTGAAGCAGGCCATGATGCAGGTCTACACCCTGAAGCTGCTCAAGATGCAGACCAAATACCTGGGACGGCAGTGGCGCAAGTCCAACATGAAAACCATCTCGGCCATTTACCAGAAGGTCCGGCACCGCCTCAACGACGACTGGGCATTCGGAAACGGTCAGTGAAGGCTGCGGGCTGTCACTGTTGACCTAATCTTGTCATGTTGATGATGTTATGCTGGAGCACTGGGGCGAATGGTACTACACACTCGCACAGAAACACAGCGGGTAGAGCAGCTGCCGCTGATGCACAACCTGTTCTTCTGAACGCCTTTGTTTTCAAACAATGGGCCTCTAACCCAGAACGCCGAACCGTCCGGTCACTGGCCTGGAAAGAACGGTAACTAGGTGTATGTGTGTAAAGAATGGATATAATCGGTCAAGCCGGTATCGCCACGCTGTATGTGGAAGGCCTGAGTGATGTTCATACATACCACTGAGTCCTCCCGTCTCTCCCCGCTGCAGACGTGGACGCTCGGCCGTGGGATTTCCGCGCCGAGGAGTGTCAGCTGCGCATGCGCGTGGACCGGTTTAACGAGCGGCGCTACGGCGAGCCCGAGTGGCTGTCCGACCCCGAGTACCGGCCGGTGGACAGCGAGCTCAGCTCCGTGCTCGGACGGCCCGTCGAGCTGACGGAGGAGTTCCGGCGCGACTACCGGCGCTGGCTGCACCGCGAGGTGTTCCAGGCGCAGATCGACTGGGACCAGCTGGTCGAGAAGGGATACCTGTAGAGAGGGGCGACTGGCCGAGAGGGATACCTGTAGAGAGGGACGGCTGGGTATGGCTGGTCGAGAGGATATACCTCTAGGGAGGGACGACTGGGGACGGCTGGTCGAGAAGGGATACCTGTAGAGAGTATCGGATGGTCGGAAAGGGATATCTGTAGGACCAGATGGCCAACGACGGACTATCTGAATGAATGTGTTGTTGAAAGACTGCTCAGCCCCCGACGGAATGGCGGACACCGGAAAGGGTCTAGCAAAACTGTTGTATCTATGATTTTAAATACGTAGGGTAGTTGCAGATGTTATTCCATAGATCACGAATTGACGAATCTCAGTGGCTGTCGGTCCTTGTGTGGCAGGTTGTTGACAAACCTGTGTCGTGGCCGGATATTGTAGCGAGGAGGCTCGTTTCAGTGTGTGCTCGCCACGCTGGTACTTTGTTAGTACTGAGCGGTCTCCACTGCGCGGGCGGTCGAGCAGTGTTGGAGGAAGCCCGACTGCTCGGAACTGTCTGATGATGTGACGGGAGAAACTGTGGATCTAAGAGGAGGCTGCAATTAACTCATGACTGTATCTGGCACAGTGGTGACCCCCTATTCCTGGACGGGTAGAGTACAGTATATGTATGTATAGGAGATCCGGAATGTGTGTGTATGTACCCGAGATGACAGTGTACAGATTTATATTGTACTGGCTTATTTTACGATGTAGTATTGACGTGCTGGCAGTTGCCGCATTAGGAGCGTCTGGGCGTGCCGCTGGGACCCTATGTAGTGCCCTGAACCTTTATCTGTAAAGACTACGGACGCCGTTAATGTCGTGTGTCCGTTAGTGTTCGTAGGATCTTGTAGTAAATGTGTATTGTGTACGGAGGTTAGTCTGTCATATGACTGAATGTGCCACATTCCGTTATCCCGTGTCGAAAGATGGGCCCTCTCGATGTACGGGACGGTCACTCAGCGGGCGCCCTGACTGCGCTCTGTACCTATTGTAGTACGCCTTTGGTAGCTGTATAACTCGACTGCGGTATCCTAGCAGCCACCAGAGCGGATGGCAGCCGTTCTTCCCAGGGGTGGCTGCGTTAGTAGGCAGCTGGTAGTCGTCTATTTACCTATCGATCTGTTCTCCACCTGTTGATCTCTGGTAGTATCTCTGTACTAGCGGCGCGCTCCGAGCCGATCGGTCCGTTTTGTTGGCCGCCAGTCTTTTTGTGAATACACTGCCCTCTGCGCCAGCCGACCGCGTGCTCTGTTACCTGCTGCTGCCAGTCAAAATACGGTAACCCGCGCGTCCAGATGACTGCTGTTGCGGGGGAGGTGATGTTCGCAAGAAGTGACCTACAAGAGTTGGTTGGACTCCCGGTGGTGAGAGCGCGGGTTCGAATCTCATTGTTGTCCGGCTGCCGTCATATGCATCCGGTGTCTGAACCGGTGCTGGTAAAAAGTCGTAAATCTACACTTATACGTGTAGACAGGCTGCATCACTCGTCCCGTATCCAGCGCAGAGTGCCGTACCGACGTCTGAGCTATATTGGGGACAAACCTCGTCCAGTCTCCAGCGCAGAGTGCCGTACCGACGTCTGAGCTATATTGGGGACAAACCTCGTCCAGTCTCCAGCGCAGAGTGCCGTACCGACGTCTGAGCTATATTGGGGACAAACCTCGTCCAGTCTCCAGCGTAGAGTGCCGTACCGACGTCTGAGCTATATTGGGGACAAACCTCGTCCCGTATCCAGCGCAGAGTGCCGTACCGACGTCTGAGCTATATTGGGGACAAACCTCGTCCAGTCTCCAGCGCAGAGTGCCGTACCGACGTCTGAGCTATATTGGGGACAAACCTCGTCCAGTCTCCAGCGTAGAGTGCCGTACCGACGTCTGAGCTATATTGGGGACAAACCTCGTCCCGTATCCAGCGCAGAGTGCCGTACCGACGTCTGAGCTATATTGGGGACAAACCTCGTCCAGTCTCCAGCGCAGAGTGCCGAACCGACGTCTGAGCTATATTGGGGACAAACCTCGTCCAGTCTCCAGCGCAGAGTGCCGTACCGACGTCTGAGCTATATTGGGGACAAATCTCGCCGGGCGGCTCACCAGTTCACTCACAGACACACAGACACAGCTACCGCGCACACGGCACACAAACTACATAGTCGAAATCGGGCGCCGCCGGACCCCGTCCTACCAGTAAAACCTCGCGCTGAAAGAGTCGTCAAAATACCTCGCACTCGGTCCGGCGTTCTAAAACAGAGGTGGCCGTCTCGGGCCTCAGCGCTCGCCGCCGTATTGCATTGATATCGGTCACTACAGAGAACCCCCCCTCCCCCTCCCCCTCCCGGGCCGCCGTCACATAGAGCTCCCACCGGCGCATTGCATTGTTGGACGCGGGTCAGAGTGACCCGCAGGTCGCGCGCGGCCCCCCGGGCGACCACTACCCGTCTCTCGCGCGCCATCCACGCCGCAGTCTGTTAGTCGGACTACCGGCCACCGCACAGTCAGTCAGTCGGTCAGACTGCCGGCCACGCAGTCTGTCAGTCAGTCTGTCAGACTACCGGCCGCCGCACCAGGCACGCGGTAAGGGCGGACGCGGACGAACAGTGCCGAGAGTAAGTGTCACGAGATGAAACGCTTTGCCGTAACGTCGTAACGCTCAGCTTAAAGTGTGTGTTGTCTGGATGCTTTCCATCTCTGCTGCCTGTTCGGTCTAAATGACCTATCGTCTCGGGATATGGCCCCAGTCTCTATGTGTGGGTGTGGGCCCGCGTCTACGGCTACGGGTGAATATGACGTCACTAGAGGTGTATGTGGGTGACGTCACTGTCCGCCCTGTTCGAACATGGTGCGGATATCTGCCAGGGCGCGCTGGATCTGGCCGGCCAGGCGGTTCGAGTCCTGCCGGCAGAGAGTCAGAGGTTAGAGGGCGACAGGTCACTGCAGCGCGGTCAGTTGGGGTGCCATCCCAACCGAATCACTTATACACAGCATCGCATGCAAAACTCAAATTTAATCGTGATAAATCCAACTTTGTCGTGCGAGGACAACAAAGCGTACCACAGTCGAGAAGCGCATGACGAATTCGAGCCCCACCACCTGGTGCCCTACCCCGTAACAATTCCAGATCTACCCAAAATGCATGTCCCAGCCCTCCCCCAACCCGATCCGTCGAGCGGCGGTCACCCACCGTGTCTGCGGAGCTCTTCTTGCTGCTGACGTGGAAGAAGACGATGTCCTCTCCGGCGATGATGTAGCTGACGCCGTAGCCGTCGTCGGCCACCGGCCCGAAGCCGCCGCCGGCCGACACGCAGCCCGGGTGCTTCTTCAGGTCGAGCAGGTTGGTCTGGCCGTGCGGCGTCTGAGAGGTGGAGAGGCGCCACGGCTCGCTCAGAACCTCCTGTGGGAGAGAGAGGGTGTTTAAGGCAGAGGGACGGGGAAAGTGCCAGGGGATGGGCAACGTAAATTGGCGTAAATGTCAGCACCTAGAAAATAAAAGTGGGACAGGCTGTTCTTTGGTGAGCGTCGCCAAGTAATGTTCCCATTGTCCAGTCTTCACTCACTTCCCACATATTCGACTCTCAGCTCGCAACCGGCTCGTTCCAGCAGCTGCCGCGTTTCAGCTACACCGCTCCATTCCTATTTAGTATACTCCCACAGCCTGCTCTCACCGCACCGTGACCCACCGGCCGGCAGTTCGGCTCACTGACCTTGAGGAAGGGCGAGTCGACCTCGAGGTACTTGGAGACCACGTACAGGCAGAACAGGTGACGGTCGATGCCCTTTCCCATCATGGCGTCCTGGTAGCCGCGCTGGTGGAAGTCGCACGCCGCGCGGAACAGACGGATCTGCTCGGCGCGCTGTTATACCGGGGATGAACAGGGGCAGTGTCAAGATAGCGACAGAGAGACGGGACGCGTCGTACAGACAAAGACAGATGGGTGAGGCGTCAGACACACAGAAACAGACAATATTGACAGTCTAAGCGAGTATTAGCTCAAGTACTTACTAAAATCAAGTTTCTAATCTTGCAGCACTCATACCGATGTTGATATAAAACTTTCTTTTTTAATCATATGGTCAATTCAAACCGTCCTGGCAAACCCTCTCCCAGCTGAGCGCCTTCCCCCCCCCCCTTCTCCTCGGTTCTTACGTCCACTTTGCCCGAGGTCATGGCCTTGACCCAGGCGGAGGACTCGATGGTGCAGGGCCGGACCGTCTCTGTGCGACCCTCGCGGAACAGGCGCGTCATCGACGCCTCGTACGTCAGACGGAACCGGCCAGAGTCCTGTGAGCAGGGCGCGGGTCAGTGAGGCTAGGAGTTCAGGATCAGCACCAAACTGGGGCCATATGCAGCTCACTATCGGCACCTGGGTGGACGAGTTTTACACAACAGGCCATCGTATGTAAAACTACACCCCCAGCCAACAGTCACACTACACTTAAACCTGCCCTTTGTACCTACTGGTGATCAGCCCGATGACCCAAAGTCCGGTGGACAAAAGAATAGCACACCTTCATTCACACAGCCCCCCCCCCCCCCAGCCCCGAGTGTAGTAGCTTTGTTCACGACCACCCCGGACCGCCTTACCCGGTAGTAGGCGAGCTGCAGCGCCATCTGGATGAAGGCGTCCGGGCTCACTTTGCACTTTTTCATGAAGCCCTTTCCGAAGGCGTCGTGCATCAGCAGGCGCAGGTCGACGTCATCCAGGGTCAGCTGCGCCTCCTGGGGGCGGCGGAGGGGGAGGGTCAGGGAGCCGCCACCAGCCCGGCAGAACATCCCATACCGAGAGCAAACAGTCAGAGCGGTCAGCGAAACGCCTCACATCGACGACATAGATCAGGCAGGTGAAAACTGAAAAGGATGCCGTGCTCAGACTGCAGAGCAGCGCACACACCAGCGTAGTAGACGACAACGTCCATCGCTCCTTGGCGGCCGTCACACGGCACCATGTCTGGAGTTCTCCCTCGCCGGTGCGTTCTCATTCCCGGCCAGCACTCATCTGACCGTCCATCGCCAGCGACACTCACCCGGTAGCTGCGGTCGATGGCGTCCAGACACTTTCGTTTGAGGTCCCAGCGCAGCTTCACCGGCGGGATGGCGTCCGGGTCGGCCTCGCCGATCGTGTGGCCGCTCTCCGTGTATCTGAGACGAGCCGCCACACACACACGGGAGGGAGAGAGATAGAGCGAGGGAGAGAGAAAAAAAGGAGAGGGAGAGAAAGAGACGCAAAGGCACAGACGCAGACGCACACAAAGCAAAGGGAAGGTCAGGTCAGCGGCACAACACGATATGACGCATAATGAGCGCTAAATTCGATTGTAAAAAAAAAACACCATAAAAATGTTTAATAAAAGATGACAATTAAATCTCAAATATGACGCAAGAGAAACAACAATCAACTATAATTATAAGGTCAATGTTTGTGATGTTGTTAATGATTATCAACATTATTTACACGTGTGAAATGTTAAGGGCTATAGGACACTTTATTACAGCTCAGCCGTTAGTAAATGTAAAAGCCCGAGGAGGACGAACCGTTCCCCATAAGAGCCACCGGCATCAACGGGACGCTGCACGTGAGAACTCAGCAGAGGCATTTTGGAATTAGTACATCTTGAGCGTGATTATCACTACATGAAATTTTGAAGCGAGACATTGGTGACCGTTTCATTTACTCGAACTTAGCTCAATTACGGTAAAAGATCAACAGATTAGAACTATTAGAAGCAAAGGAATGCTGCTGAATCCCCCGCGCAGTCACCGGCTCGGTGTTAGTCAGAGACACCCCGAGACCCCGCCAGGCGGTCCCTCGCTCGCAGCCACACCTACCCCATCCGGGCTCCGATCCTTGGCAGCCAGAACAAAGCCCCCGGAGAGCGGTTAGTGAGAGCGGACCGGGGATTCGGGGCGGTACTGATACGGTACAGGGGACGGGGACCGACAGACGCACAGCCAAACGAACAGTGCAGCGACTCCGACCGCCGGCTGCAGTGTGCACAGAGACACAATGACAGGGCAGTGGCAGAGAGGACCCACAATTTAGCGCGGCGCCGACAGGTGAGGACAGAGACACGGCCAATAGTACAGTGGAAGCCGGCCGCCCAGCCAGCCCGGCCCGGCGGTGGTCCGATTTTCACAGCGGAAGCCCCCTGAGAGCGCAGTGACAGTGATCGCCCAGCCCACATCGAGAGCGCGCGACACTCGCGGCGGCCAATTACCCGAGGAAGAATCTATCTTTTATCATGGCCGTCTCCCAGACAAGGCTCAGAACGGGCGCGTCCGCCCTGCGGCAAAAGGTCAGGCACTTTTAGAGGCACGGAAAAGTTCGCGACACTAAGTTAACTCCGTCAGCCGCCGGCGTCGCCACCGCTCGTCTAGAAGGGACAGAGAGGTGCCGATCAGTGACGGGACCGCTAGGATGTCCGCGGCCACGTCTGGTTCCGGAACCGCCGCGCTGTTCACAGGGGTAGAGGTACAGAGCGCCGCCGCGCCCCCAGCCGCCGGCGGCTACAAGAGAAGGACTGAGACGTGTTAGAGGGCTGAGCGAGAGAGAGAGCGGGAGGGGGAGAAGAGGCGAGGAGGCGGCGCCGCCAGCCGGGCCGCCACCGGAGCCGCGCTGGTCAGTATACCGCTCCCGCCCGTCCCCTGTTGGGTTAGCTGACTGCAGCTGTGAGCGGGTCAGTGGCGGCAGGGCCGGCGGCGCCGTCCCTGTCCCTCAGTCATGCGCCAGCAGCGGGAGAGGAGAACCAGAACCAAGGCCTCCGACCACGGCGTCCACTCTCGACCAGCATTCGTCCAGCAGGCACTCCATTCCGTTCCATTCCATTCCAACGCCTCCCGATGACTTCCTGCACCTACTGACTAGCTACCGAAAATTATCCGCAAACGTCTGTCCTGAGCTACTCCATTTCCGAGTCCACCTATGCCTAAAGCCAAACTTAACTTTTGGTGGTTGTTAGAGTTAAATGAGTTGCTAAATAGAAACAAGCTAGGTTAGAGCGGCGCTAACCTAAATGTCAAGACTTCTATGATCTAGGACGGACACTTCTTCAAGGTGGCCTCTCAAGTAGCGTTCTCGATGCTGCAATGTAGCGATTCGTGTACACAAGGTTGCATGGTGGGTCGCTGGTTCATTACCTATTTGTTAGGCTAGAATATTACTGACATTTAATTAGACGTCAATGTTCCGACTTTTTCAATAACGGCAATTTTTCAGAGCACCTTTCGATATTTTGAAACAACTGCTATGTAATTCAATGAGATCCACAGAATATGCATACACATGCAAAAGAACAGCGTCGCTTTCCTTTCAAAGGCACTAGTTTGCGCCGACTTAAAAGTTGCGTGCATGTTGACAAGCGCAAGCAAACAAAATGACCCGAACTCATCAACTCAGTGCTAGAACACTGAATCTGAAGCACCTCGCGATATACGAGCTCTATTGAGGGCACACCTACTAACTATGGGCACCTAACTAGATACCTCGCTACACACACGCACACTCACACACGGACAGACACACGAGAAGCAGGCACGCGGTATAGATGCATGCTCGCACGCAAACGGCCTCCACAGCAGGTCTGCTGGCTAGGAGGCAAAGAAACGACAGCGAGAATTAGACAGAGAGCCGACAGCTAGCGGGGAAGAACTGAGAGCCAGAGAGAGTGTAAGGTACGGCGGCTGCCAGCATACCCCTCTCGGATGACGTCAGCGGCCAGCACGTACTCCCAATAGTGGGACATGATGGGGGCATCGGCCCTGGGCAGCGGGGGAGGGGAGGGGGCGGGGCGCCGGGTCAGGTCACCGCACCGGTCAGAGACACACAGCGGGAGCGGGGCACGGCGCCGCACAGTGCGCGACAGACTAACGCACTGCGGCGGCGCACAGTGCGCCAGACACGTCACACAGCGCGGTCAAAACAACGGGTGAGAGCAATCGCTGATTCAAAGGGCGAAGAGCCGAAAAATCATCGAAGGTCAGATGAAAACAAGCGGATATCCATTCAAAACAAACGTACTTTGAATAGATAGTCGAAGAGAACACATCAGTTTTAAAAATACAAGGCAGAGCGTGAACACAGCAAAAAGGCAAACAACACCACACGGCCTGGAAATATGATCACAACTCGTCAACACTTCTAATGTAAATGATATATTGCACATTAATCTACAACCATACCTAACAGCATTGTTATTTAAAAAATCACACAAAACTAGTTGCATGAAAAACATGTAACAATCTTAAATCTACGTTACCTGTTGATAGTAACGAGTAAAAGCAATAAACAGGCTAACATAGTAGCCGGTAGGCAATTGAGCATGCGTGTTACGCCATTACAAAGCTCCATTATGAGCCGCTCCTCCCCGCCCCTCCCCGCGGCCGCGCGGGCCACTCACCACGAGTGCTCGCCGTTGAAGCCGATCTGAAACGAACACGGGGTGCGAAGGTCAGTGAGTGACACGGGGACGGGGGACGGTTACTACGTGTTTCGGGCACATACCTATTCTGGCCATGGCACAAAAAGTGACAATATCCAAACGCCATCACTATCAGAGTCAAAGTTCAGAGCAGGTTCGGAACGTTCGTACTCCACCACTCTGTGACCTGTCCGCTCTACAATTATATAATCTAACCCGTGAGAGCGGTAAACACCCAGCGATCGAGTTCACACAACACTAACAAAACGCCAGGACTTTGACCTGGCGCCGCTGTGTTGTGACGGGATACAGGCTGACAGGCTGTACAAACGCTCGTCGTCGCGTGCCCGACGCGTGCCGACGACAACAGTCATCGGTACGTACCCGTCCGTTCCTGCCGACGATCAGGTTGAGCGACTTGTCGTACCAGCGGTTGCAGCCGTTGCCGTGCAGACACCAGCGGCCGAACTCGTCCAGCTTGGTATGGTCGTTCTGCGAGATGGTAGAGACGCAGCGTCAGTGAACAGTGAATGATAGACAGAGCAACACAGAGTAAAAGAGGCACTGAACTTAACACAGAGTGATTGATGATGTAAATGAGCGACATGAGAGAACTGTGAATCTCGGTGCAGTGCAACTATATTTTGTATGCAACACCTCATCTCGCAAACAGACGAAGAGATTGTGCAATGGTTCCTTCCCTTTCACATATTTGAGCCCAATCCCTTCCATCCCACAGACCCAACCCCCGTCCCATCCTAAAGACCCCACCCCTACAGTACCATCGATGTACCCTCGTCCCACACACTCCTTTTTCCTTCCCACCGACCTTGTCGAACTCGAGATCGACGTCGTCGAGGCAGACGATGAAGGCGGCCTTCTCGATGGCCAGCAGGCTGGCGCGGTTGGTGCCGCGGCTGAAGAAGTCGCGCCGCGTCAGGTACCAGTGAGAGCGGTCGGCGGCCGTCAGCGCGCCCAGCTGCTCCTCGCCCTTGTCGGGCGTCGTCTCGTCGTCGTCCAGGATCCGCTGGAACTGCCTGCCCGACGGCGGAGGAGCGCACGGAGACTGTGTCAGTGTGTGGCGGCACAGCGAGACACAGGCTGGCACAGACAGACATACGGCGGGACGGTGCTCGGAAAGTGGCTGGTATGGCAAGTGGACCGACATGAACGACGATCTGCTAAAACTTCGTAACGCGGCAACGTAGTATAAAAAATGAGCATTCTATTTTGATGTTTACTCTCCCGATCCCCTCTGTCCCGTTTGCACTTACATTTCGAGTGTGGCCGGCGACATGAGCCGCTTCTTGATGTCATACACCTGCATCTTGTAGTACTTGCCGTTGTGGATGACGACAATGTGTGTCGAGTCGCTGTAATGGACGATCCGATCCGTCTCGATGCCCGGGACGCGGGTGGTGTTGAAGGTCCGCTCGTACTGCCACGAGCACAGCGGCACCATACCCTGCACCGTAATCTGAGAGGGGAGCGGTCAGTGGGTCAGAGGTGCGTCCACTGGCGGTCCTACAGCAGCGGTCAGAGCTACACCTGCTAAGATACTTGCCATAGGAAACGGAATACAACAAATAGGCTGTCTATCTCGCGTGATCACAGGCCGATGCTCGTAAGGGACAAGTATACACAAATACAGTCCCACTAGCTGACGGAAAAAAAACGTTCCACTTGGCTGTCTTTACAACGTAAGGCAACAGATAAACATTAAGATGTAAATAAACGTGGAGGGACGTAACCTCTTTCTTCAAAACAGTAACATTGCGGACTGACATCACATCTTTCTTCTAAACATAAACACATCAGTCATGTTGACCCTGCCAAGAATACAGCCGTCAGCCCCCCCCCCCCCCCAGTCGACCCTCGGAGAAGACGGACCCACTGACCGGCTCAATCTTCAGCTCAACTGACCGGCTCGATCTTAGGCCCCCACTGACCGGCTCAATCTTCAGCTCAACTGACCGGCTCAACCTTCGGCCCCACTGACCGGCTCGATCTCCTGCCGGTCGATGGCGCGCCGGAACAGCATGGTGGCGTGTGTGATGTTGGCCGCCCGAGCCGCCTGGATGGTGGACGGCTGCATCAGGATGGCGTCGATGCCGTAAAAGTTGGAGTTGACCATGATGCCGCTGCGGCCGCGCAGGTAGACGTACTCCTCCCACCAGTCAGACACGTAGTTGGTGGTCCACCTGCCCGGGGCGGGAGAGGGAAGCGATCCATGAAGACGGTTGTTTGGGATGATCCGACAAAACATTTAGTCATGTGGCTAAGTCACAGGCAGCTCCAATGCTGGCATGACCACCTTCCACATTGTTTGCCCCATGCGACTGGCGCGATGCTGGTAGTGACACGCTCTCGGCCAGCAGAAAAACAGTACCCTGTCTTTCCTACTATCTAGCCCCTATCCTACTTACCATGACTTGAGCCAGAGGTAGCGCTGCAGCCGCGGCCCGAGCGAGGTGCGGAACTCCTCCGTCAGTTTCACCATCCGCTCGTACTCGGCGTCATCGAGCAGGGGACGCACCGAGCGCAGGTACTGCCCGGGAGGCACAGTATGAGAGTCAGCAGGGAAGCGTTACGCAGGTGTGGCAGAACAGAAACGCCGCTGTCTGACAGGTTATAGACACTTATCGTATCGCCTGCCAATTTTCTTAGAGGCATCCCTTCGTCTCACTGGGTCTGTTGGTGTCTCCTAGTCCCTCCCACCTGACGAAGCTCTCCTCGCTCGCGTCTCCTGTTTCAAGGCGTCCCTCTGTCCCTTACCCGTTTTGGAGTGACCCCTAATCCCTCTTTTCGTTCATTACCCGTTTGGTGGTGTCCTCGACACTGGGCAGCGGCAGGCTGGGCAGACAGCCCTGGAAACTGTACAGCTGAGGACGGCTGATGCTGGTGAGAATCTTCACCTGCGGAAGACAGAGACGGACCGAGGTTCGTCAACAGATAGAAACCAGGACACAGCCAAAGTCGGCGGCACAGCAGTGCAGAGTTAGCACAGATCAGACTACCAAGCCCAGATCATTATCCAATATTCGTGTATATCGTCAGACTATTCGCAACTACGTTACATTTTCGCTTACACCGAAGGACCATCAGCCTGGGACATCGTCGATTACTCACCAGAACATACCAGATCTTGGTTTTGAGCGACATTTTGCGGGTGCGGGTCTCATACATCCACCCTGTGGACAGTCGTTAGGTGACGGTCAGCGGTGCGGCGACGCGCTGGTGTCGGTAACAGGTCAGTCGGTATGGGCGCGGGAGCGGGATGGGCGGGAGGGGGGGGGGGGAGAATTGAGCACGGGAGAACTACGACCATTTACGTAACAGCGTGGGTAAGTGAACTGCAGGTCACAGCAGCCCGTGCACGCCCCAGACATACATCGCACACGCAGCTCTAAGAGCGGCCCTGGGTCCAGAGGTCGGCTATTTTCAGCATATTATCATGCCCGGGGCCCCGGACACAGCCATAAAATTGATCCCAAGTTGCGTGACAGGATAACAGATCAGGTCAAATACCGATAAACGGAGCACACCAAATGCCGAGCAGCACACCAAATACCGGCATAATCAGACCAGATTGGCCGCGCAACTGAAGGAAGCATATTCTATTCTGTGATGGTCAGCAGTTCGGTAAACCGACTCAGCGCCGCCGTGGAGGCTGATTGCCGACAGACGAGCCTCGGCTGCCGAAGGCCGGCGACCGGTAAACAGAGGGGCAATCCGATACGGGGGCGGGTCCGTGCAAGGTCCACCGAGCGGCCCGCCCCCGGCGCGCGCCGCTGCACCACAGACAGACTGACCCGCTCCCCCTCCCTCCCCATGACAACCCCGAGCCGTCGTCGGGCGCCGGAGCCGGCAGCGCCGCCGGTGCTATCGGGCTGAAACCGCCCGCGGCTGGCTGAAGTCGGTTATAACCGGTCTGCAGTGGACTCCGGCCGCGGCGGGCTATCCACCTGAGTGCCGGTGAGGTAATCCCGCCTGAGAGGGGCGCTCCCAGCGACCCCCGGCCGGCGCAGAGGGCCGCGACTGTTACCGCGAGGGTGTCATTGATGGTTCGCGGTATCGGTACGGGGGTCAAGGTCGCTGACGGTCAGTGACGCCGACGGACCGGCGGGGCTGACTGGGCCAAGGTCGCGGTGCACGAGATCGCGAGTCGCGAGTCAGCATAGCACACACGGAACGGTACACGGCCGTGAAGGGTCCGTGCCCCCGCCGACCGGCCCAGTCAGCAGAAAACAAGCCACGTTACACGACCAGTGAGGGGCGGACCAGTTACCATAGCACACGACACGGTATACATCCAAAAGGACCGCGCCCCCGCAGCATAACCCAGTCAGCATAACAACCAGTACGGTACAAAACCACGGGGAACCGCGCCCCCGCTCACTAGCTCAGTCAGCACAGCACCCGGCACGGTATATGATCGAGCCGTAAACACAGGCGGTACCCGGCCACTACCGACGGCAGAGCCCGCTCCACCCTTCGTTAGTGGAGTCCAGAGTTCACCCGGCTGACTGAACCCAGCCGGGCTCTCAGCTTACCGGAGGCTTTCCGTAAACTGAGAGCCCGCAGCGGCGACGCAGACCGGCCGACCGGATGGCGCCCAAACAGGGCATTCAATTCGATCCTACATGTATAAACGCATGCTATACAGGGAAGCGTTCGGTGTAGTGGTGAGTTCCCTGCCTCCTAAACCAGTCATCGCGGCTCTAGTTCCGGCAAATGCACGCGGATTTGTGGCAGCCTGGTTACGATCGACTCACCCCTGTAGGTGCATAAAAAGCATACGCATTTCCGGACAATGACCGTGGTTTTGCCTTTGTGGCTACCTGGCAGCGATCGACTCACCCCTGTACATGAAGAGCAGACGCAGGGTGTATTTGAGCGCCAGCGCCACGCTGAGCCAGATGGTGGTGCTGGCGGCCGTCACCGACACGGCCTTCAGCACGTGCTCCTCGGCAGACACCAGTCTGCAGGGGAGGATACACCTATGTCAGTGAATATACCGGCACGGCCTTAAGCACGTGCTCCTCGGCCGAGACCAGCCTGAACGAGGGGTAACTGTCAGTGAATATACCGACACCAGCCTGCGGCGAGTGGGATACAGGGTTACTGAACGGTGAGCTGACCCCACACCAGTCTGTGGAGAGGATTGGTAACGGATATCACGTATAGTCGGTCAAATATGTATCTTTCCCGGCCGGCCCTCCCCTCGCTGGGCAGGTCGGTAACTTGGCTGAATCCGCCGGCCGCTGCGAGTACTACGGAGGGGAGGGGACAGGTTGTGCGGTTGCCGCGTCGGCCAATGAGCGCGGACCTGGCGAGCGGGCTGGGGCCACGGCGTGTTGACCTAATATGGTCAAAGGTTCATGCCCTGCGGGTATGGTCTGCGGCCAGCTGGCCCACTGATTGAGCCACAGCACCGGGTCGCGGAAAGGTTTCGATAGGTATCTGAATTGGAGAGTGGAGACCGTTAGCTTGAACTTGAGTGTAGTCGCTCTAGGTTTGAGATGCCGGGACCAGGGACCTGCAACACCATGATCCTGAATATATTGTGTGGATCGGGTGGCATTCAGATGAAGTTGAAATTTATCCCATTGACTTATAATGGGGAGGTTGTGAGATTGACCTGACCTCAGGTCATAGATAAAAAAATCCGAGACATACATTTTGTGGATATTGTCACCCTTACTAACTCCTGAAAGTTTCATATCGATCGGTCAACAGTTGTAGCTTTGGTGCAAGTTCAAACTTTTTGTGACGTTAGGTCACTCAAACCGACCTGTTGACCTGACCTTAAGTCATATAAGGTCAAAATTCGCACACAGTATGCGCAATAGATGGAAAAACAGGTATGCAAAATTTGGTGGCGCTGCACGCCGCCGTTTTTCGGCTATCTGCGAAAAACCTGGGGGGGGCGCAAATCGCCCCCCCCCCCCGGCCCGGCGCAGGTTAAGATTTTCAGTAGATATGGCTTAACGCTTTCCCGTTAATGCCAAAAAAAAATGAAAAAAGTTTTTGCTTTATCAAAAAATAACCGGTCATAATTCGATTAAATATTTCTCTTGCGCTAATCATCATATCACCAAGCAATCGATCGTATCAAGAGCAACCATCTTAATTTTTAGGTCAGCGACCCCTGTTGAAACACCAGATAATCCTTTGATAGCTCATAGCACTCAGTCTACAATTTACACGGCGCATGAAAGCACAGCCATCATTAGACCATCGCGCTGCCCTCACATTCGTTAGATTCCTAACGCATCCGCTTGCTCGCCTCTCCCGGCCAGACCCGCCGGAGCACCCGGCGGCGCGGCCGTCCAGTGCTGGTCTGCGGTCACTCTCCAGCCGGCCGCTGTGTAGCTCCGCCCCCCGCGCGTGACGTCACAGGGCCGCCAGAGCCGCCAGGGCAGCTGGGGTGTGGGCTCAGCCAACTATCGAATCCAGACCGTAGCGCCACTTGGCGGCCGGGAAAGATACATATTTGACCGACTATACGGTCATTGAAAAGTGAGCAGTGAGCATTGAACAGCTCCAAGCCAGCCTGGGCCGGGGACTAGGCACACGAAAGCTCATCCTTTCCTCCTCCTCTCTCACCGCGGCGCGTGTCTCATGAAGAAGTCGGTGAGTCCGCCGGTGCCGTCGTAGCCGGCGTAGTACATGGCGCCGACGGTGGCCACCGTCAGTCCCAGACTGGACAGCGGCACCGGGTAGATGCCGTTACGGAAACCGTTCTGAAAGGACCGACAGTCATAAACACACACACACTCACAATGACACAAAAACAAACACTAGATGAAAAAAGGCGTCGTAGTAAGCTCAGGCTACACTCGCAGTTTGTTGTTGTTTTTGCGTGTCAGTTGTAGCGTGTTTGTTTTTGTAAGTCATTGATCAAGCGGTCCCTGCGTGCTGTCGATGTTCCGGGTCATTTGGACAAAATAATTATAACATCATTTCATTGTGCTTTTCTATGATAATTTGATAAAGTTAGTGTCATAAACTTATGGTCAATTCAGAAGCGTCGATGGTCCCTTCCGTCCTTTGCTGCGCCCTTCACTCCCCTTTCACTCGGTGTTTGTAAACTAGTCAGACCTACTCCCGCTGGAGGTCAGCTCTCTCCGGACCGGCTGGGCCGACTGGTACTCACGAAGAAGCGGTGGATGCGCCGTCTCCAGGAGCGCACGCCTGACATGAGCACCACGCCGAGCATCTCATGGTCGTAGTTGAGGTCGACGCCCTCGTGCGACACCGAGAAGCTGAAGGCAACTGCCGAGTGTGCCTCGGCCATGGCGGCGACTGCGGGCGGACGAGACGGGTGGTCAGGTAACGCAGCATAGTGTAAAGCAGGACATAGTAACACCACAGGGCACCAGGCACCACACAGCATAATGCAACAAAGCTAAGAGTAGCACAGCATAGTGGAGCACAGCACACTAGCACAGTATGGTCGATAGCAGCACAGCGCAGCAGAGCGCGGCGTAAACCAGCGCAGAGCAGCACAGATTGCAGCGCCGCTCCGTCCGTCACACCCGACGACGGCCCGGCAAACAGTCTGCCCGCCGCGCCCCCGCCGTGATGAAAACAAAACAGAGCCGAGGTATACACACAACTGCAGCAGCGGGCGAGCGGGAGACCGAGTCACACAGTGACACTAGCAGAGAAGAGCGGGCGGAGCGCCGTGCCGCCGAGTTGGAGCGGTTACACAGGATCTCACTGTGCGCGTGGTTACCGGCGGCGTCTGGAGGCACCTAGCGTGCCCCCCCCCCCCGATACGCCAGCTCTGCTCACCCCAGCCAGTTGGACCGGTTCTGCAGACGCCGCCTATGGAGCACCTGTGAGGCCCCGTCTGCGCCGGCCGCCGCGCCCGGCATCGGCGTCGGGCGGGCTCGTTAGCATACGGACCTAGGAGCCGGCGAGGAGGATATGTAAAGGACGGCAGGGCCGCCACACCTCATCGAGTCAGACCGAGTCACCGTACTGCGACATTCCCGTACACAGTCGATGAGAAACGGACGGCTGACGGCACGGTCGGTATGGTACTACCATCGTCAGAGGAGCGAGTCATGCCCAGATCAGGAGCATGACTGGGGTGACTAGCAGTTTCATTGTGCAGCAAACACACACGGAAGAATCAGTGACCCAGAGACCGATCACGGTCACCAAGTCATCGATAGTTTGGTTCTATTCGCTTTCACTGCCTCTCAGTTGCAAAACCTACGAATCAGAAGAGCTCAGCAGAGACATGATTTAGTCAAGTTTATCCCGGATGTGTAGGGGATTTTGTGTGGCTCTGCATTCTGCATAATGAAGCATGAAGTCACGGGCACAGTGCCAGCGGCGACAGCAGCCCTCGGGGAGCCGTAATCAGCCGGCGGCCGGGTGGGCGCGCCGTCACCGCCGGCAGCGCTGGCAGGGGTCCGACCGACACCCGTGACCTTGAGCGGGCGGCGGCGAGCGTCAGCTATCCGTCAGAGAGCCGGCGGGCCCACCGGGCTGGCTAGGACCGACCAGGCTGACAGACTGCCGGGGTACATACTCTGTGCCGGCAGCGAGAGATGAGGAGGCACATGAGCGGCACAACACTGGTGAGGGGTGCGACGGAGTCCGGAGAGGAGCGGGGACACAACAGGACTAAGCCGACTGGGAGGGAGGGCGAGCGGTACCCAGGGTACAGCTGGTTCGGGACGCAATCAGGGCAGAATTCAGCAGCTGACTTCCGACGTCAGCGTAGTCGTCATTCAGCCAGTGTCAGCTGTCACCATCGCACCATGTGTCCCCGACCGTCGTCCAGTACCAGCGTGTCATACAGAGTGTCAGCGCTGACGGAACGCCCCGGTGTCAGCTACCAGACCCGCCCAGACTGCCAGGCTCGGCCCGCCTTCGACGAGCACTGTTCGAAGTTCGAACAGTGCTCGTCGAAGGCGGGCCGAGCGTCAGTGACACCACCCCGATCAGATCGGAACATGAAGCAAGACCGTCGTCACTCGACCCAGTAACACTCTCTGACGACGGGAGACGGAGGTATTGAACTCAATAAGACGTCAATCACTCAAGGTGGTGCATAAAGCACGTTCAAATTTAGTAGCCTTCAAAATCAATAGCTGAAAAAGTCGGCATTTATTAGAGCTCCAGTTTCGAAGAATCGTCCCGGACCGAAGCTCGACAGGAGTCGTCGTGGACGTCTCTCCGCCAGCGCCCCCGAACTGTGACCGGCCGGCGCGGTGGCTTGGTGCGTCAGAGCTCCTGACAACAGCAGGGGTGTGTCCCGGTCGGTTCACAGTCTGAGGCTCATACCCAGCGCGACACACCCCCTCAACGTCAGCAGATCCCTCGGCCGGAAGGTGGGCAACATGACCTGAGGGGCTCGGTGTCGAACCGATACCCCGGATCTCGGCAGCGAAACCTGAGCGGCCAACGGATCAGTCATCAGACACCGGCAGTCGAACGGTGAACCAGACCCAACAGTGAGTTGTCTAAGCCCGTCGGGCAATTTGAAGGCCAATGACAGCCTCTCAAAACGAATCGCTACAAATGGCCCACTTCAACTGAATGGCTCTCTTCAGGTGACGGCAGAGCCACTCGTAATATTGACACTTGTCGCCATCCGATTACTCAGACATCGATAGCTCTCGGTTCGTCTGGGCCGCTCGTGTTGCCGTGGGGAGTGGGATGGATCGCAAACTACACCACACATGACACTGAGGGCCAGAACGGGAGTGAATTCCCGCAACCCAGCATGTGGTGTGTCGAACAACCGAGAGAGGGGCACCTTCTGATATGACGAGTTGAGCCGGTGACGGGGTCTCGTGACGGCAGGAACTGAGCAGTGAGCGGTGACAGCAGCGAGAGCGGTGCCAAGTGTCACCGATTACCAGTGGCCGGACCCTGCCAGCCCCCTCCCCTACCCGTCTACCGTCCCACACAGCTGGCCAGTCAGCCGGCCGGTCCTGCCCCTCCCCTCTCACCGGCCGGACCCTCCCCTCCCGTGCGCTACCTTCAGCCACCGCGCCGTCCCCGGCCGCCGGCACCCAGGGCCGGCGACGCTGACAAACACGCTCACAATGGGACGGCAGCCGGCACAGTTCGGAACAGACAAAGGGCTAAAAGTAGGGAGGGCAGGGGCACTGTACCTGAGACCGACCTATGATCGACCTGTGACCGGACTGACTGACCTGTGACCGAACTGTGACAGACCGATGTATAACCGACCGCCCACCTCGGTCCTCGACATGCTTATCCAAACATAACGTCCCCGCAGCGACCATCCGTGTACGGATTTAGGATCAGACGCGACGGCACGGTTGTGCAAAACAACGCATACCTCAGCGGCGCAGGAAGCAGAGACCGACAGCGATAAACAGCCACTTGACCTCGAACTCCGCGCCGTGCTGCGGCAGCCACCCGCCAACCAACTCCCGCCCTCCTCTACCCCTGCGTCAGCCACACACTTCTCCCAGACGCAGCTGACCGAGCGGAATTAGATTGGCCCGACATCGGACTGAGGCGCCCACGCCCGGTGCCACTGTCAGACCTATCCTATGTGTGGCTGCACAGGTCGATCCGTCAGATCCGGCTCCGCGCGCCACGCACAGTTGCCCAGCCCCCTCCGACGCACAGTGTGGCCGAACACCAGTTTAGCGCGAATTTAATCCCAGCGCCGCTCGGATCCACTGAAAATGGTTCTCTGGTTCCAAAACTGACACTTACCCCTCGCCGGACTTATTGGTTTTCAAAATACGCGCCGGCCGAAGGGGTGGGGGGTTGGTACGACCCCCGTCGCTGTTTCGCCCCTGATGGAGCTAGAGCCCCGCGGAAAAAAAAACGAGCGTGTGCGCCGTTACGAGACGCAGCGACTGGTATCCGATTTTAAGGTCTCAGGCCAACCTGTGACCTCTGAGGTCAGGTCAAGTGAGCCAGGCGCGGATTCATTTTTTATTAATAACTTCGCGAAAAAATGCCGCAGAGCCGCAATTTTGGTATCATCATGTTCGCCTCACTCAGGCGCGTCGAATGGTATACTTTTTGTTCGGCTGAAGTTAACTTAAGGTGTTGACCGTGGGTCAAGGTCAGGTCAGAGTCCTCCATATCACGAAGTTGGTTGAAGGAGGTCATGTTGTATATCATTCGATTCGGCAAGTCTTCCTGAGTCCATTGGTGGCTTTCTCGACTCGCTAGCTCAATTTAATCGGGAGTTATTGACGAAAAACTCTTATTACCCTAGTGACGTCATAAATGACGTCACGTAAGACCAACAATGCATAAGTGAAGCATCGGACCTTGCAAGGAGTGCATGAAATCACGATTTCGTGTGCTTGAGATAGTTTATTAAGCTGGAGCCTGTCCGACCGCGCCGCCCCCGACCTTGGTCAGGTCACATAGGGCGGCCGACTAGACATGTTCAAAGCTGAGTTGACGGCAAATAGGCAAAAACTGGCAGCTGAAACTTGCTCGCTTATGTTCAGAAAGGTACGGAGAGTTCAGCCATGCCCTATTCGTCATATCCATTTTTATCCATTTTGACATTTTTCAACTTCTTTATTAAATACTATCGTGAGAACGATACACATGCAGGGCTCTTCTTCTAACTCATTAAACTCAAAAACCATTCATTGAAAAGCTACCATGATAGCAGAAACAGCTTCATCATGAATTGTGCTATCCGGTGATATGCTATTTTCTCATATATCTTCTCGAAACTTCCGTAAAATTTACGTTGAAAACTGGACATATTTATCAGTACCATAGCCCGATTTTAGGAACCGGAGCGTGGGTCTACTTTCGGCAGGGATATAAGTCCTCAAATGGTAAAGTGGCTTAAAAATAAGGTTCTATCCGATAACTTCAGACAATTTCCTACCCACTGATAGGTATAAATAACAGTTTATCGAAAGTCGGGTTTTTGATTAAATTCGCGCTAATCTGGTATTCGGCAAGACCGTGCGACGGTGACCGGCCAGCGAGCCCTTCCCCGCCCAGGGCTGGCCGGCCAATTAATTTGATCAACATCTATGACAGGCTGATTAGGGGCACCCTACAGCAGGAAAAACAGCAACAGTCTGCTGGAATATAAGATATGAAATGAAAATGCAAATTCCGTATAATAAGCGCGACTTTCAGCCGCATAGCAACACATCAACACTGCGCTCTGACCTCCTCTGTGTTGGAGACCGTCTCAGTACGCCTCCTGCTGCCACTCAGACTCCGCACCGCGCACAGGAGCTAGAGAGGCACGCCGCACAGGCCACCGCCGCCCACAGACACACAAACACAGAAGACAGACGCAGGCGCAGCCGAGC